AAATCGACCAATGAAATAAGAGTGCGAAATCGTACGTCCCACGGGTCCTCTGATTTGTTATAGAGCAGCAATATATCAGTAGGGGTTGGAAGGGTGGAACACGCAGTGGGTGGTCCATCAGCTTAAAGCGGGGGCACCCCCGGCTGGCACCCACTCCCTCCCATCCACCCATATCCCCCCGTCCCCCCTCCCGCCTTCTCCCCAACATCAGCCCCTCCCCACTTCTCACTCTATCTCATCAACAAAAATCCGACCTGTCGCCCGCCGAGAATTGATGCGCATCAGCGACCCATTTGCGTCTTTCTGGGATGCTTTCTGCGTGATAGTGACTGTTGGTGTGATGTTTGGGGGCAGATGGTGGAAGCAGACTTCACCATATATCGTATAGAATATGGTGTGCATTTTCTATATTGTGAATGGTGAGCACTTATTGATGGAGTGAGAGTCTTTTCATGTTCGAAGTTTTGTGGTTTGCTGATTAGGGGAGGAGTTGGACTTATCATTGACAATGGTCGCACACATATCTGTTAGTGGGCTGGTCAATGCTCAGTCCAGACTTGGTGCAAGTCAGGGCTCCAGAGGAGCGCGGGCAAACACTGATGAATTAAAATGAGAAAACCCTGTTGGGGTGTAATTGAAGCCTTTTTTATCGTTATAATGATGATTTTGAGAGACCATGTATCATTTTGAGATGGGCTGCGATGGAAAAAAGAGGTTGCTTGGGGGGCGGTTGTGGTAGATGGGATGAGATGTCGTTGGATGATTAGATAATCTCCGGACCCACCTTCAACCTCTGTTCTCAGCTGACCCATTCCCGACAAAAACAGGCATACAAACTCTTTTTCAATGCCCATGAATCATATTTCAACCCCTATCAACCATCTTTCGAGGCCTATCCAGTCCATCGCCTCGTTCAGTGTGCTTATGTCAAAAGATGTTATACTATTTGACCTTGGTGTTGGTATCAAAGTTTTGTTTCGAGCTCTCCTAGCATCAGAATTGCACCCGCGCTTATACACGATGACCCTTTCGGCAAGTCGCGAAAAGTTGATGAAAATCGATGAAAATAGCCTGCAAGGCGCGCGGAAGAAAGGAGGGCCCAAAACCTACGGCACGCAACGAAGGGCAAAATGATGAATATATGATATCGTGATGGCATGGAAAGGAACGAAAAGGCCAGTGGCCCAAGCTGCAATGGACAAACAGGAGCAAAGTGGGTGGTCAGTGCCCACGCCGCCACAGTCCGTCTCTGTCAATCTGGCAAGCCTTTCATTCACCCGCCGCCAAGTCAGACGATATGATTGGCCGGATACAAGTTAATAATATAGGCTCAATGGCGTTTCTGTATACGGGACCGAGAGATGTTGTTTGTGTATGTGCCAACAGCCTTCACGGTTTGTGACGGTTTGTCAACAAAGACCATCTTACAGCCCCTCTACAATTCTATCCAGCATCTGATCGTTAAACTTCCACAGCATGGTCGTAAAATCAGCAGCAATCCCATTCCCGGTGAACCAAGTCGACCTCTTCCCTTGAAGGGCGTACATGTCCTCCATCCACCCCTCTCTCAGTTCCTGAGCGCTGACTCCGAAGCCGCCAGGGCCATGATCAGACCACGCAACAAACTCGACCTCTTCGCCCTCAAGGTCTGGCAAAGTCCCGGCGTCGACCATCGTTTGAATCGCTTTCCGTGCGACCTTTTTCGCTTCAGATGGAGGGAACGCGGTGTAGTTTGTACCGCTGGATCCAAGACTGAAGAGTGGTGAGTCGGTGGCAAGGCTGGTGAAACTCAGGACGAAGGGGGTTTGGAGGAAAGGGGAGAGGGGGTTGGCGGTCGCTGACAAAGGAAGATTGCGGAGCTGAACGCCAGCGGGGAGCTTGGAGTGTTTCGCAATGGCGGTATGGCTTCGACCGTATTTTGGTTTGGAGAAGTGGGCTTTCTCTGCTGGGGTCAGGTCGAACGGGGCGAGGTTTTCTCTGGTTGGTGGAATGGCGAGGAGGAGCTTCTTGGCAATGATGAGCTTCTTGGTCGCCTTTCCTTTTCCTTTCCCCTTCCGACTCTTGCCGGGTTGCTCTTCGTCATCGTCGAGCCGAGCTGAGTCAACGACCAGTTCAATTCCAGAATTGCTCCTCTTCGAATTGACAACCTGAGAATTGTACAAGACATCTTTTCCGAGAAGAGTACTGATCTTATCGTACAGGAACTGGTTGCCGCCATCGATGCTGAACATGGCCACTTCGCCGAAGAAGACCTTGGACCATGCTGTCGGGAAAGCCTTGATAATGCTCAAGGTCAAAATGTCCTCAAAGTTGCCCCTGGACCCCACGCCGCCACCGGTGGACGGATACATGGTTGAGAGCATGGCTTCAATCCCGTGCTTCTTGGCAAACTGGCCGATTGGGAGCAAAAGGTCGGCTGGGATGTCTTTGCCAGCTGGAAAGCCCCAGTAGCCCGGTTGGGTCATGTTGTCCCAGCCATTTGCTGTCATCAGGTCGTGGAATTTCTTGACGGCAATCGGGCCAGCAGACTCATCAGGTGGCTGAAAGGTGCTGGTAAGCTCTTGCCCAGAGGTGAAGTCGATGTATCGAACCTCGTTGCCTCCGGCGGGGAACCATGGCGAGAGCGTGACGTTTATTTCCGGGCGGCTGAAGAAGTCAAACGAGTCTAGGTAGGGAAAGTAGAGGGCGAGACCGTAATCGTGGGTTCTGCCGGTTGTTTTGTCGACATAGGTATCGACATGGCCGCCCAGAATTGGCTCTCTTTCAACGACTACCACGCTTTTGTTGTAATCCTGTCGCAACCGAACGGCTGCGTGAGCCCCTGACGCACCTCCTCCAATGATCGCCACATCTTTGTAGATGATGTCCTCGCGGCGGAAATCAGCACGGTTGATGCGGCCAGCAGATGCTGCCGAGATGGCGCCTGCAGTTAGAATAGTTGCTGTACGCATCCTGACCGGGGGTTATCGCAGGGTTGCCGATGCGTTGGAGTTTGACGAGAAAGCCTGACAGCGAGGAGCAACAAGGGAGCCGTGAGTTGGACCTTCAAATATAGGTAGGTAAAGGACTGGGTCGCATCGACATTCCACTCTAACTGAATGGCAAAATAATATCGCCGGACACATGGCTATATGAAGAATGCTACCGGACCATGTGAAGACTCTGCAAGTCAGAAATTAGCAGCAATTAGCATTGTGGTTCTCCATCTGCAGGGACCTTGTGGTAACATGAACTCCGTTTGCAGAGTGGCCAATACCTGGTCGCCGTTATTGCCGGATTGTGCACCATGGTCGATAAGAACTTCTTTTGCTGGCAGTCTGACCGGCTGAAAGAGCCCAGATTATCCGATCTCGAGGCAATGTGAGCAATATCGAGGAGGCAAAGATATAAAAACGACTTGTTATTATTCCGGTATCTTGATACTTCTATCTTCAAGCTTCCATGTGGGCCATTCCTTTGCGCTTCCACATCCCTTATCTCTACTCACTCCACAGCACTCTCTCCCCGCTAGTCCTACTAGGTATATAGTCCAGCCAACCCACCGTCCTAGTCATACTGGCTCCAGTCAATCGCGCCAACATCCTCATAGCAGGGAGCGTCAAGCTGGTGGATATTCAACTCGTCAACCCCCTCAAACACATCCTCGGGTAGCGTAGCACACTGCGCCAAGAATGTAACGGCGACGCAGTTCTCGGGAATAGACTCCACACTCGGGGCAACTTTGACCGCGTGCTGGGGACGACCATAGGCGGGCTCTGTCTCGTTGCAGACGATAAAGTAAGGGTAGGGAGTGAAAGCCTGTGCCCAAGGACTTCTCAAACCCCCCACCACTCCTGCGCCGATGTTGCCAGGGCCAAAGTTGAGACCGAGGTTGGTAGCGTGCTCGATGGGGCCCATGGGGAATCGCAGACCCATGGGGGTGGCACCGCCTTGGTATTTGATGGGAGGAAGACCAATCGAGGTAGCTTGGGCTGAGACATCACGGCCGGTGCCGTTGACGAAGAGGGTGGCTGCTGCGTCGACGTTGGGCACCAGGATGGCTGCGTTGAGACCGGCGCCGACGTGGACGCCGGAGAGGAACCAGTTATGGACGGGTGGGTCGAAGATGTCGGAGGGTGTGGATATATTGGCCACGAGCTTGAAGCCATTGGCGGTCGTGCGAGGGGGATAGTTTCCTTGAAACTGGCGTTGTGTGAGTGAGAGGGGCGAGGCAACTGTCAGGCCAGCCATGAGGGCGGAGAAGAGCGCGGTGGTGAACATGCTGGGCGATTATGTGAATTAACTGTATTAAAAATTAGACTTGTATGAGAGTAGATGAATGAGAAGCTCAAAAGTTGCTGAATGATGGGCCTGGGCATTTGACGGCATGGTGAACGTCTCGTCCAGTCTTCTTATACGGCGTTCGAAGACCAGTTGGCTACCTAGATTTCGGCCGAGCCACGGCGCTTCCTTTGAACGACGCGACTAAATTTACATTCTCACTATCATCATATTACTGCTTGATCATTCTCATGTTCGTACCGGCGCTGAACTTGTGTCATCATCCTACCAATTAGCCGGCAGCCGAGGTGGCGGAGTCGAGCCAACAACCTGAGATGTGAACGGACACGAGGAAAATGGGGGCCAAAACAGATTGATGGGACTGTGGCTGGTGTCCAACAGTGAAGCAGTTAGTGCTCTCACCGCCCCTAGCGACCGTTAACAGCGTCGCATTTACTACGTTGCACAACCTGAACCTGGCGCTGACGTTGGGTGCGCCATCCTTCTATCAATACGACACGACACTTCAAAATGATGCGCTAAAGATTCTATGATCCTTCCTGTACCACATACTATCTTGATGCAGTAAGGTTTAGCAGATTGTAGGCCGGACTGATCGGGGGCGCCGTGGGCTCAAGGGTTCAGGGGCTCAGTCGATCCCCGGCATTTCCATCATGTTTGGAACTCAAAGGTATGAAGGAGAAGAGAGGAGAGAAACAACATGGAATAAATTGAATCGGTTATATGACTCACATGAACTCAACGAGCAGCTCCCTTCCCTAGCTACCTGACTGCTAATGTTGACAGGGTCCGTTTTCTATTCGGGATCGTGCTCAACCTCAAGGTGCAATGGGAAATCGTATACCTTATCGTATATGGTAAAGTATGTCATACATCCATTTGTCTAGTTCCAAATTGGAGATTTCTTGGGTAGAACAACAATAAATTAAATCCATGCAATTGCTTGCCCAACTAAACGCATTAACAACAAGGGGTATCTCCAAATCACTTCCCGTCGACAGGTCCATCCACACACTCGTAACACGTTTCGCATTCCACATACAACAAACCCATGCATCAGAGACTCTTCCACAGCTTCTTATACCAGGGCAAAGTCGAGTCAATCTCCTCACCATCGGCGAGAGGTCGTCTTCCATCATCCAAATCCTTTCTCCTGCCCTCCTGAAGGTCGACTGTGTGAATGTTGACAGTTTTTGTCTTGTTCCAGAACTTGTAGACGACATAAATGACGCCGAAGAGAGGCAGTAGAATGTAGGCGTCGACAAAGTCGACGGCGTCAAAAGGCGCAAAGGTGGCCCAGCCCTGGATGAGCGCAAGGAAGATGTTGGTGCCGAGACCAAACCAGGCATTGTAGGGGTAGAGCATTGACTTGAAAGGCAGCTCGGAGTCGGAGTGTCCCTGAGCTGCCCAAGCCTTTCTGAAGCGGATATGAGTCCAGCTGATGGCGGCCCATACCAAAAAGGTAGAGACACCGCTGAGGTTGACAATGTAGGAGTAGGCATCCTGGGCACCCGTGCTGACATTCATCATGCTCAATGCACCAAACAGGTTGGTGAAGATGATGGCAGGGACGGGGACACCTCTCTTGTTGGTCCATCCCAAGAACTTGGGAGCCTTTTGAGTCTGAGCCATGAACAGAATGGTGCGACTGCCAATGAAGATGGAAGAGTTGACGGCGCTAAGGCAAGTGACAAGGATAAAAGCATTGATCAGATGCTTGCCGCCCTCCCACCCGGCGTTCGCGATGGCGATTGTCATGGGACTGCGCAACGCACGTTGTGTAGCCGATGTCAGGTCGGGACTGTTGGCGGGGCAGACGAGCCCGAAGAAAAAGGCACTGCCCATGTACACCACCACAATGCGAATAAATACCTGTCGAATGGCCAATGGCACGGCGCGACGGGGATTCTTAGTCTCGGTAGCGGCGACGGCAACGGATTCGACTCCGGCGTAAAAGGTGCTGCAGAAAACAAAGACCGAGGCAACACCGCGGAAGCCATCCGTAAAGGCACCGGGGTCACGCCAGTAGCTGAATCCAATAGCTTCGGCGCCAATCACACCACCAGATGCGTAGCTGGCAATTGTTAGCACAAATGTAACCGACCCTCGAGTAATACTAGATTCTTACATCAGGCTGAAGAAGAAGAAGGCGATCAAGCCAACAAGCTTGAAAAGCGCCAGCCAGAACTCGGCCTCGCCAAAGGTTTCGACACCCAACATCTGGAAGGCGGTGAAGGAGAACTGTGGGCAAAGTATCAGCATAAAGCCCATATATCCCACGCTATGGAGGACTCACCCAAAAGATCAAGAACCACCCCCAAATGGGAATGGCATCCGTCCAGTCAACCATGATGCTCGAGATGACGTTGTACTCGTTCGCCAAGACACAGAACCAAATGATAAAGTAATTCCACCCAACAGCCACACCAAACGCCTTGTCAACGAATCTGTCTGACAGCCCGGTAAAAGCACCGCCGGTCGGGTACAGCGTGGTGAGTTCACCCAGACTCTGCATGATGGAAAAGGCAATGATACCAATCACGCCAAAGCCAATTAACAGAGCAGCCGGGCCACCATTTGCCAGAGCTCGGCCCGATCCAATGAGAAGACCGGGTCCAATGATGCCGGCGAGAGCCATCATGGAAAGGTGACGGGTCTTGAGGCCGCGCTTCACGCCCGAATTTGGGTCAATGGCGGCAAAGTCGTCCGACTCGGAGCCGGATATACCGGCATTGTTCTCAACAGCCACGCCATCCTCAGACCCCTTTTTCGAGACTGATACATCTTCACCACGCTTTCCGCGCAAGGCGGAGAAGGATGGGAAGCCCATATTCGAGAGGTGCTCGGTACGTCGTGGTGAAGGTGATGTCGGAATGTAGACCCAGATTGGGAAGGTCGAGGTGTTGATCCGGGTCACTCCTTGACAGCAGATCGTGGAGAGACACAAGAGACACCAGTGAGACGCGAGAAACTGGGGAAAGCAACGATGTTTAAACTTTGAGCTCAAGACAGACCCTGCATGCTGCCATGCAAGTCTGTCCCAGGATCATGGATGGTGTCGTTGCCCAGACTCCACTAGTCGTCGTGTCGACATGGCACTCTCGCTGCGTCGTACTGCATTCGGATTGTCTATTGTCCATAGACGTGGTGCGGGGACGTCGCGTGGGTTGGAGGTGCGAAGGTGCATCAGGAAGCATTAAGCGACCACTAACAGCTTGTCGTAGTTTGTTTGCGGTGGTCGTGATAGTGACGGGTGGTTGTGGCATTATTCCTGGCACAGATTGCGCAATTGCACTGGCGTCCAGGTCGACGTCGTCGTGAGTGGGTCTGATTGGCCTGCCAAGGGGGAGAGTGGGGGTCGTTCAGCGGCTTGATCCCGCGGAGCATCCACTTTTTACCTGTTGGCTTTGAAGGCTTTGGACTACGCTTTCACGCTTTGTCGACCACAGGGAAGGGCCAAGAATTGGAATCACGCAACCAACATGGCAAGATTCGAAGGAGACACCTAACAGAAATGCCGGGGCAGTTTTACCGATTCCGGCCACCCGACTCCCTGTCCACGGCCCGGCACCTGGATATGACGTCACTCGCTCGGCTCAAAAAACACTTGCCGGAAATAATATCATCCCATCAATGAACGCGTCTCTATCAAATATCAAATCCATTTAAAAGGGTTCGACCGAAACATGCGAATCCCGCACAAACTTGCGGATGTTGCGCCAGATCTTGGCGTTGCGCTACGAATGAAACGGGTCAGCAACCGACATCTTCCCTCCAGTCAATGCCTTATTCACATACCTGTTTGGCGGCGTCCTCGGCGTAGTCCTTTCGCTCCTCAAACACCTCAGTGAACCGGCGAAGGTCTCCCTGCATTTGGGTGCGCCAAGACTTGTCTCCATCTTGGACGATCGAATCCAGCTTGGCGATCAGAGGGCCCAGGGAGTCGACCGTCGTGGTGAATAGCTTGGCCAGCTCCCGAGCGACCTTCAACCGGGTCCGGGCGCTCAAGACTTCAGTGTACAGCTCCACGAGAGGTTCGCCCTTGAGTCTGAGTCCAGGGTGGAGCAGTTCCGAGACTTTCTTGAGCTCGGCAGCAGCTGTCAGGACGTTGTAGTAGACCACGGTGATCATCTTGCTGAGTAGGGCGGCATCTTTAATCCACTCCCTTTTCTCCTCGTCCATCAGGTAGAGCTCATCGGTCATGGATGACTGGGAACAAACGGGTTAGTGAAATGGGTGCCAAGGTTGGGACGTCAACGGTTCGCAAACCTTCATCGTACGCTCAAGACAAGCACCAAAGCTGTTGTACGTCGTCGCCATTTCCTCAGAAAGCACCACACACCTCTCCATCTGTCTCCCAGCAGCCCCAAGAGGCCTTTCGAATCCACCAACGGGTCCCTCTCTGTACTCAATGGTAGCCCGCTCGATAAAGTTGGACGTGATTTCCGATCGCTCGATGATTTCCTTGAGATTGGCTGTAATCCCCCGGAGGTTGCGGAGCCCGGTAGAGGCAAGGTTAAGAATTTCGCGGACGGGCTTTGGCATCTCAGAAGGACTGAGCCTACGGCAGCGATTCAGTAAAAGATGATGAGTGGTGGACGATACAGAATCAGGAAAATACTTACCGCTCACCCTGACGGCCTGACAACCATCCATACTTCCTGACCTGCTTGTCCTCAAGCAAAGCCGTGTAGTAAACCGAGCCCAGCTTGTGAATCCATCTGGGCAACACGGCCATATTGTGGTCCCAGTTCTTGCGCTCACCACAGAGGATGCCCTCCAGTGCGATCTGGACGGAATGAGTGTTGATGGTTGGCATGGTTGCTTGTCTCTTGAGATGGCAAGTCTGCGATGTGTCGTGTGGTCGAGAGGAAGATGAGAGGCCGACTGAAAAGCCAACAGAGAAAGCTTTTATCCTGGTCTGCTATGATATTCACTTTGGTCCGTCTGTGTGGGAACAATCCGGTGAGTGTCTGGTGGGGCCGTGAGATGTTCCAGAATGCGAGTGAATACATGGGTGTAAACAGCTGCTCCTACCTATTTAACTGCTTAAAAGTTGCTCCCTGTCACATCTTGGGATGAACCAGAGCAGCCTTTCCCCCTGTTCTTGATGCGGCTGACGGTGCACCACAGGGCAGTTGCGAGAAGCACACGGAAGACTGGCTGTCGTGATGAATCCGTGAACAAACTCTATCGGCTGCAGACTTATCACCAGCCAGAGAGCTCACAAGTCTTGATTCGACTACAACAGGTATCATACTGCGCATTGGGAATCGCTCAATTGGATCCTCCACACTGAAATGTCTTCCGCTTAAGACTAGCCCTACACAGACTTGTTCACTTCAACGCTTTCATCAGGCAACTTTCTGTGAGTGCTGCGCATGTGAAAAAAGACTCGAGATGTAACATCACCAAAAAGGTATGTTTCAAGGAAAAAGAGAGAAAAATAAACTCCTCCGGGAAGGCTCGAACTTCCAACCTCCTGATTAACAGTCAGACGCGCTAGCCAATTGCGCCACAGAGGATCTGTTCTGCGGGCCTCGAACTAGCACCTATGTGCCAAACCGTCTTGGCACCTTCAGCTGCCCTTTTCACCCTATAATGTCAACCCCCCCGGACTTCACTCCTAGAAACAACCACTTCATTCCCGTCGATCTTCACCCGAAGACTCTTTGCAGCCTTCTCCATCACCTCCCTGGGCCCGAGTCCGCCGCCAGCCTCACTTCGACACTGTTGACCAAGAGCGAGGAGAGGGGCGATGGCAGCGTCTTTGTAGTCAAAAAACATCTCACTATAGTCAGATCCTGCCTCGTGTCTGGCTGCCTTGCGCATTCTGACTTGTCCAATAATGGTGGCAACCAAGAAGATGGACGCGACGAGTAGCTCAACCGCCAAAAAGGTCAGCCACGGCCAGGTGATGTGAACATAGGATTCCTGCTTCCACGCCTGCCCTGTGACGTTGAAAGCATCGCTGGACAGCTGGAGTTCTTGATCGGTCGTTCTAAGTCTGAGGGAGTGTCAGTCAAACAACATGCCCGGTCATGTGAAGAGAAACATACCGGTAAGAGATACTCGTGGCGATATTCTTGAAGAGATATGTCATGGTATCTATTCGCGCCGTCGTGTTGATGATGGTCGTCTCGGTGTACAAGACCATTTGCATGATGGTTTTGATAAAGTCACTTCTTGTTACAACCCCACGGCTGGGCGAGTCCCACGGCTCGTAGTATGTTTCCCGCCCAGATCCCATCATGTATGTCTTCATCTCGCCCGCGATGAACTCCATGGCACGGTAGTTGGCACTGAAGCTCCCCGACGGAATCGAAGAGTTGGGTGGGCTCTCGAGATGCAGCGTGATATTCCACTTGGACGACGGGCTATGACGGCATCCAGTGGGCACGCCCACTTTGGAGCTGCAGTTCATGTTGAGGAAGAAGTCAGAGTCCTCCGGTGTTGGCTGTGAAGTGGTAGCAATAAGCTGGTTGTCGTGTATACCATTTCGGACAGTGGTGTTGTAGGTTTGGACGCATAGGTGAAACAGAAACTCGAGGGCTTCGTGTCGAAACTGGTGTGTTGCACTGGCAATGTTGGAGCCGTTGGACATATCTGTCAGCTGCCGCATGTTCTCGTCGTCTTGCGGGATAGGGACAGTGTAGAGCTCCACAAACGACGCTATCCGTGTCGCCATCAAAGTGGGATTGTCTGCAAACCCAACGGTCTGGTTGCCCACGAGCATATCGGACACAGCAGCCATTCGACTTTGGTGAACCAGATCGACGTGCGTGCCGGGGAGAGAGGCGTTCCATATGGTGCGTCTGGGGTAAAAGGGATCGCCCATCATAACCACAGATCCGTTGTTCTTGACAACAGCCTCCTCTCCAGGCTCCGGACCCGGCCAGCTTTGCACGACTATCGCTGAGGAAATGTCGACCATCTCCACACAGACGCCCAAGGAGTGGAACACATCAAAGGTGCAATTGCCAGTCGGACAGGTCGCTCCAGTAGGTGCCATGCGTACTCTGCGGCTTTGCTTTCCGTCGGGAGTAATGGCTTCCAGCATTGCAGTGCGCGTCGCAAACGTGACTTCATCTCTGGGCGACATGACGGTGCGAACCGCTGGAACTTCTGCAAGCTCGGCTGCCACAACCTCCCGAACTGGGTAGCTGATGGCCAACTGTGTTATCGGAGATGTCACCACACTTATGATGGTAATGAAAGCCCCAATAACGACGATATGCTTCGTACGGATTCGAGTGAGCAAAACGATAGAGCCCCACGGTCCCCTGCTTGCTTGGTCGATGACATGAAAGTCGTGCAGCGGTCTTTCGTCCAGGAACCAGGACCACTGAGCTTGGCTAATTGCTATTGATACTGGAACCATGAAGGCTGCTTTGGAAAGGGTGGTGAAGAAAGCAAGAAAGGTGTTGAGTGAGATTTTCAGTGGCCAGTCTGGTAGTTGCTGGCGGTCGAACTTGAAGAGTGTGACGACTATGGTGATAAAGGCAAGTAGGCTGAGAAGAACGCATAGCATCTCCAGCATCCATATCCTCCAGAGTGGTTTGGTCAAGATACCACTCGCGGCTTCAGACCGGTGACTCGAGACCCGTACACCCTTCAGTTCCCGATTGGAGTCGTGGGTGAAGGCAGGTTGTCGCCCTTCTTGCCCTCGTTTGCTGCTCGCAGCGCTTGGACCTTCCAGAGTGTTGACCCATTGAGTCGTGCTGTCAAAGTCCCTTGTCGACGGGGCAGCATCATAATGTCCTGGAGGAACTCCGGTGTATGGATCTGCCACAGGCCCATAGCCGTGTCCATGATGGTAGATGTGGTTGGCGTTTAAATGATCCATTGCCTTTCGGCTGTCATCAACCCATGTAAGAGGCTGAGTCTTGAGTCAAGGGAAACAAGAATGTTTTGGTAATATACAACCAAAGATGCTGTGAAATGGTCCGTCAGAAAGAGGGCAAAGTGTACGACGCCCTTTCAGTCACAGGAATAAATATATCCAGCATGGGCGCCTGGCATCTTAAGCTAGAATATACCAGTCCTGGCCATGAAAATGCAGTGGAAGCTGCCCGTTTAGTCTTGTCCAATGGGCGTCAGACCATCAACTGGCAAGGATATTGTTGGTGACTTGCCTAGACCCGAGTACGGAGCCTTCCGTGTTGATGCAGTGGGTGAGTCAGGGTACGATGTCGATCGTCAATCATCGTTGGATTTGGTCCAATAGGTTCATAGATGTGGTGTAGCACTGCATGATTCTATTTCGGTGAGATCGCACAACATGGCGCCAATGCTTTACTTGAAACTCGAGTCCCTGTGAACCTGCAGCCTGGTTTGCGTGACCCTTATCCCACCAAAGTGAGTAGCACATAGAAGAGCATACAGTATCACCTCAGGCTGTGGATGAGGAAGACGTCAAAACGCATCCTACTTGAAGCGTTGCCACAAGAAAAGGGCAGAGATATGAAATAGGCTCGTTAGGATAAAAGACCTTTTCCCAAACACGTCTTGCTACATTCTCACCTCATCCGACGGTCACTCTTTGAACCCCCTCTTCACCCAGAAACCCGCCCGGCATATAGCCCACTCCAATTCGCTGATAGATCGTCTCATGGCCATCGCCCTCAGTAAGAGCCGTGATAATAAGCAAGTAATGCGTTCTGTGTTCCACAGGCACAATCTCCCCCTTTGCTATCCGTCTGGTCCCCACAACCACCGCTTTCCACCCTTCCCATCCCGTAACTCCTTGTGCATTCCCAGCGTCCAGAATAACATCAACACTCTCTCCCGGCTCGCCAACAGGCTCAAAAACAAATGGTCGTGCCATCGCTTTCAACACGGCTGTCTCATTTGAGGGATCATTGCGACCCGAGCCGGGAGAAGAAAACGGGTCAAGCACCGCATCATTCCTCCAGTCGACACCTCCAAGCGGTAAGTCCAGGTAGTCAATCGCACCGTCATACGCCATCCAACTCCAGCTAGGCAAGCTCTTCCCTTCCTTTTGCTTGGCTTTCGAAAAGTCCACCCTGTTCAATGTCGATGCCTCGGCGCCACGTCTCCAGAGCAGTGATCGAGACAACAAGCTGCCGCCGTCATGGAAAATTCCATACCCGCCTTTGGCCTTCAAGTTGTTGATCATTCGCTGCTCAAGTCCGGCTATGGCAACGGGGCGATCGGTGAGGCGGGTGAAGTTGAGGCGGGAATATTGTCGGTACAGGTCCTCGTAGAAGCGGATGCGCTCACCTCGGTCGAAACCTTTGTCGGAGAGGGAGCTTGATAGTTTCGATGGGAAGGACGGGTCGCCGAGAAAGGAGACGAGTTTACTGTGTTTTTTTGTCAGTATGACCGAGGACAAAATTCAAGTAGAGTTTGAGGCAGGAGCGGTGTAAACAACAGGCGAAGTGGGGCGCAAGAAAGGTTCACGGGTTCAGGGGTAAAAACACCAGACATACTTGTCAATCTTGGTCAGGGTTTCGCATCTCACTCCGCAGCCGCACTCCCAGTAGGTTTGCCAGTCGGTAAAGTAGATTGTCCTTCGGGCCAAGGCGCGTTCTTGCAGGACCCAACCCCTCTTGCTCAAGGGCCCATTCAGCACGTGCTCCGCAAAGTTGTCAATAAACCGGCAGACGTACAGACTGCCCTTCTGGTTGGAACTACTGGACTCGCCACGTAGTTGAAGGAATTGCCTTTCCTTTCTGGTTCTGAGAAACCCATCCCTTTGCCCTCGTGCGCTACTTGCGGCAATGACACAGTAGGCTGCGCTGAAGACATCTTCCATTCTCTTGGCTTCCTTCTCAAAGTCGCCGTGGGGCCCTTGGATGATACATATGGAGTCTATCCACAAATACCGAACACCTAGAGCACGAGTGGCGGCTATTGCGTCACGGAAGGTGTCAGGGAAGTTGGGGCTCCGCACAGGAATAGCTGCTTTGTGTTGAGCAAGGTTGTGAGGAAAAGTACAAAACGAATGACCTTGGCCCCATGGATGCGAGAGAGCAATGTATTTGACGGTCTCCGTGGTTGTTGTTTGGATGAGACGCACGACGGGAGCGTCAGGGCTGCCAAGATCAATAAGTCTGGTGGGAGGTGGGTATTTCTTTACCGGATCGCATCCTCGGTGGTTCTCGTCACAGTCGTTGAGCCATTCTGTCAGAAAGGCAAAGTGGGTCGTCGAAGCAGGCGCTGGAAGGCTGGGAAACCCAATCTGAATGTGATTGGAGTTTGGCGCCATGAAATCTTTTCCTCGTTAGTACGTAATACAGGTTGACCGGGGAATAGAATTGGCGAGCACTGACCAGGGCTTCGGCAGATTGACAAGACCGGAATGGGATTCTCGTTAAGCTTGAGCATTGACTGCTCGCGGTCGAAGCGGACTGTCTGTACCAGGCCCCGGTTGATATGGTGGCATGCCTCGTACCTCAACTTGCAGAAATCACACAGGGCACGCTTGACATCGAGCTCTGCCAGAGTGTCTGTAATGTGAAATTGAGGCACGCAGAGATCGTACGCGGCGCAGGTTCCACAGAGGCGAGCTTGCGCGAGCTTCACTGGGTAGATGTCTGGAACGCTCAGCGCTGAAACAAGCTGCCGGGCGAACTTGTTGTCGACGGGATACTCGGTTCTGTCAAGCTTTAGATGATGTTAGACATCAGGATGACAAGAATATCAGGTGATACCAGCTGAAAGAGGATGTTTACCTACCTTTGACTTTTTTTCTCTGGTTAACTCATCGCCGCAGGGATTTCAATCTCAGAAGTCACTTACGGCCTAAGATGGTTAGCCTTCAACATTCCAAAGATGGGAAGATTCCTTACGTTCTGCTTATCAAGTGTCAGTGCCGGAATAATCTCTACCACAATTAAGAATCGTAGAATGCACTTACACGCTACAAGGCTACCTGTCAGCCATGCGAGTCTACAATGTATTAACCGCTCAGGGAATAGCATTAACACTTACGTACTAAAACACAACTGTCAGAATCTCTGTCTTTTAACTCATTTCAGCGGAATTTACTGGTGCTTACCTCCTATATCCGCGCCGCGGGCATTCGATTAGCTGTGCCCTTCAAAGTATTGTCCTGTCCTAGGTGGGTCTGTGGGGAGTCATACATCCTGAGATATCTTAGCATAAACCAAAGCCTCGTTAGACCGGTAATCATACTCGTCTTGTTTTTGCTTCAACAACTGTAATTACAGGGACCATCAAGCTTGGCTGATCCTCGAATCCGGCATCAGGAATTATACCACCGCCATTCTCTCCAAGGGGCCTCAAAGGGGGCCTAGGTCGGAGGGGCCGGTTTCCTCCTACCGCTGAGTTTGGCGAAAGGAAGGAAGACTCTGGTGCTCTGTCGACCTTCAAGTCTTTGATATGCTCGCGGCTGGCGCCCGTGAACCAGTATGACTCGTCGGTTTTGCCTCGAGCCACAATATCATCTAGACGCTCCATGAGTTCTTGAGAGTATGCGCGAGAGCCGTTGGTGGACCTTGGGGGGGCTGAACTGCTGACGGGTGTGGCTGGAGGGTCCAGTTCCACGACGAGAAGTTTGGTCTTGACGATGGTGAGAAGCTCCTTCAGTGCAGTCTCTGCCTTGCATTCTGGATCGTAATACAGGGCTCTGATTGTCGCCTGGACATGGGGATGCACGAATGCCTCGTCTTTATCTTTGTCGACCTTGAACCAGTGGCTTCTATGCCTTCCCTCGTCGATGATCTGGCTGTTGAACCTTTCCAGATGATCGGTGCCATACAGCAGCCAGATCATCATCTCCAAAATCACGCATCCGAATGACCACATGTCGTATCGTCGGGAACGGCCAAGCTCGGACTTCAAGGCCACCTCGGGAGGTTCGTAGCGGGTTGTCGTGTATTGAGTTGATGTGTTGTGTCGCAGTTGGGTAGCAATGTTGTGATGTTTTGCAAGTCCCATGTCGGAAATCTTGAGAATAGGAAAGCCGAACTGGCCGTCTCGAGGTGGTTGGCCGACCACACACAGGATGTTTTCGGGTTTCAAGTCTCCATGCCGGTATGAGCCTCCTCCGTAGCGGTAATTGTGCAGCTTGTCGAGCGCATCCGCCATTCCTTGGATCTGCATGATGACGGCTCGGACAAGCTCTCTTGTCACGACTGGACGCTTGTGTTCAGGCATTTCCCAAAACTTTCTTAGGCTTCCCTCCTCTGCCCAGCGAAAAAGCAGATATCGGTCACTGCCACGCTTGATGGCGGCGATAAACTCGATGATATTCTGATGTTTGAGGTTGCGCATCTCAATGTGAGCCTTGACTTCGCGTACCCATTCATCTCGAAGTTGATCCAGTTCGTTTTCATCCGTGGTGTCGCGATAAACCGGCCTGATGACCTTGATGGCAACATCGGCTCGTTTGCCATCATACTATGTGAGCGTGAATATCAGCACCTAATACATGCGAGAGACCTGTTCTGAGGTAAAGCAAACAAACCTTCATGATGGGATTCAGATGGTGCTCTTCGTGGATCTTGACCTGGAAAACTTCGCCGAAAGCACCTGATTCGCCCGCTCTTGACTTTTCAGTAATGGGAAGAATACAATCCGGATCAAGATCCAGCTCGGGGTTGCTCTCTGAGATGATTGGTACGAGAACCGTCCATTGGTTTCGACGAAAACTGCGCCTGGACACCTCAGTCCATGGTTCCAGAAATTCACCAGCTTCGTCAACGAATGCGCTGTCAGGAAGAGGTAGGGAGTTGTCGTTCACAGATTTTGTCTCAAATTGTATCATGGCTGTTGCTAGCTCCTCGTCTTTGTCGGTAAGTCCGGCCAGCAGTGACGTGATAAAAAGTTTGGGGGCACTTTTCATCACAAAGTTGACAACATCTTCTTCCAACTCCGGGTCATCGGACAGGTGCAGTTCCCGACGAACAGCAGCTGGGGTGAGAAGAGTCTCGATGCAAGTATTGGGTAGGAATTCTCGAATGTGTTCATCGAAAACACTCTTCTGTAGGTTGCCCAGAATGTCTGAGCCAAGAGAGGACTTTTTACTCTTCTTGGCCAGAAAAGATGCCTTTCGGTCTTCTTTGGAGATGAACTTTGGTTCCTCTTGGAGCGGCATCTTGCATGATGAGACTGTTTGAGATGGAAATGATCTTGTGCGGTAAATGACAATGTGTCAGCTCAATGGAAAATGAGAAAATAATAACGCGGGTAGGTACTCTAAGACACTTTTACGACTTTGACTGGCGTTAGTTAGGGGGCACTGAACTTGTACTAGCTTCCCGCAGCCTGGTCCATCCTCATGCCATTTCTTGGCTTCGACCCCCTCATCAGGCACACCACCCTGACTGGACTGGATGATGCGCCACCATTGATAAGATACCCCAATATTTCCAGGGCGACACGGGCTTGTCATCACAATGGCACTGCGCATGCGGCACGTATCACTATCCTTCGCAAAACAGGGCGTGAACATGACAGCCTCGTCCTACATCATTGCCACTTGGGTGCCCGTCATGACCGTTGCCCGAATTTAGACCCCTCTGCACTGTGCGATTTCGTCCAGAGAAAGCTGTCTGGGGATGCGGATGTTGTAGGAGCTTCTGATCATCTACCAAGGTGTCAGCTCTGACATGCCTTTTATCTTCCTTTTTTGGATGGATTTGAGAGCCTGCCCACCGATATCTCATAGCGACCAAGTCCAAACTGGGAACGTAACAGGCCTATCAGCTTGAGAGGGTCTATGGCCCTCGCTGGAAGGTTTTGTGTGGATTCGAGCTGAAGTGTGTCCTCCATCATTTCCGTGGACAGTTCCCAATCTTGTGAGTGGTGGAAGTAGATAACAGCGAACTCGAATGCAGGCCGTTCTATGGGTGATTCAAGTTGTCGGCATCTTGAAGAGATCCAGGCCGTCCTCATCCACGATCGACTGGAAGAAATGGGCAGACAAGTCTTATATCATTGCAAACAACATTTGTGCCTCACTTTCGGTGGACGTGCCATTCGCCAGATTTGGGCCTAAGTCGTCGTCGCCCATGACCTGGCAACATGAATACTGTCAGACCTAGTGGTGTTGCTCACCGAACTTGTTCAAGCGTCGCGCACGGCACACCCACCGACCACAACTCACACGGTGTGGCCTGTCTGCCCGGGCAAAGAGGGAGTGAGGCGCATTTCCATAGGCGCCCTACCTGCTTGCATGAGGCCCCCAATGCCACCTGGGCGCGTACCACATGCTGTGTAAGGAGGGCGAGGCATAACATGTACGTACATTTCCCATCCCACCCGACTGGAGTTTCAGCCCCGGCTGTCTGGTGTCGAGTTTTCACCCCAGTTCAACCCATTCAACGCACATGATTGGTCTCGGCTGCATACCAATGAGCGACTCAAAATGCCTAGCAAATTTCAGGGGAATGGTTTTCACGAGGCTCTGTCGTGGGTTGGTCCTTACCTACCTTAGACAACAATGGAATTGAGCGTCAAAATGGACAGGAAATGTCTTGATATTCCCTCGATATCAAGTGCATTCCAACAATTACCGTGACAGGCGACTACGACTGCCCACCATGAAACCTCAGACACCGGTATTCAACATGAAGGTCGACAACTCGAACATGGAATCTGAAGCTGCATCACCCTCTGCCAAGACTCCTTCTCCAAGCATTCATCAAGCTTCTAGTCTCGCTTCCTCGGGGTACCACACCAGACAGTCGCCGCATACGTCTGCAAACGATGGTTCCAGAGACCAGAGCGATCTTGCAACAGAATACTCTGACACCGAGTCCAGCTCAGGCAGCAGTCTCGTATCATCAGAGGAAGAACACCTCCAGGATAGATCTAGGCGTCCTGTTGAACTTGGAGGTGGACTCGATACACTAGTCACCAGTGAGCTGGATCGAAAGGGTATCATCGACGAGTCAGACTCTGAGTTGTGGAAGGTGGAAGAGCGGACACCTTCAAACGGCCGGAAATCACCCAGAGTCAACTACACAGCTCGTGCACCATTCCGGGGGGACGGTGGCGTACCAATAGTAGATCTACACCACAAACCGGCCCATGAAGTCGAACCGAGCGAGATCACGGATCTCGGTAACGGCCAATACATGCGCGATCCAGATAGGAAATCTCGGTTTCTCCAGCGGCGAAAAAGTCGCAACCATGCCAAAGACAGGAAGTCGCTCCAAACACAACTTTTTCAGTCTCTCCACCCGCTTGATGACGAAGAGAAAGAAAAAGGGTTCATACCTATTGATCTGTTACCTCTGCTCATCACCGAAGAATCTGTCTACAAGGAACTATCAGGTCCCCTCCGAGAGACCCATGATGAGAAAACCATCCGGAGATACGCGCGCAAGATTTGTGCCGAGACAACCGAGAATTATATAGAGGGCGACAAGCCCAAAACAAAGACCATAACGTTTCGTAAAGTCTTTGCGATCCTGGTCCTTGTGGAGAAGTCTCCTTCTATCACCAAGTTCCTCAAAGAAAACATAAACGACTCGGATTTGCCCTTGGTCAGAGTCAGCAACCCAAAGAGACCTGGCGAATGCGATTTACGTTGTTCGAGGGAGCGGGACAAACAGCTCAAGTGTTTCCGAGGGAGCTGGTCACCTCTACAGATTCGGAATTTCGCATCGTGGCAATTCGTCACTCTGGCCCCTTTTTTCGCCAAAAGCGAGCTGTACAAGGAAGTCGAGCACTACGTTCTACAGGACGGGATCATCATGCCTTTTCTGACGGACCCGAACAAGCAAGCCATATCCAACGATCCCTTTGTCGGTAGTCAGCAGGAAGAGCTGTTAGGTGGTGGAGGTCGGGTGTTCAGGGCCATCCTTCACCCTGATCATCATAGCTTTCACAAGAGTTTCAAGGTCGGTACATAATCCCGGATCAAATGTATGCAGATAAGAGTGGGTTAAAGCGGGTCCTAATAAAACACTGCAGTGTCCTCGAGAACCATCATGCATCTGCACCTTCGCCATCAAGCGTCTCCATTCCCAAAATAAAGATCACTTCAAAAGAGAAGTTGACATGCTGAAGAAGTTCAGCAACTTTGCACACCCACATCTCATATCCTTACTAGCCACCTATGAACAGCGAAACAGTTTCTTCCTGATCTTCCCCTGCGCCAAATCCGACCTACTTTCTTACTGGGAAAAGTTCGAGGCCAGACCGAAAATGGACCACGGCACTGTGAAATGGGTGGCACATCAGTGCAAAGGAATTGCAAGCGGTGTGTTGAAAATTCACGAGTATTCAAGCACCAACTCAAAGCTGGGCAACACCCTGAAGCCAGGTCCACGGGAACCATTTGGCCATCATGGGGACATCAAGCCACAGAATGTGCTGGTCTTTTTAGACAATGCTCAAGATGGCCCAACTCAGGATCATTGTTCCACATGGAAGAGTCGAGGCACCCTCAAGCTCACAGACTTTGGCCTGGCTTCCACATCTTCTCATCGCACCATATCCCGAAAGCCACTCTCTCATGTCGGAATGACCTACAACTATCGAGCACCCGAGTGCGATCTTCCTTCCAACCAAGATCCAAAAGGCCGTCAGTACGATATGTGGACGCTTGGATGTTTGTACCTAGAGTTTGTCACTTGGCTCATGGGAGGGAAAAAGCTCCTCGACGAATTCACACAGCTTAGAGCAGGGCCCTTTAGCGCTGAAAGTCTGAAGCACAGAACAAAACTGGACATCTTGTACGGTGGTGGTCTCATTCCACCTGAGATCACCAGCGATGCCTTCTTCATGATCGAGGAGGACCACAGCATAGAAGGACAGAAAAGAGGGGGTCTCAAGGGAATAGTCAAGCCGGCTGTCACCGAGGTATGTCTTGTCCCCTTTACCATATTCCCACATTAACACGTTGACACATTGACACATTGACACATTTTCCCATCTCCTCTCACATTCCCCATTCCAAGATCAGTTCCCAATACCATTTCTAGTTCATCAAGAGACTACACGCCGACCCAGCATGCACCGGGTTTTTGCATGACTTCTTGGATATGATACAAGATGGACTACTGGTCGTCAAGCAGTGCGACCCAGGGAAGCTGGACAGGTACGAGATTCAGCAGGTCTACGGCAAGCTCTGCAAGATGGAGCAGGAGTGTGAGAAGTGGGAGTACAGCTGCGGACCAGCGTCGAGGTGATGGGGACGGCAAATCAGCAAGTGCAAAGGATCAATGGATAATAACATTTATCTGATAATAATCATTCTTTCCAACTTATAATCTACCCAAGATCTCGTCGAAAATCCCAAGAAACGCCTCTATCCACTATCCATCCAGTCACTCCGTACCTCGTCTACACTCTGATATGCCCACCGTCAATAATGGCCTTGAGATTAGGCAGAACACCAATGCGATCAGAAGAGGGAGTGCGGCTGGCGGTGCCAGAGGTGGTCAGAATAGTCCTGACTCTCGCAGGGCTCAGCTTGCGACCAAGTCTCGCCTGGGCAATACCCTGAACGGCGGCAGCAGCACCAACAATAATCGGACTAGCCCCGGATGTGCCGCTGAAGCCGGTGGTGTACAGGTTGTTGGCAGTGCCATCGGCGTTGGTAAAAGTGGTATCGATGTTCTCGCCCCAGCCGTAGACATCAACACGGCTGCCGTGGTTGGAGTAGCCCAGCCGGAAATGGGGAACTGACGCGCTGGACGCTCCGACCATGATAGCACCGGACTCGCGGTATTCGCTGGGGAATGCGCGGTTGAAGATGCGCTTGTTGGACAGGTTGCGGTAGGCATCCAAGTCATTCCCACCGTTGCACGCCGCTTCGACAACGATGATTCCCCTGCCGGTACAGACGAGGATGGCCTCGTGATTCGCGTCAGCCACCGACACGGGCCAGTAGTATTGGCCGCCCACGGGGTCGAACTCTTGAGCTTCAAGCAGGAGGATATCACCACTGGCCATGTTGTTGCAGGCGTCCAAGATGGTCGCAGCTGTATTGTACGAGCCATCGGGGCGAGACTGAGAGATCACTCGGCCCTTGGCGGCGGGGACGATGCCGACACCACCGATTTGGTTGTCTGCCATGAGCATCTGGCCCAGGACGGCAGTGCCGTGGTCGGGATAGTCCCTGTTGCGGCCAGAAATGAGGGTGATGTTGGCAGCACGAAGGTCTTCGTGGTTGAGGTTCCTATTCAGAGAGTCAGTCAAGTGGTCTATCACAGAGGGGCTGAAGCAACATACCATCCCTGCTCCATGTCAACGATACCAACTCTGGCACCGTCACCACCAGTGATTGTCCAAGCGTAACGGGCATTGATACCCTGAGGGGCAGCGTTCAAATACCCCTGATTTCCGCTGCGAGGGTCATCATTAGGATTAACAGCAGGAGGTGGACCTTGCTGCAAAGCGTGGACACTGGCAACAGTGTCAAGCTTGTTCAGTCGGTGAATAAGTTCCAGCGTCAGCTTGGAGAGTGCAGGGGGCGCCTCCTTGCCGGATTTGGAGCTGGCGGTGGAGACAGCGCTCAGTCCAAGATCGTCAATGTCGATCTGGAACCACTCCTCGAAGCTTGGGATCTGGACACCATCCACGTCGAGACGCTTCCGAAGAGCCGCGCTGGGACGATGCTCCTGAGGAACAAGGGGCGCGACGTTGGGTGTGAGCCGACGTCTGTGGCGGCCAGTGTTGAGGCCATCAATCAGACTCTCAACCCCTGAAACCAAGCTGGCGATGAACTCGGGGTCCTCCAGCTGCTTCTTCAAGCCCTCTGGTGTGAGCTTCAGGGCAAGTCTGGGGGCGTTGGAGGCCAGAGAAGAAAGAGTGGATGTGACAGCTTCGACGGATTCTGCAAATTATCAGTGTTTGAGCATTATCTAGGTCATTGACAACCTAGGGAGACTTACCCTTTGAACCCAGGTCAAGAGCGTAACCTGAGGTGAGTTGCGCTGTCGCCAACAGACCGGCCCCGAGCCACGCCTTCAACCTTGAGACAGACATTGTGACTCTGTGAACTCGAGTGACCTTGAAGACTATGGGCGGTTGAGTCTGAACTTTGAAGGTTGAGAAGCCAGATGGGGAGATAGGTAATGCAGATCAGTTGTGGGAATCTTGATAACTTATATGCCCATCTACATCTTTCATAGACTAGGTACCCAAGTTAGTCGACCCATACCAAGCACTTTGTGTGGAACGACCAGACGCGATTACTTCGCCTAGGTGGACATGAGATTATGCCATCCTTCCAGGCTGCGTATAACATGCGATTGGTCGGGACATGGGTGCCAACCCCTGACGCTTTAACATGTCAACCAAATTTGACCACCTCGCCACAGTTCTTCTGGTACGTTGGTGTTCACCATGCATTGCCCACAACCAGGAAAACACAAAAGGTCCCCGTGGATCAGACGCGTCCAGGGCCCCTGAATTTGATCCAAGTCCGAAAACTCGGACAGACATGTCCCCGGGGCCGGGGGGGGGCCACTCGGTCATCAGCCCTGCAACCGCGCCACAAATCAGCTCCTGCGGGCCTTAAGTTCCAGCCCAGGGTCTTTGCCCCGGGCGGGCAGTCCCTAGCTCTTTCATCGGTGAGGGCACGCACAAGCAAATAGTCCCACCCCACCAAGCCCAAACTGGGCTAATGCTGACCCTTGGCGAATGCTTATGCTCAGGGGTTGAGTCTAGGGGCGTTCGGCCCGAGCTTTCTAGATGGTGAGTCTATGAAGTTCTATACGAGCAAGAGATGCCTGATATGACTAACCCGGGTTATCGGTTCCTGGGTTTAGACGTTGGCACGTGGGGGGCACACCTTCCTTCCCTGTGTTTTACGTATCATCGTCCCATGTTTGTAGCCATCTTGAGGACCAATAGGGGGCTTGTGCGTCGGTTGCGTAGTAATGAGCAAGGGCAAAAGCATCCTATGGCTTCCTTCTACCCACGGTGTATGGCTGACTGCTTACAAGCAACCCATGATGAGGGTGTTCAGAACAGGTCAGCTGGCAGCAATGAAGAAGGCTTACATCTTGCGCATATCACCTGAAGGAACACCATTAGCTGGGTTATCAGTCTATGTTTAGCATTTGGTTTGATAATGACATTCGAGCAGGAAAAAGCTGCCTGTTTAGGACATTGCTAGGTGCCGTGAAAAACCCGAAAGGCAAGACTTCAATCTGAATCCCCCCGTCCTGTTCTGACTCATTGCTCCATCAAATCTGCAGTCCTTCCGTAATACGCATCACGTTCCTGATATCCTCGAAGGTGATACCTCTATCATATCTCTTGGCCATCATCCTTGCAGTCTTGGTGATGTTCTTGATCCTGCGGCCGTTTGTCTCGATCGACGCTAGCGTGTCAAACTCCTCATCCGTGACCGTGGAGGCGAATTCTCCCTCCTCCATGCCCAGGAACGTCTTCCAGATGGCGAGACGTGATGACAGGTCCAGGGCAGGGTAGTTGATGGTGAGGTGGATGCGCGAGTAGATGGCCGGGTCCAGAACACGTTCTCTGTTGGTGGTGAGGAACAGCAGAGAAGGGTAGTACTCCAGCTCACGGAGGAAGCGGGCCACGAGCCGGTTTCGTTCCGGGGAGTCGTCACTCCTCTTCTCAAGATACATGTCACACTCATCGATTAGGAGCACGGCCTTCCACTTGGCGGCAAGCGAGAAGGTCTTGGTCAGCTCATCGTCATCGCGGCTGCTGACGGGTGAGCGTGACCGGGAATCGTGCCGACGCCTCTCGGGCATACGATCCCGTTCGTCTTTCAGGAGGTCCGACAACTCCATCTTGACCAGCGGCGCATGAATCTTTTCAGCAACTGAGGCACACAAGTTAGCTTCCAATCATTTACAAACACAAGCGCTCAAGATATACTGCGGTACATACCAGACTCTGCCGTCATTGTTTTGCCCACACCTGGATCACCGGCCAGCAACATGACAAGACCACCGCCCTTGCCGTTGATGACATCGTCAAAGGCCTCTCCGTCCTTGAGCTGATTCTCGACAAAGGACAGAATGAGATCTTTGTAACCGTCCGGGAGCACAAGGCTATCAAAGGGCTTGGTGTTCTTCTCGACGTCGATGATGCGATCCACCTCAAAGTCATCTGTTTGCCGTCGTCAGTAAGTTGGCTTGATAAGAAAGTCAACAAAAGCTTACCCCATTTTCTCTCCTTGAGGCAATAGCCATGCATGTAAGAAGACAAAAGCAACAGCTCGAGCTCATCCAGGACCTGCTTCTTGTTCTTGTCGCCATCTTCTGTCCCTGTCGCCATAGGATCGTCCTCGACAACTAGAGGTCGTGGAGGAGGTCTGGCGTACGGCTCGTCGTACGGTGCGTCGTAGTCGTGCACTGGAATTGGTTGCCGGTATCGAGGCCTCAGCGGGTTGTCCTCAAGAGGACGGTGACCACCGGGCGGGGCAGCGTCAACCGGAGCTTGCGTAATCAGCTCAGTGTAAAGCTGCGGCTTGTTCACCTCGCTCAGGTGTCTGGTAAAGGTTCTTCTGGGGCAGTTCCGGGAATCCAACATGATGCGATTGGTGTGCTGTTTCCGCTCTGACTCGCTCATCTCTTCTGCCTTCTCAGGGAGATATGCCTTGTAGGTGATGCCAGCGAGCTCGTGATGTCTCTTTCCCCTTTCGAGGCATCGGGCTTTGATTGCGGCCGCATCCTCGAGGTACTTTACCGGAACGACTCTCATGTCCGCAATCTTTCTTGTGCCCTTGAAGCTAGAGAGACTGATGTTGTCATTCGTGGCGCCAAAGCTAGACCCATTCCATGAAGTGCCTGTGCAGAAGAGGTTGTATCGTGGATGGCGTTGGTAGCGCTCGGGGTCATCGTGAGGGGCTTCCACCTCGGTGACGATGAAGAAGTCACCCAGGTTTGACTGCCTGGTGATACGCGGAGTCTCGTACACGAGCTCGCCTGGAGGGAAAATGGTCCACAGGTGCTTGAAAGTGATGATGCCGTGGCTGACGAGCTCGTCCTTGACTGCAAACGCCTCGGCCAGGTCGACCCTGACAAGGGACCTCAGCTGGATCAGAATGGTCTTGACAACCTCACTCTCTTCCTTGTCGATGGCGGCGTTGAACCTGTCCCAGCGCCAGAAGAATGGGCGGAACGGTGCCTTGAAGATCAAGAACTTGACCTCTTTCACGAGGTTATCGTATCCCTCAAACACGTCGAATAGCACCTCCCGGACTTGGGGATGGCGGATCTCAATCGAGTGGAGTTCAATCCGCTTCTTGTTGCCGTTCATGGTGGCTAGAACACGGCGGCGGACAATGAGAGGATAGGTGCAGTCCTCGTTGTCTTGGTCGACTTCCACGTCAGGGGGCATCTCGTGGACCCAGTTCAGGCAACATTGGCACTTTTTGGGGCCTTCGTAGAGATCCTGAACCAGCCTTTGGCGATCCTCGGTGCCAGCGTGGAGGTCATCTTCGATGCGGATGGCATCAGCCAAACGCTCGATGATGGAGTACGACTCATCGTCGTCTTGGAGCGGCTTGTCCCTCGGCATGGTTGTTGTATCTGTGGCTTTGTGTCGGTTTCAAAAGAAGAGAAAGGATGAGTGATGGGGAACTTGGATGTTGGATGAGATGGATCATCTTGATATACCCCGCGGTTGCTCAGAGTGTTGGCATCTGAGGCAGGCTGTGAGACCGTCCTGCCTGGCGTTGCCTGGGCTGCGCATGCGGGGACATGCAATATGCACTCCATCGGACAGCGAGTCGATGCGTCGATTGGTCTCGTTCAGGCGGCACTGCCCCCAACAGCCTGCTGCACAGTGAAGAAATGTCCAATAGCCGCCATCCTGGCTCGGACTTTGGCTTGAGGACAATTGGTTCAATGTCAAGTGCATCATCATGAGGACAGGAAACCACCGACGCGAAAGGGGACTGTTCTATCAACCCTAACCCCCCTGACCCCTGAACCCCTGACTGACACAGCATTGTGCTAGATTTTTTTGTTGTTTTGACAGTCCCCAAGCGCCTTGAGCTTTGGTGGAGGATTCTGCATGCATAAGTCTGATCTACAAGAGCTGTCACAGCTGGACTGGTGTTGGTTCCAAGACTCGGCTCCGCGTCGCCATTGATTGGTTACCACCGATCCAGTGATAGCAACCAAGGCGCTTCACGAAAAGACATAAAAAGCACTGAGTGGCTGCTTCGAGAGGGAAGAACATCAAACATATGCTCCGCCATTTCCAAGCTACATTATCTATTCCTGTCCTCAACATGCACGCACTGCTCTCTCGAGGCAGAGCTTCAGCGACCGCCGACGCGATAGGTGGGTCCGTCGAACTTGCAGCCGCAATCGGGATTCCCCTTGCCATCGTCTTCTTCATCGCAGTCATTCTCGCCATTTATTCATCAAAACCAAGCAACAAGGAAAAGGAGCCAGAGGTACGGGAAGTCAGCGGCGAGAGTTTATACGATCGATTGGCAAGGGAACGGACATGGCAAACTTCCGGAAGAGACGACAGCTCATATGATGGGTACAGGCAGGTTCAGATGGGGGGCGGGAGAAATATGGAAGCAGAATCAGAAGTCCTGCTAACGGCACCGCAACCGAGTCGGCCTAGGAGTAGTGATCGCGGAGGCGGAGATGATTATAGGGTATGAGATGCTGGGAATTTGCGGATTGTGGAGAGTCACATATTATGCGAAATAGAGCTACCTGACCTGACCTGAATCATGGAATAAATGGGTTGTAACTGCAAATTTCACGACTATTGAACACCACACCAAGCACAGTTCTTTTTCCCGTTACACAGGAGTGTCGCAACCTAAAGCGAGAATCGGACTCGTCGTGTTTAGCCTGGATCATCATTTACTTGTCATATGCGGTAGACACCGCGACTGGCCAATCCAATACTTCAAAGCAAGTGTGAAGATGTTGGAAACGTAACCTTTGTGCGGAGAAATGCGGGTGAAAAGATCTGCACAATTTCTGTGAGACCGTCAGCCGTGCACAGCATGGTTGAGAGATCATATAATGACAGGAGTGTTCGATACCCAGAGCAAGCCGGGCCGTCATCTCCCTCAACACTCGATTACCAAGTGAACATTGTTTCGCCATGTCGCTAATCAAGATTCTGGGAGTTCTTCTTACCTTTAATTTCTCGGTACAAGCCACCAGGCATTTCCATCCTCTTTTTGCTTGGGAGACAACACCTTTGGACCCCATTGATTTGGCGAGACTTGTCCAGGACACCAATACCTCGCAATATGAACACCTGTTTCCCTTCACAGGTCAAAATACCCCAGCAACACCTAATCGGCTAAGCCCTGGCACCTGCAAAGTGTTTCCAGGAGACAATGACTGGCCCTCACCGGAAGCATGGGATGCCTTTGGTAAGGTCCTCGGTGGTGCTCTGATCAAGACGGTCCCAGCTGCGGCGGTCTGCTACGCCAATACAGGCCTCTACGATGCGCAGAGGTGCTCCCAGGTTCAAGCAAATTTTAGCAATCCCTATTTCCAGTATGCCTCTGAGTCTCTATAAGCTGTAGTGAAAACACTAACAAGCTCCCCAGTGAGGATGACCCTACTTCTAACTTCTTCCCCAACTTCCAGGGTAGGACCTGTCTTCCAACTTCAGATCCTCGATCCTCAAACTGCACACACGGCGCATTCCCAGTATACGCAGTGAATGCTACCAATGTGCAGCAAATCCAACTAGCCATCAACTTTGCAAGGAACACAAATATCAGGCTGGTCATCAAGAACACGGGACATTGCTACTTGGGCAAGTCGACTGGGGCCGGGGCTCTGAGTATGTGGACCCATCACTTGAACGATATCCGGTATTTTGACGACCTGAAAGTTGATGGCTTTGAGCAAGGTGGCAAAGCACCCAAGATTGCCCCTGGAGCGACGGTGAGGCAAGTTCATGAGGCAGCGGATCGGAATGGCGTCAGTGTCCTGGGCGGCATCTGCGAGGTGAGCATCGTTAACTACCCACAATACATATCTACCCACCAGGTGTCCAACTGCTAACACATCAAAGAGCGTCGGTTATGCCGGAGGCTACGTAGCTGGAGGCGGTCACACACCCTTGTCAGGCCTCTACGGCATGGCAGCCGATCATGTTCTCGCTCTTCAGCTTGTCACCGCTGAAGGCCACTTCACCACTGTCTCCCCAAAACATAATCCTGACCTCTACTGGGCTCTTCGTGGCGGCGGAGCTGGCATATTTGGTGTGGTCACCTCTGTGATCATCAGAGCTCAACCCAAACTCCCGGTCGTAACCTCCACCTTCTCCATCAGCACCTCTGATACTGTCTCCGCCGAGACATTCTGGAAGGGAATGCGCGGCTATTTTGAGCTTTTCATCCCCTTTACCGATGCGGGCACGTACTCCTGGGGGGTACTAGTCAATACCAACGGCAACTATGTCTTTAGCATGAGCCCCTTTTTTGCGCCAAACCACACCATCGAGTCGTTCAACAAGCTCGTCAAGCCATGGTTTGACCAGCTCACAGAACTGGGTATTCCATTCACACCAAACACAACCCAACACGATGCCTATCTCCCCGCCTGGGCCTCCACTTAGGGCGAGGATGTCATGTTGAACGCCGCCGGGGGGATGAACATTGCCGGCAACTGGCTACTCCCACGCCGAAATTGGGAAAACCGGACAAAATTCGAAGAAACTTTTGCGGTCATCAAGCGGCATAGTGAGACTGGAAGGATGCTGATGGGGTATCACCAGGCGCCGAGGAACAGAGCCAACGTTGACAACGCCGTGAACAATGCTTGGCGGGAGGCTGTCTGCTTCCTCATCCTGGCGGCAGTGATTGATGCGGAACCGTTAGCTTTCACCCCCGGTTTGATCGGTGCTGCGTCAAGGGAGTTTAGAGATGAAATCCTGGCGCCATTCAGAGCGGTTGCTCCGGAGAGTGATGGTGGTGGGGCATACTTGAACGAAGCTCATGTTGATGATCCAAACTGGCGGGAAGCGTTTTATGGAGGTCACTATGAGCGACTGTCAAGTATCAAGCAGAAGTTGGATCCTGGGCATGTCTTTTATGCCACGACCGCAGTGGGAAGCGAGAGGTGGGAGGTCCGGGATGGAGATCAAGGGATACAAACACAGAACGGGCGGCTATGTCGGACTTGAGTACCTCGAGGCAAATGCGTGAGCTTTGTGGACTCGTACTCAGTCTCGGACTCGACCGGGTTGAGGGCCATCTATTGCTCCGGCGCCAGCAAGTTACATCGAGTTTAATTTTAATCGGGAGTTGAGTTGTACCATTCCGTGGTGATTCCGCTTCAGGACCCAATCTTTTGCCTAGGTTTCTCCATGTGGTCCTACTCTTTTCACGTGGTACAGCGGGGAAGTCCACGGGATTTAACGGCCATATGATGAACGGCCCCGCCACAGGTATTCTCCAATCTTCATCCACCGTCGCAAACCTACTCTACGCGCCATGTCCGTAACACATACCGTTCTCTTCCAGATCAAGGCCGATGCCGATGCTAATGATGTGAAGGCCGTGTGTACTTATTTCCTTGGCTTGACAGCCCGTCTGTGCTAACCTCAGTTGTCACATAGGCTTGAGATCGCTTCATTGCGCTCAAAGACAGCTGCCTCCACCCCACAAGCAATACACCCTATATCAAGACGATCAAAGGTGGCAAGGACAACTCACCAGAGGGGCTCCAGGTGTGTGATGAGCTGAGGTACCTTCCATCCTAGGATATCATAATCTTACTGACAGTCAATCGAAAGAATGGCATCACCCACGGCTTCGTGGTTGAGTTCTCCTCGGCAGAGGACAGAGACTACTACGTCTCGACCGACCCTTCTCATCAGGCTTTTGTGAAGAGCATCGGCGCTTTGGTAGAGAAGGTCATCGTGGTAGACTTTGTTGACGGTCTGTACTAGGTACCGACCTGTTGTGTCTTCCAGGTTGTCAGGCTTTTGGATGGCTTGGCTCCAAAAAAGCTTGCGAGTAGAAATTTCAAGGTGTAAACTTTTTCTGTGCAAAGCCTAAATCACCACATCATCCCTGTGATCATAGTGTTCCAAAGTATCACGGTGCGATATAAGCTTTGTATCCACTTACAGTACTGAGAGGCTTCATGATCTGTCGCCACAGCATGCAGTCATAATGTCGTGGCTGAGATTTGTGCTAAATCTAAAATACCAGTTTGTTTTATCTTCCCTAAAATGCGAGCGTCTTCCAGTTGTCTTGACACGCCAGGTTCCAATTACCTTACCTATCATTCTGCCCCAGGTCATACTCACCTCTACACATATCAACGAGCCCACGAGCACCAAGAGCCCACGAACCCACGCGCCCACAAGCCCATGCGCCCACAAGCCCACGCACCTACGCGCTCACGAGACCACAATCACCAACATGGCGCCCAACAGCCCAGACGAAGGGGAGAACTCACGGTACCATACCCCACGGCCAGGCGCAGTCCGCACTCGCCGGCCCTCATGTTCGATCGAACGCGGACGTGACCCATATGGGGACATAGATACCGAGCCGGCTCGCAGGTCTCGCTCCGTGCCTGCATACCCGGATCGAGCCAGGCAAGCTCTCGACTGGGATACACTCCGCCATATAGTCACGTCATTGGCCCCCAACAACACTGCTGAGAACCAGACTAGTTCTGGAAGTCGGAGGCCGAGAAGAAGGAGAAACCGGCGCTGGGCAAAAAGGCGATGGGCAAAAAGAATGAAAGCGGAGAGTCAGAACCAAGCTGTGGACGAGTCAGATGACGAGCCATATGTTAGAGGGGATAGTGGGAAAGAGGATCTTGAGGGAGAACATAAGGAACAGGATCAACAGAGGCCTTTTGGGGTGAATTACGATGGTTTGTGGAGGAACGCACTGTCTGCCGATCGTGACAGGATGCGCGCTTGCTTTTGGTACGGCGGGCGGAGCGCGCATATCGAGCCATCCTTCAGGGTGGATTCAGTGTGGACAATCACCTGAGCCAAGTCAAGTCAACCCTATATTGGCCTGAGCCAAGTCAAGCCGTGATACCCTCAAGTCAAGCCGACCCGGAAATCCTGAGCCAAGTCAAGCCCAGAGCCGGCTCAGCTCAGATCAGTTGATTGTCCACACTGGGCGGATTTGGACACATTGCTAGAATATAGGTATCATAATGTCTTCAGCCCAGAGCGAGTGATGGGCTGAGATGAAAAGTATATACAGGGAAGAGAGAAGGCGAAAAGATGTCAAGTAGGTATGTACACGAAGATCTAACGAATGACCTTGACTTCTCAAAAAAGCTGCTCCTGTTGCCATGATCATGTGGAATAGTGAGCGACATATCCCACCTCCATCATCGAGCCGTAACCGTCGGCCGTGTTTCCGTTGGGGTACCCTGGCTGTTTGACCGTTAGCGCTACTCTCCCTTATGCATTCCTCGAATACAAGACCTACCCAGTCACCTCCTACAGCCACGTTGAGAATGAAGAAGAGCGGTTTCTGGGCCAAGCTCGCCCACACACCAGCATCGTTGATCTGATCGCCCCTGACCTGGTGGAACTGCTGCCCGTTCATGTACCAAGTTATGTGCTCGCTTCTCCAATCGGAAGAGGTCCTGTCAAAGATGACCCGCCACTTTTGCCAGCCTTGGTTGGGGATATTGATGGCCCCCCCTCGGCCGGTGGGCTCGTTGCAAGCGCCCCCTGGATAGACTAGGTAGGTACCGCATCTGTTAGCCACCTTCAACCATGCCTACCTGTGGTGCAGCAGGGATAATAACATACCATGGCAGTGAACCGTCCCATACCCCGTCAACAACCCATTGACCGTCTCCATGATGTCCACCTCGCCACATGCCGGCCAGCCAGTCCCGGTCCGGATGCTTTGACCCAGCAGCCAAAACGCAGGCCAGATCCCCTGCTTCTGAGAGATGTCATTCCCTCCAAATCTAATCTCGGCCTCTACCAACGTCCTTCTCCCTGCGCCCGGGGTGAAGGTGTACCTCGACTCTATTCTGCCAGATGTCCATTGAAGCTGGCTGTCGCGCCAGGGGACAATTTGAAGAGTCTGGCCACCAGAAAGCTGGATTTGCCTGGGGTCGGCGCGGTATGTCTGGAGCTCATTGTTGACGCCAATGTTTCGGTTGATAATGTCCCAGTTTGAAGAGGACGGGAGGGTGGCCGAGGAACCGGAAAAAGTGTCAGCCCAGAGGAGAGAGTAGCCCGCGTAAGAGGGAGGTTGATAAGCAGATGCCAACAGGGGCAAGAGAGGAAGGGCAAGATAGGAAGAAAGATGCATGGTGAGAGAGCTCAACAAAAAAAAGGAGTGATAAGAAGAATAAGTATGTACAAGCGGTCGCTAAGATGAAAAGCTCAAATGTTTGCAAAGGAGTGTCTCAGAATCCAAGGAATGTGAAGGTGTCTTGGAAAAGGAATGTGGTTGAAGACCTAGACCCTAGCCTCTCAAGACCGAAACACAGGAAGAGAGGCTCAACTTATATACAGATTCCTGTCGGCCATCTAGAACCTGACATCTGGGTCTGGAGTAAATGAAGCGGTGCCATGAAGTGACCAGTTAGGAGCACGAGAGGGTGCACTGTGATAGCAACAAACCACATGGGATCCATGCTACCCCTGCTTCGACATGGCAAAGTCCACAAGATCAGGTCAGGGCATCTTCCCAAGTGGTCACCTCCGGTGTATGCCACGCCGTCCCCACAGTGACTTCTTCAGAAAACATGCAACGGTGTAACATGAAACCCAGGACTTGCGGAGCTGTCTTGGTAGCAGGCGGTTCAGGCCGTTATGGCCCACTCGTCCACAGCCTGGTACGGTAGTCAGCCTGGTCGAGGCCTGGAAAAGGATGGTAAGGGAATAATTGGGGCGTAAGGTTCATGCGGCCCATTCTGGGGTCTTGACGAGGTGATTGGGCATCCCTTGAGATCTTCCAGGGGTACATAGGCTCGGCACGCAAACTGTGCCTCCTATTAAGCACTCTGGCACATCTCCCGCTTCAAGACTCAGGATTTCTGGGGCTGCAAACCCGCTGAATGGGCCACTGCTTAGTCTTGGAAGTGCTCCATGCGATTATTGGGCGTCGGACAAAATCTGCAAACTGGCAGGCTTCGACCTCATGCCTTATGACTGAGATCCTGTCATCAACGCTCAAGTGCTCAGATGGAGCCGGAAATAAAGCTGTCAGGGGGTCGACCGTTTCTGACAAAAGGCAGTCATCAAGCCAGTTGCATTGAAACGAGACCAAAGTACCGCTCGGCCGGGTCCCAAAAAGGACAATGGTTCCCGGGTTGATGACACATCTACCCCAGCTTTTGGGTTGCATTGGGGACATCTGCTGGCCGGTGCACACGGTAGTTGCGCCGAACTGCATCTTTGAGGAATTTTGCAGACCATAGACACTTGATCGCATGTGAAGCTAGTGTAACGTTGTCTCTGAACTGTTGTAAACGTTGCTTAAAGGGTTCAAACAAACTGTGCAGGTTTTCCTCTGAAAAGAGTTGACACTTCTGACTCTGGTGAGACTGAAGCCGCCGAGAGCAAGATGAAAACTCTTTCTTCATGATTTCGAATTCTTTTGGCTGATTTGGTACCAGGGATGGTGGACAATGTGTCAAAACAGGACAGAGACAAGTGATGTGAGCAATGCCATTGGCCGGCGGGAAAACAGGGTAAATGGGCAAAGAACGCCAAAAAGGGGCGCACTTACGCCACTCACACCTTTTTTTTTCCCTTGGGGAATTAAGTGGGTCGGTTAACTGATATCCAGATGCTCAAGCCTCAGTCATTGTGGAAGAGAGGTTTCCACGCTTATCAGATGAATGGCTTTGAGGATCGAGTTTAGTTTTGGAGGCGCCAAAACTCTATCCCTAAGTGGATCTTTGCTGCCTGGCTCCATCATGACATGTATCTAAAGTTGGATTGCCAGACGGCAATTATGATTGAATCTAACTTTGCAAAGGACAAACCTTCGACCTGGCGTCTTCCTTTTCACGAATGGCTACAAAGAGGAGACACCAGTTAAAAACTGCGATTCTCTTCTCCTTTTCTCGATTTCGCAACTCAACAAACTACTTAGTACAGAGAACATTCAGATTCAAAACATGTCAGTCACAATAATGATCAAGGCCCACGACCTCTCGCGGTTCCAGGGCCTGCCTTTGGAGATTCAGGATACTATCCTGAAAGAAGTTGTACGCATGAGGTTTCCAGAGCAATCTCTTCGCAGAGAAGCGATTGACCTCATCTCTGTCATGCGCGCCGGTAGAAGAGCTCGTGCTTCCGAGATTCGGAACCCAAACGCTGGTCGGAATTTTAACAAGACTCGGCGAGGTCGAAAGAGATTTTAGTTTCAACACCCGACTTTATCATTGTTCATCGTTCCTCGACAACTCCCTACTACCTTAGTAGCACGCGTTTTCTCTTCCCCATTCAGCCTTGACAGAATCGTGGCTATGAATGTGGTTTCCCACTGATATTAAAAATCCATCATAGGTAGGTAGCTTTGCCCCCTTCCGTCATGGTCTTCTTTTGTTGATAACAGGAAAAAAAAGGACAAAACTTTTGTCATACAACAACATACCTAAGCTAATGTACCTAGGTAAGGTAGGTTACCCCTCCCTCTCCAGCTCCCCGGTTACATCACCCGCCGGCGCTAAGTTCCCCACTTCCGAGGTTCACCGGATGCCTTTCTTCTTCTCATCATCCGACACATCATCCCACCAACCTCAGCACCCATTTCAACCTTCAGATCAGGCCCCCAAGAGCTTCAACATGACAGAGCCCAACCAAACCCGCTTCAACCAAGAAGCCGCAAACTGGGACTCCAACCCCTCGGTCGTCCTCGCCACTGAACTTGCCGTCGAATCGTACCTCCCTTTCTGCAGCGCCTCGTTTGATATCCTCGATTTGGGCTGCGGGACAGGCCTTTTGTCTCTCCTTCTCGCTCCTCATGTGAGATCGATCACAGCAGTTGATTCGGCCTCGGGAATGATCGATGTCCTCACAGCCAAGCTTTCTTCCTCTGGCTCTCACCAAAACGTCAAAAATGTTCTCGCTGTGTGCGCACTTTTGCAGGATCCGGATGATGCAAGGCTTCAAATCGACCCGTTGACAAAAGCCACCCTGGGATCTGAGACACGGGCGAGGACGTTTGACCTTGTGGTATCGCACCTGGTATTGCACCATATCCCGGATCTGGCGGCCGTTTTCAAGACGATTTACGGGTTGCTGAAACCAGGAGGCAAAGTTGCGGTGACTGACTTTGAGGACTTCGGGCCCGAGGCGAGGAAGTTTCATCCCGAGAGCAAGATGGATGGGGTGGAGAGGCATGGGGTCAAAAGAGAGGATATTCAGAAGATCATTGAAGAGGCTGGATTTGAGAGCGTGACGGTGGAAACAGCGTTCGAGTTGCCCAAGAGGGTGGAGAGTGAGCCTGGAAAGGGGGATATTGAGAGCGGGCCGACAAAGGTTTTCCCTTTTCTTATCTGCAGCGGCACGAAGCCATGATTTTCAGTGGACCATGAGAGGAAATGGACAGGCAAATGCTTTCACCATTGTTGGCAGTCCCGTCAGTGAGTGTGTAAACGACTATCCAAATAGCAGAACGACGCTGCTGGTGTGCTTCAAATCCAACCTGCTGCTTCATTCTCGTTGCCAGGTTCTCTTTCCTGCAGTTGATCTGACGGTTACCTAGAGAGGCAAGTGCTCCTAGAACTGGTTGGGAAGTGGCCGACATACTACCAGAAGGGGCGCCCCAGATGTCGACTCGTGTTTCGCCTCCGACCAGTCCCATTCCATCCCATCAGCTCCAGAACACATCATCTAATCCAACCTTTGTCCACACCCCATCAACAGCATATACCCTCCCAGTCTCCCACGGAAGCCAGTCAACCTACAACCATGCCCACCGACCTGCGGGATGTTACGAAGCCTCCTGGCTGTTCAGGCGGCCCCCCTGGACCATTGCCTTTTGCACCAGACACCAAAAAGATAACGCCAGTTCATGAGCCATATGTTCCAGGCGTCACATTCAGCAACCCATTCAACGAGGACCCCCAAACCAGAGCAAGGCGTGACGCACAGGATTTTATCGAGCATCAACGCAAAGATTGGGAAAACGCAACGAAAAGGGCAAAGCAAGAGTGGGACGCGCTCTTTGAGAAGCAACGGCCTGAACAGCCCGAACAGCCCGAACAGAGACGGACACGTCCATGTGACAGCGGTACCAACGACCGCATCAACTTCGACCGCCCCTCCCGCCGCGCCTCCTCCAGCAAGTCCAACAACCACAACATCCTCAAGCGCTTCTCCCCCGCCCCCTCGGGCAAATCCAAATCCTCCACCACTCACACCAAAAGCTCCCGCAGCCAGAAGTTCAGAGATGGCACGAAAAAGATAGCCGAGAGCGTGAAATCCCAGTCCAAGTCTGTGCTTGGCAAAATAAAGAAATTCAGGTCCTGGTTCAAGAAGAGGCTGGGCAACAACAAGAAGAAGAAGAAGAGGAAGCCGAGCAAGAAGAGGAAGCAAAAGACAGCTTGATGTTCAAGCTGGAGGGTGCAGCTGGAGAATCCGACGGATGCGGGGGTTGTTTGGCAAGAAGTAACAATGACCTGGGTTGAACTCGCTCAAGGCTTACAGACACAGAGACTTGAGATTGGAATCGACACTCCTGTTCTGCTGCTGTCGTATGATGCGGCAGACAATCTGTATACAACAGCAAGCATGCAGTAAGAGGTAGATATTTGGTAAAGGCTGGATAGGGTACATTCAGGGGTAATAATACCATCGACAAGAACGCTCTCTATCTGATGTAATGTGCCTTGAAATAGGACAGCACTCTTTACCCGCAAACCGCCAGATTACACTCAACATTAAAGCTAGTCTACTACTGCATCGAACTATAAGGATATATACCTGTGACTTGAAGCACCAAAAAAGATAATAAAAAACGCGAAGAGCATCATCCAGGAGCAAACTGGCGATCAACAAGGCTGACGATGAAGATGATACAAGAATAAAAATACGTTCCGCCCTTGCAAAGAAGCCCTCTTCCTTTTCCAAAACACAGATGACACCCGGTATGCAAACTCTCTGAACCCTTATCCCAAATGCATGCATATGTGTGTGTGTGTGTGTGTGTGCGTGTGTGTGCGTGTGTAGACAACTTCATCTCGCCTGTCCAATCGTCCCTCTTCTTCCCCTCCCCTCTTCTCTCCGCGTGGTCGCACCTGTGACTCTGCTCCACTCTTCCCACTCCTGGCTGATCTCCATCAGCACTCCGCCCATGACCTGGGCACTCGCCATCAAACCGTGGCCCTCGCCCTCGAGCACCCGCACCTCACACCGGCGCATGGTCTTGCCCAGCCATCTGACATTATCGACGGGCACGCGCGTGTCGCGGCTGCCGTGGTGGATAATCACCGGTCGGGTGATGTCGACGTACCGGAAGCCAATCGTGTGGCGCCGCTCGAGGCACACAAGCAGATCGACGGCGGGGTTGGCTCCGGTGGTGGCCAGCTGCCAGATGGAATGCGTCAGCCGGTTGTCGTACAGCTCCTGTCTTTCACGGTCAGCCAGCTGCGAGGTAGCAAGCGCCGCTGCCGCCGACAGGAGATCCTCCTTGTCCGAAGTCCGCCGGTTTCCTTGCTGTGTCGAGTTGGACCGATTGTGACGGTGACCCATGTTATCGCCGCCGGTAGGGTTCGTCTCCGTTGGTTTTACGTGGTCCATGTACTCGTCGGCCGCCGGAATCTGAGAGGCGCCCTTGGACCCGTCATCGTGCATGCGGTTCTCCTTATTGTCCGCACCATGTGACGAGCTTTTGGACTGCTCCTTGCTCTCCCTGGCCGCGTTATTCTTCCTCTCTCGCCGTGCTCGCTTTTGCTTCGGTAGAGAGCTAGTGATGCTGGAACTGGTGGCCGTCATGAAGCTGCTGTTGGCGGCCTTGAGAATAGGGGTAGGGAGGGCGCGCAATATCCGTTGGCTTGTGGGGATGGCATTTGTTGGTGGTAAAGGCGTCTGCGCGCTCGATCCTATGACATTCATTTGCGACGGTGGAATCCATGGCGCCAAGAGGTGTATCCTGCCACGAATGTGTTGGGGCATACGAAGTGCCGTGGCCAGCGCGTAGATGGCTCCGGCTGAATGGGCTAGAATGGAGAACTTGGTGATTTTGAGCGATTGGCAGATTGCATAGACATCATCTGAACCCAGTTAGTATCAGCCTCAGCTAGACTAGAAAGTGATAGAAAATAACATACCGGGCCAGCCCAAAGGTGTTGCAGTCCCCTCAGCGTATGGCTCGCTGTCTCCCACGCCAGGGCGGTCTGGGGTGATCAGCCGGAGCTTGAGGGTCAATGCCAGCTCATCATAAAACGCCGTGATATATCTCGTCAGCCCCATGCCGACACAGCAAAACACAGCGCTTCCATTCGGGTCGCCAACCTCACTAAAGCTGATGACACGTCCCGTCTGTGGGTGCCGAATCTTTTGGCTCAGCCGAGGGCTACAAAGGTAGCTTTCCACCGCGTCGTCGATACTATCCGCACTCGGTGGTCGCTCGTACGCAATGTGTGGGTGGTCACCTTTCGAATGGCTCGATGCACGATGATCTAAGGCCTTGTCGGGGGTCGGACTTGGGGCTCCAGAGAGTCTCTTGAGCCGAGTGCTGCTCCGCTTCGACTTAACAGCGACACCACCGCCCTCGCTTGCGTATCCACCAAAAGGATCAGGGGTGGTTCTGCCGGATCGTCGTCGTTTCGCATCGGTGCTGGTCTCGCGGTCTCTGCGGCGTCCTTGAGCAATGGCCGGCGACGGTGCGCCGTCGTCGAGGGGCTCCAAATCAGGAAACATGCTGGCCATGGGCGTTACAGGAGGGGCGCTGTGTACTTCAGGTTGAAGCCTGTCCGAGCTGTACTGCGGGATGTCGGCGGAGAGCCTCAGAGGATCGAGCGGCTTCTGTCTGGAGTTTCGTGACTTTGTGTCGTCAAAAAAGGCACGGCCCTCGGAGCCTTGTTCTTCAAGCTCGGGGATAGTCCCGCTTTCACGCTTTGAGTTCCGCGAGGCACGGGTAGAGGAGCGCTTAGCACCACTTCCCGTCTTCCTCAGGGATGAGTCTCTGGTAGGGATGGCCCTTGGACTGGAAAGCGTGCTGCTCAGACCGTCTCTGCCAAGGTCGAGGTTCGTTTCCTCGTTGATTATGGACTCGGCCGAAAGTGGATCCAGTCGCGGTGTTGTGCTTCCACTCGGGGGGTTATATCCTGGAGTGCCGTAGCTGGTTCTCTTCTTGTCGGCTTCCTTTTCTCGCAGGATTTCCTTGCTGCTCATATACTTGAGGCTGCGCTGACTTCGTCCGTTCTTCCAGCCCCAGCTTTCAAAGGACCGCTGCTTTCTGAGTCCGTGTCCTTCGGGGCCCGGTGAGACGGGCTCGTTCCTGGTTTCGACACTGAGCTTCCCGAAGCTGTTGCCGATGCTCTCTGCTCCTCCCGATGTCAATGATCCCTTGCTTGACGGCCGAGACAAGGCACTGCTGCTCCCTCGTGACAGGAGGCCCTTTAATCCGCCAGAACTCTCCCTCGGGCCGGCGCTCTTCGGAGACTTGGGTGCTGTGAGTACAGACAGGCCACTTGGGGGCTTGGAGGTCCGGATCACCGGAGGGCTCGCAGCAAGTTCATCTAACGGCACATCCTCCTCTCTGAGATCTCCCAAGGACGGTTTGGAAAAGGCGCCGTAGTCGACGCCAAACGAACCACCGCCGGCGGCCTGTGTGGGCGACCCGGGAAAGGAGATGCTGATGGGGCTTCCTGGTCCGATGGGCGCGAGGTAGGACGGGCTGTCAAAGTGGTTGCTGAGCGGCCTCGATATGGCCGACAGGGATGTGATGAGGGACGATATTACTTCGGGTGACGCAGGCGTGGGTGGGGCGGCGATGGTGTGTTCAGAGTCTCGTCCTCTTTCTTTGGGTTTGGGGTAACGGTTGGCGTAAACCTGTCGGTCTCGGTCGGTCCAGTCGGCAAAGATGTCGGGCTCTCGATCGCGCCTCGAGTCGAGGATAGGAGGAGGGTCGAGGGCGAGACGGCGGGAGTCCGAATGACGAGGACGGTCTCGCTCGCGGGACTTGCGGGGAATTGCAGGCGGTGGTGGTACGACGGACGACAACTCCAGGTGGTGGTGGTCCATGGTGGCGGAGGCAGAGGGCGGCGGGCGCGGCGCGGGACGAGGGGCTAGGTATTAACGTTCGGGGCCAACCTGGTTGACGGGCAGGCTAATGTGTTGAGACGCTCTCCTGCAGGACGAAGCGATCGCCGGTCGAAACGGAAAACGTCACGGTACCGGGAAACTCCCCTCTGGCCAACGGTGGCTTGCAGACGCGAGGAGGTCCTTGGTCAAAGCCCACACGCGCTAGACAAGCAGCATCGTTGGAAGAAAAGAGGGAGAGGAGCAGCGAGGAGAGTCGCCAAGCGGGGATGGCGCAGGACAGTCAGGGACAATTGCTGCAGCACAACGAGACCTGTGTGGTTGCGACGACTGGAATTGACTTTTTCGATTTGATGAACCCCCCAAAAAAATAACAGCCGGGCCGTGCGCTTCGAGGGTCAGCTGGACAAATAAGAGTATCTTACGAGGACATAACAGATGGGTAATGTTAGTATTTGCCTGCTGAAAACCCCCAGGCAGCTAACTCCAGCATGATGGAGAGGGAGAGAGAGAAAAAAAAGAAATACTTTATTACTTCTGCAGGAATAAAGAATCACAGTACGGTGTCACGGTGCTCTGGCCTCTCGCGCGCCTTGTGGTCTTGTGGTCCCCGGGCCCCTGAATTGGCTGGTCCATCCAATTGGGACCCTGAAAGCAGCTGTGGGAGCACGGGCCATCTGCAATCTGCATGCACCTGCCCCTCCCTTCCCCACGCGTGCATTTCAAGTGCCCCGTCTCCCCTGATTGACCCCGAGAGGGAGCTCAACAAGAGAGTGAATGCTACCGTGCAGAGGAAGCGAGGACGATCTGATGGAATAGACAAGGTCAAGACGTTGCATTTTGAACTTGTTCTATCTCAAAGACCCACGTACTGGACCTCGGCAGCATCTTATAATGGAAGATTGCCTCTTCTAGAAGACGACGAGCGGGCCGTCCCTTTGCAGTTGATGAAGCTCGTCGTCCTTCAGTTGACTCCCCATCAACGCGAGACAAGTGACACAGCCCGTTTTCGCTGTAGGGTTGCTTTTCTGTGGTGATCAATCATCACCGCATGGACCGTTCCCGACCATACAATCATGTTGGAAGAGTGTCGATCGAAGCCATTAAGATAAAATCATCACATGCTGCGGCTAGCCCTCATAGACTTAAACTACTCCCAATATTTGAACAATTAAATACGGCGCGGTTAGTTTAGTGGTTAGAATCCTCGCTTCCCATCTCACGTGGACAAGCGAGGGACCCGGGTTCGAATCCCGGATCGCGCAATTGCGCCGTTTCTTTTGCATTTTTGGCTCTGCTCTTGACTCTCAGCTTAAGACCTGTTTCCATTTTGACCTCCAATACGGAGTATCGTCCACATCCAAAGATAAAGCAAAAAGATCAAACAAGTGTGAAATACTCAATTTCTCTTCGAAACAGCACTGATCTCGATTGCGGCGGTGTTTTGATTGCAAGACTGCCAGGCCATGGCACAGTGGGGGCTCTTATCAGTCTTTTGGAAATGAAGGATTCCAATGATTGTAGGGGCACAGGGGCTCCTCCGATTCTGCATCTGTAGACCGCTCTCTGCACAGAAAACTCTACTGACGTCATTGGCCCTCTTAAAAGAACAGGGATGCTGACGACGAGTTGGGACTGCGTGCCAAGGAAGAGACAACAGTGCCTCATGCTTCACTGGGCACAACTTCTTCTGAGAAAAGCAGAGCCAGATATGCTTTCACATATTCTTTTAATTGACTCGCCCTTTTACCTCACTTGAACACGGCTCACAAGCTCAGTTGCTCTGCCGAAACAAAGAACCACTCAGCCGGCTCAAAACTGCCCCTTGATTGTACTTGACTCACTAGCTACCTCTCATGTTCACATAAGGGGTTACTCAATCTCACAAACAAACGCTATGGACATCCTCTTATCCCTCCCAATAGCCTCCTACTTCTTCTCTACCTCGGTCACATCATGGTCAACCTCACTCAACCTCCTCTTCTTTTACATGACCTGGTCGACCCTGGTGCTCACTCACTCCCCCATCCAAATCGAACTCATCGGCACAACCGCCATCCGCCTCGTCTTTTGGCTGATACCATCCCTCTTATTCCTGCTGTTCGATAATCTCATCCCCTCCGTCGCCCGAACAATAAAACACAACGGCGCATCCGCCCTGCCACCAACCGACTTCAAAACCCTCTCCAGACTTCTCGCCCTAGCCCTCTTCAACCTCGCTCTCGAAACCGCTGTTGAAGCTGGCCTGTCCCTCGGCCTCTCCCTCCTCCTCAAACAACCCGTCTTCCGCACCTCCACCACGCTGCCTCTCCCATGGCAAATAGCCAAGCAACTCGCCCTGCTGTTCACCCTTCGCGAGATACTCACCTACTACACCCACCGCTACTGGCTCCACGGCACACCCCCTCCCGCCCCGCCATCCACCATCAGCAAAAGGGTCAAGCTCCCCAAGGCACCCAAACCACGCTACCTCCCGTCACTGCACAAATCCTACGCCCATCGATACCGCTCCCCTCCCTTTGCCCTCCAAGTCAGAGTCGACCACCCCTTTTCTTTTCTGCTCCACCGTTTCGTGCCAACCTACCTCCCTGCTCTCATCCTGCGTAATAACCTCCACCTGCTCACGTTTTTTGTGTTTCTCGCCCTCACGACGGCGGAAGAAACACTGTCGCATTCTTCCTACACCATCATCCCGGGCGTGATCATGGGTGGGATAACCAGGCGGACGTGTATGCACTACACGGGGAGGAAGCCAGGAAATTACGGGACGTGGGGGGTGTTGGATTGGGTCCATGGGACTGGACTGGGGAAGAGGGATGTCTGGGATGATGTAAGGGATGAGGCGTCCAAGCATCAGCTGAGGGAGAGGGGGGAAGATCTGGTGGATGATGCCGGGGGCAAGGTGGAAAAGGCGTTGAGGAGGAGCAAGAGGAATTTGAACAGGAGTAAAAGCGGGAAGAGGGGGATGAGCAATAAGCGGGGGAAGGGGTGGATGGTGGAGGATGAGGATGATTCGGAGGGAGATTGGGTGCCTTGATTCTTGGATAAGCGACACGCGTAGGTAATCACGGCTGTAAATGAAGAAACGAAGCAATGTATTGAACTTGATGACCCATCCGTGTATCCCTTGCATATCCCGCTGTCTGAGTATGGCTCGGTCGATATCAATACAGGTCTAGATCCAATATGTCCCCATGTGTATCACCGCCTGTCCCCCCACAAGTAACCCAACGCCGTTCCATGCAAAATTCTTAGCCAACTCCTCGCTGTCCCATCCCCAGCTTACGCCCAGCCTTTCTTGTCCTTGAACCACCGTAACGTCTCGGAGCCAGCCTTGACTCTGATCCCAAATCGTGCATCCAGCACGAAGCCCTCCCATCTGGACACCTTTTCCAGATATTGCTGACACTCTTCTGTTTTTGCTTTGCGGAAGTCTTCGGGATTGGCCTCTGGCCAGGCCTCGGGATCACAGACCTCCATCCAGGCAACCGATGCCGCCTCGTAGTGAGCAGCGGCAAGGCAGTAATCGTCCCTCGTTGGACCCTTGAAGATGTTTCTAGTCATCCACATTAGTTTCTGAACAACCTGCAAAGATATCTGATCCAAACATACCTGTCCATGCTGAGCAAAGGCTCCACGAGAGCCCTTGCCTGCTTCCCCTGACCCAGCTGTCTCAGCAACGCACACTCCGCCAAAGTCGAAATAGCAAGCTCATCCTTTTCTTCCTTAATCTTGTCCAGCTTGTCCTTGGGAGCAGTACATCTTTCCCAGCTGAGATAGCCCCTCGCCCTTTCCAGCAAGAGAGCACCCATCCTCTTTGTTCCATTCCACAGGTAAATCATCTCAATGGCCGGACTGACGGCAATAACGTCGACCAGCTCCATGCCCAAATTCTTCGCCCTGTCCTCCCACTTCTGCAGCTTCCTGCAAGCAAACACCTCAAAGGGCAGTTGTCTCGCCATAAATCTCTTCTTCCCAGCCACGGTTGGCGCTTTCCTCAGATACTCCTCGGCAAGCTTCTTGTGTTTGGCCAGCTCCGTCTCCAGTACACTCTTCTCCTGCCCCTCAGCCGTCTTGAGCTTGTGGAACGCATCTCTGTACATCTCCACCTCAGCACACCCAGCAATATAGTAATACAGCGCGTGGCTCCAGTTGTTCAGCTCGACGCATCTCAGAAAGTTGTCCTTCATAGACGGCCAGTCCATCACATACATCGATGCCATGCTCAGCTCAAAGTTCATCAAGGCCGCCACCTGGCGCATCTTGCTGTCCATGTTATTCTTGAGCGTCTCAATAGCCTCGTCGAGTTTCTTCTCGTTGGCGAGCATCCTCGCTTCTTCCAGCTTCCAGAGCCTCGAGTCCGGGTAGCGCTCTCTCATGGCAACCAACAACGCGGCACACTTCTCCTTGGGGTAGCTGACAGCCTCGAGTTCTGACGAGGCGGCAGAGTCGCCGTCATCGACTTGCTCGAGCTCGTGGTCGGGCGGTAGGATGTCTGCCATGCCGATAAATGTGTTGTAGTAAGTAAGAAGAAACAAACCAGCCATGGCCCCGTTGATGTTGGGGAACTTGGTGGCCTGCCAAAGCATACGCACTCCACGATCCCGGTCACCCTTGAAGCCGATCACATACAAGAGCTTCGAAAAGACAGGCGGAACCATGGAGATGATCAGGAGAAGCACGCCAAAGCACATGTTGGCGCCGCTGTGGACAAAGATATCCACGGTAGACTTGAACAGCGCCGTATCTGCGCCCGCGGCATTCATTTGCGCCAGCTGCGCGGCGCTCGAAGGCGTCTGCGCGCCATCTTGTGGTGTGTCGATATCTTTGCCCTTGACAGATGGTGGTCGTGATTGAAGAGGTGTTTGGAAATTTTCCGGTGTTCCGGGAGACGATGACGCCAGTTTTCCGAGTTTCTCATCCAGTACAGCCGTGTCGTCGGCTTTTGGTTTCGTGCCTGCCCCCTTCTCGTCCGTCTCTTCGGGTATCGGGGTGGGTGGATCTTCAAGGTCGGCGAATTCGGACTCGTCAAATGTGCCCGGCATGGGATCCTCGGAGAAGCTCGTCCTCCTCCCAGAAGCAGTTCTCCCCGCTGATGGTCGCGCGGAAGCCTCGGAAGAAACACCATTGACTGAGTCAAGGTACTGCTGTTCGGCCGTCATGATCCCTTCCAACGTGACAAATGCCTTGCGCAGCTTGTAAAACCCCTTGATGCCCTCAGTCAAACTCTCATGCATGACGGCAACAACAGCATTCATCAGCTGCGCCTCGGCATGAACAAGTGCAAACTCCGAACCAGGAGGGTAGATGTTGCTCGTCCCTCCCTCTGCCGGGCCAGTAGGTTTCGCAGCAGACGAATACCAATACCCAGCCGAAGCCGTACCGTTGGCTTTGGCCGCCTCCTTCTCGGCCTTTGTCTTGTCATCCCAAGCCCTGGCTTCCGTTGCATTCAGCCTAGTTGCGGCCTCGTTCATGATATCCTTTTCGAAACTGAGAATGCTCCTCATAAACGTCGAAACTCCCATTCCGAGGGCGTGGAAGGTTGAGGAATCTTCCCGCATGCGCAGCCGCACCTCTGCCCCCTCGATATCGTCATTCATTATCAGGCCGGCGGCCACCATGGCATCCTCCATGTCCTGAATTTCTTGCTCATTTTCGGAAACGGTTCCCTTTTTCTTCTTGCTACCGAACTTGGCGCCATTGAGAGAATGGGTGCTTGTCGTGGGACTCGACACTGTACTTGGAGGTTTCGTAGACGATTTGGAGGCTGGGGCAGCAGAGCCGCGGAACCACGATCGAAGGCCCGACATGGCGGCGCCAGTGAGGTTGGTGGCGAATACGTCGAGACAGCTTCGAGAAGAAAGTAGCCAAGGCTGAAGAAGTGTGGCTGTCGATATTATTCGCAGGTCTGCTCGGACTGCAGAGATCAAGAGAAGAGTCCAAGTTATATGCTGTGGAGCAATGCCGTTGAACAACGAAGCGAGAGGAAGAGAAAACCGGCAGCACCGGTAGTCGCAAGTGGAGAGAAACTGCAAAGAGGATAGAGAATACCTCGAGGCTGTGGAGGGTTTTGTTTCTTTGAGTTCCAGGGCGGGCTGTTGAACGTCCCGATCCCTGCGAGCGCCTCCAACGGCGTTAAGGAAACCGCTGACGCAGGCAGCGGGCAGGGAAGAGCCCCGCTACCTCCAGGGCCTTGCGGTACCCGGAGCCCCAGGTAGCTTGTGGTCGGGTGCCTGGAATGAACTTAACCCCACGGCACCGGTCAGTGAGAGATGACGGCTAGATCGCAGCGCCATTGGGGGTTTCCGTGTCCATCACGTTCATTAACTATTTGCCAACCGCGCCAATGACATAACCAAGCTTTTGCAAAGATCTGCTTGGCGATGGATGAGATGATGACTGTAGTGACGTCCATAGGAATTACTGAATACCACACAGCATAGGTACCATCCTTGGCCTACCCCGATCCCCTTGCTATCTCCCGTCCATATTGTGCCTGGAAAATAAACACAAAACTCTCCGAACCCAGAAGTAAACCCCCAGACACAGCCTGACTCGTCAGCGCTACACAGTCGTTTAGAATCAAAAGTGACGTGAGCGGCGGCTGTGCTCTTATCTAATCATTTCCCCGCTGGTCTGTGCTTCTGTTGCTCCGCCTTTTCGAGCTGATCCTTGTCCCTCCCGGGCGGCCCAGGCATCACAAGGCAATCGCAATCCCCAGTCTGGGCACCAAGCGCAAGCAACAGCCGCCCGCCGCCGGCTTTACTCTGTACATCAACAACGCCTCCGATCCCCCCTCCAACTCAACCGACTTCCCCTCCTGAAACCAGATACGACCCAGATCCTACCCACACCACAACCACTCACATCAAAATGGCCACCTCCAAAGCCCCCTCTGCGGACCCCAAGTCCAGCTCCGACCTCCCCGCCGAGCAGCCCCAACAGCAAAAGCAGCAGACCCTCGAGGAGGATGACGAGTTTGAGGACTTCCCTGTCGATGGTACAACCCCCTTTCTTGCTGCCATATCCACAACAGGACAACTAATCCGGGTCATGGGGAAACAGACTGGCAAGCGGATGACACAGAAGCCACCCAGAACCAGCAGCCACAGCATCTCTGGGAGGAGTCCTGGGACGACGATGACACGACAGATGATTTTTCCAACCAACTCAAGTACGCGTTTTCTCCTACAGCCTACGATGCAATGGAACTAATACGAAACAACCAAACAGGGAGGAGCTTAAAAGGGTCGAGGCGTCCAAGAACAAACGGTGATTCGATTTGGCGAGCAAACACCGAGTCATCAAGGGGAAGGGACATCGAGAAAATATAATTATGATTATTGTCACATAAATATGAAGGCCATTTCATGTTCGACGCGCCACTCTCATGGACATTAGAGGTACGCCCAAGGAAATAGACAAAGGACAGGAAATACACCAGCCACGCCGCGTGACGTTAGGGCCTGGTTGATACAAACTAATAAACTTCCGTCTTGCCAAAAGAAATGCTCAGTTGCTCTATCTAGGTATTGCGATTCAGGTATTTGCGACACTAAAGACTACAGAAACTCCGTAATTTTCCCACACGGCCCATGATCTACTTGCGCTCGCTCAGCGCCGTGACACCGGGCAGCTCCTTGCCCTCGAGAAGCTCCAAGCTGGCACCACCACCAGTCGAGACGTGGCTGAGCTTGTCCTCGACACCATACTTGGCCGCAACAGTGGCGGTGTCACCACCACCAATGATGACGACCTTGCCGTTCTGGGCAGCGTCTACCGCAGCATCAAGGGTAGCCTTGGTGCCGTTGGCAAACTTGTCGAACTCGAACACGCCAGCGGGGCCGTTCCAGAGGATGGTCTGGGCCTCATCGATGGCCTGCTTGTAGAGCTTGACGGACTCCTCGCCGCAGTCAAGACCCATCCAGCCATCGGGGATGCCCTCAGAGTCGGTAGCCTTGCCAGTGTTGGCGTCCTTGTCAAACTTGTCGGCAGTGATGTAGTCGACGGGGAGGACAACCTTGACGTTGTTCTTCTTGGCCTTCTCCATCAGGTCACCAACAGTCTTGGAGCCAGCCTCGTCAAAGAGGGAGTTGCCAATGGGGACATTGTAGAGGGTCTTCTTGAAGGTGAAAGCCATGCCACCGCACACAATGAGTGTGTTGACCTTCTCGAGGAGGTTGTCGATGAGCTGGATCTTGTCAGAGACCTTGGCACCACCAAGGATGGCGAGGAATGGTCTCTTGGGGTTCTCGAGAGCCTGGGCAAAGTAGTCAAGCTCCTTCTTCATGAGGAAACCGGCAGCCTTTTGGGGAAGGTCGACGCCAACCATGGAGGAGTGGGCGCGATGGGCAGTGCCGAAGGCATCGTCTGATGGCCGTTAGCAATCAGATCATGTAGAGCAGTCAGGATAGTTCAACTTACTGACGTAGATGTCACCGAGCTTGGTGAGCCCCTTGCGGAACTCGTCAACCTTGGCCTTGTCGGCCTTGACCTTGTTGCCCTCGGCATCGACACCCTTGCCCTCCTCCTCAACGTGGAAGCGGAGGTTCTCGAGAAGGACGACGTCTCCGTTATCGGCCTTGTTGACAATCTCCTCCACCTCGGGACCAACGCAGTCGGGGGCGAAAGTGACCTTCTTGCCGAGCTGCTTCTCAAGCTCGGGGAGGACGGGCTTCAGGGAGTACTTGGGGTTGACCTGGCCGTTGGGGCGGCCGAGATGGGACATGAGGATGACGGCCTTGGCGCCATGGTCGACGGCATACTTGATGGTGGGGATGGCACCGACGATACGCTGGGGGTTGGTGACGTTCTTGTCGGCGTCAAGGGGGACGTTGAAGTCGACCTGAGATGAGAAGCCAATGGTTAGTTTACAGATCGGATGGGCGGGATCTCAGGGAGCCAAAGACATACGCGGATGAGGACGCGCTTGCCCTTGAGGTCAACGTCCTCGATGGAGAGCTTGTTGGCGAGAGACATGTTGACTAGCAATTGACGAACTGACAGTCTATGGGAGAGTGGATAGAGTGGGCGAATGATGCTTATCACGGAGACTTGAGGAAACAGACGAAAAAAAGACGCAGGCAGGTGAGAGCTGGGCTGATGTTCCAAGACCGGGGTGCAGGGTGGGAGACGGGCAAAGCTGGAGGGGTAGAGGGGTAAAAAGCTAGTGTGGGGTCATGCTAGAGCTGGTTGTGACGTCGACGGTTGGTTGGCTGTCTTTGCCCATCCGGTCTCGCTTCCGCCTTATACTCCTTCAATATACGGAAATTGTTGAGCAACGGAAAGCTCGAGTTTCACAAAATGACAACTGCCTTAGTTAACGGTTGCGAAGGGGAAAAGAGAGAGACCTGGATGACTGTTCTTGACGGGCACCTCATACTCGCCAGGGTCAAACGCTCCTTAGGATATCCGGTCTTCCTGCTTACACCGTGATGCCTCATGATGTGCAGATGTCCGGTTCTACACAGCCAATTCGTTTTGCTGTCAGCTGAAGCTTCTCGCTACAAATGAACAGACCAAGGCTAGCAGTGCTTCGTCAACTTCAGTGCCGGATATAAGCTGAACTGGATTCATAAACCATGTCAAAACAGACCATCTATAAAGCCAGAAACGAGAGGTCTAATAAGGTCCTCAACTCCGTGCGCCGCCAGCCATGGCAAAGTCTACCGCCAAGCCGATCCCAACGTCATCCCATGTATGTCCCAACCCATGCAGAAAGATGCTGTGGTGTAAGAGAAAAGTAGAAACAAACCCCCTTATACCAATTCCCTACACGTAATACAATCTGGTGCTGTCGCCTCGTGTTCCGTCCGTTAGTGTATCCTGTATGTCTTGTAGCAGTCATGATAATGGCCGCCGTCGTCGTCGTAATCATCTCGGCAGGCTCTCCAGTTCCGTATTATCCGGCTTGCTTGCCGGCTGCACGTTCTCGGCAGCATTTGTCAGAGACAGATACGCAGTCCAGGCGATACCAACCGTGGATACGAAAGGCTGTTGACAACATTAGCTGACTCCCAACAAACACAAGGTAGACTACAGTCAACTTACGAGCTGGAACTGCACCGGCATCAACCGAAAGTTGACAACCTGCACCGCAGGCCACAAAATGTAGTTCGCCTTCAACGTAGGAAAGTACATGTCCTTCATCTTCTGGGAGACCCCATTGGTACCGCCACCCTCGGCCAGTGTCATGGCCGTGAAGAAGGCCGCCACGCCAAACGGCGCAAAGACCAGCTGATCACACGCCACCCGCTTCATCGCCGGAACAAATGCGCTGGCTTTGGTCAAAGGAAACGTGCTCTCGAGAAACTTGAACCACCGAAATTGTACGGGTGCCATGCAGAAGCCGTAGGCCATAAAGCGGGTCAAGCGCTCAAAGTCGAAGGGGGGTGGGAGGGCTTTGGAGTCGGGGATGAGGTCGCGGTCGCTCAGGGGGTTCTTGCGGTCGAGTTCGTGAATTTCGATGGCAGCCGCGTCTTCTCGAGCGTCGAGGCCATAGGGGTGCTTGCGAACAGCGCGCTGACGAATCGCCGTGATGGACTGGGCGACCGTATCGGCTATGCCACCCAGGATGGCGTTGCTCACCATCATGGTGAGAACTTGAAACAAAACTGTCAGCATGTTTTTAAAGGAGCCATCAGGATGATGGAAGAATCACGTACTCGGTCGTTCCTCGTAGTAGCCATTAAAACGGCTGGTAAGTCGTGCGAAGAGAGCCATCTCGATACAGAAGATGATTGTGTGTAGTAAAGGCTGGTGGTTGAGGCATTCCAGTCAGTGATTATTCGACACACGCAATGATAAAGAAAAGACGCCGAAAAATGCAGGTGCCAAGACAGAACAAATCGATGTCGCCAATGCTGAAGCCGTTGATGCTGATAGATAGTGGCATGGACCCGCGACACAGCACTCAGGTGCCGCCAAGAAACCCCAACATGGTGAAAGAAAGGGATACTTACCACTGTCCCATAGATGAATCTAGAGTTGAGGGAGCGAAGCCAGCGCCTACGATTTAGTTCCCAAGTCATCTCGGAAGAAAAAGTAGTTGTAGTAGTCCATCCAACGGGGTCGCTGATGATATCAGATGCAAAGAGGGACGCTTCAAGATTCATTGTGCCCTGTTCCCGTCTGTTGGCCAGCGGGCCAAGCCAGCGCCCAGTGCACCTCTATGACGACACTGGGTGGCACAGGGGACGCCCCCCCAGCACCGCCAGTCTGCTGGCAGCTAGCTTATCTCCAGCGGGCGATAAGGACGGGAAGTGTCTTGCTGCCTGTCCACTGATTTGACTTCCAGCGTGTGAGGTGAGTTCAAGCAAGCAATGAACGATGACTATAGGTATCTCGGGTGCAAGCCCATTCAGCAAATCAACTAGGGATGGGATGTGAAAATATTTATTTCTCGTCAAAGAATCTAGACCCCTATTCCCCCACGCACCCGACCGTCTGTCACTTTAGCCGCAGCTCAATTCAGCCCCGTCCCGCCTCACCACCACTCCACTGTTTACATTGAGGCTACACCACATTCATTCACCCCAAACATCGGCACCAAGATTAACCTCCCGTCAAGATATTACTTCCGCATCTCGCCTCGCTCAATCCGTCGTCTCCAGGCCGCTCGAAACCCAGTTTTGACAAACTCTTCTCATCTCCGCATCCTCGCCACTTCCATAGACGCCCTGAATCGAGCTAGGGCTCCCTTCCACCAAAGTGAGGGCAAACCCCTGATGTATATGCCACTGGATATGGCAGTGGAGTAACCAACTGCCCGGGTTGTCTGTCTGGAACGCCAACACCACATACCCGCTCTGCGGTAGATTGAACGTGTCCCTCCTCGGCGGACTCTCAAGGTCCAGGCTCGTCAGGAGCTCCACATACGGCCCTGTTCCTCTGGCTAGAACATACGTGTCATGGCCATGAAGATGCAGAGGGTGAGGCAGTGGAGCAAGTGACTCGACGATGAGATACACCCATGACGAGGGAGCCAAAGACGTCAGGTCGATGGGATTGAAGTCGGCTGTGAGGTTGACAGCCGCGGTATCAATAACTTGCTTCACAACGGGATTGTTCTTGGGCGGGCGGTACGGCTCAGAACCGCCTACTCGCCATCTCACTGCGTAGTTGTCGCCCTGGCTGGGGAGGAGCACAGCGTTAAAGTTCTGAGTGAGGGCAGATGGGCCGACCGAATGAGTAATATGAGGCACCAAGTTGGAGAGGTCTTCGTCCGCGCAAGTGTCGAGCATCAACCACGAGGTACTTGTTGGGTCGCCTGTGACGGGGGTATCGGATTCGTACCGGACAATGGCCCGAATATCGGTTGACATGAGGTTGATGGCGAAACAGCTCGTCATGGGAACACCTCGAGCCCAGTACGCAACGTCGGGAGACTGGTCGGCTTCGATGATGACATCGTAGCGCTGGCCGATGGCGATGAGGAGTGTATCGGTTTCGAAAGGCTGGATGGGGATGAAATCCATGGCTACCACGGTCATGCGGTGCTGGTCGACTGCGAAGCGAAAGATCATCTCTGAGCCGGTGTTGACGAGGCGCAAAAGGTGCTTCTTGCCAGGGGTAAAGGTGAACTCAGCACGGCTGCCGGTGCCGGTCAAGTACGCGTTCTTGCCATTCATCAGACCATTCACAGCAACCGGGGGGATGCCGATGAGGCTGGTCAGGGGTTCGTCTGCCAGATCAAAGACTGATTCGTGATAGTGATCGGTGATGAGCAGAGGCCCGAGGTCAATATCCCAGTTGGCCGTGGTAGGCCCGTGGATCACAATGGCTCCAAGCAACCCATCGCCATATTGCAACGAATAGTGGGAGTGGTACCAGCTGGAGCCGTGCTGGGTGGCTTTGAAGCGGTAGGTGTGGCAGTCACCTGGCGCAATAGGGCATTCGGTCTGAGAGACAGCACCATCGGCATGGTTGGTGTTCAAATGACGCACGCCGTGAAAGTGAATGCTGGTCCCGTTCTGGGACAAGTTGTTGCAGACTTCGACTTGGACGCTGTCGCCCCAGTTTGCTTCAATGGTAGGTCCTGGATACTGTCCATTGACAACCATCATGACTTTCTCGACTCCATCTGGCGCAAGGGTTGCCAGGCCGACATCAAACGAGTACTGCTCTTGTCAACAAAAGTATCGAGACAGTTCCAAGTATTGTTGACTTACAGAGCGGGTCACGCCTGTGTCAGGCCATGTATAAGTCACGTCGTCGTCGATGCTAAAGTCACCCCAGCAGTTCCTCGCGGTCGGGCCATTCGCGCAACTCTGTCTCTTGGTGTGCTCGAGAGGGACAGCAACCGTCCAAGTGGCCCAGCCGAGGAAGGTTCCGAAAAAGAAGCTGAACCTCATCTTGTTCAGTTCTGAAGATTTCAAGGCTTGGTGTTGTTGACCCGCAGCTTGAAGACGAATAAACTATCCATCGTCGCCCTTTTATTTTCAGACCGTCCTATACAAGTCTAGGTAGCTGCTCAACCTTGACAGTAATGATGTCGTCGTGCAGCCCGAACCACAAGTCCAAACGATAAGGCACGGTCTGTAGAGAGCTCAAAGGCATGACTTCTACGCAACTGTACAGCATCTGGTTGTATTTCACGCCTCCCAGGGGCACAAACAACCCCCTTCTCGGTCTTGGCTCCGGCCGAAGTGGTTGAGTCTTCTTTCAGCTGTACGACAGAGAAAGAAAGAAGCCGTTTCTGATTGCAACTCTGAATGGTAGCCTTCGCGATGCCTTTTTCAGCACTATTTAGCTGAAGGCTCGTGGTGTTGCCTCACTCAGGGCAGTGATCTACAGACGGGAGAGAAAGTGTAACACTTTATTGGCTAGAGCCATTCGCCGAGACGGGCTGTCAAATCTGCACAGACGGCCATGAAAACCTGTTTCTGCTGCCGCCTTTACCAAAAATGATCCCTCCATCCCACTTGACAGTATGAATTCAAAAGGGTAAGGTGGTAGTGAAAAGGGAATGGAGGCACGTGGCGAGGCAGAGAGCATGAGAAGTAGCTGTAAATGTGCCGCCCTTCGGGGGGGTTGCAGAAACCGGAGCCGATGGCGATTATCCGTGCCGAATCTCAGGGACCAGCTTCAGATTAAGCATAGGAAACGCCACAAGTGCTACACTGATCATCAGTGAGCAAAGTCCACTGATAATGCGCCGATGATGGCTAACGGGATGTATCTTGTACGTTTCTCAACTCTCTATCTCATAAAGATGTGATTCCCACGATATCTGTGGTAGAACTGTTTTTCACAAGGGAAAATGAGACACAAGCATTGCTTTCAAACGCAACAAGCCTGCTTTTAAGCCTGTCATTCGTTGGTGATTGTTGGCGAAAATCATCTCATCGACTCACCTAAACCTCCATCAATAGGTAAAGTACTCAACAGTAGATACCTACAAGCCAAGTCACTCACAAGTTATTAGAGAAAGATATGACGATGGCTATCTACTTGACTTTCGTCCACACTTATAGCTGGGTGACCTTCTGAGAGATAATGCGGGTTAGGGTTACCCCTGAGCCCCTATTCCGCCCTTTTATTTCCTCAAGAACCCCCACCCACCACACCGTGGTCACACCGTCCCCACCCCGCCCCATCTCACCGAACCCAGCAAACGCCCATCTCATAATTTTCGAAGAATCCCATTCCCTTCTGACAAACATCCTTATCATCGTTGGTCGTAAACCCCCAAAATGCCGTCATCTGCCTTTACAACCTCGAGAAGTGTCCTGCACCCGTGATTGGCTGCTTCGCCATCGCTCCTAAAAGCACGCCATACCCCTGTCGGTCATCTCGCCTGGACGTCTGGGTCATCCCCACAGCTGTGGTGAAACCTGTCCCGTCTTGTGGACGGGAGTTTCGACGTCTGGGTTTTGGGTTTTGAGGGATGAAAGAACATTCGGAGCTTTGCCGTTGGATTCTCCCGTCCAAGGATTCATCAGTATCCAAGCCAAGCGGTAGGGGTGGGAATGATAACTGGCGTATAGACACGCACACACACACCGATGTTGGTTGGGTCTCCTCTTGGGGCGTTATTCCATTGAATGGGCACACATACGCACACACACTTCACCACCCGGTGGCAGAGAGATAACCCCCGCGGCGCGCCGTATCGGTCCCGCGCCCGCCGCTTGTCTCAAATTACGCCTTGGGATGGTTCCGATGAGATCAGGATCGGGCACCGGCATTACACCAGTCGATGATGCAGATGACTGGGCAGAAGACTGGCACCAGCCTGGCGGTGGTGGTGGTGCCAATGGTGGTGCCAATGGTGTCAGTGAGGAGGCAGGTGGTGCTATAAGGTATGTGTGTACTTTTGTATCCCGCCTTCCCTTCTCATGGTGTTATCTTTCTTTTTTTCTTTTGGCTAGTTTTAGTTTTTGTTTTCATCAACCCAGTGGGATGACTGGAATGTGAGTTTGAGACTTAACACACACAATGCCGTTGAAGCAACAGTCGCTATACGCCACCTTTGGCACTTCATCCACCGGAGGCCAGAATAATGATAATAACCGAGTCGAGCTAACGGCCGGGGCAAGACTGCGAGACTGGACAGCAAGGTCAAACACGGACGAGGACGATGATGCCAGATCACAATATGGCTCCGAGATTAGCAAAGAGGACGCAGATGTCACCACGGCCTTGATATTCACCGAGGGCGGCCCCCTCGGCGAGCCAGAGCCAAAAAGGGGACGGTTTTGGTTTTCACCCCCTGGAGGCAAGGGGGAGGAAACGGATCTTGATGCCATCGCCACGCAACGAAGTGTTTTTGACGACCCTGACCTGGCGGGACAATATCAACCACAACCAGACTGGTATGCTGTTTCTGCCCGCTTACATATCCTCGTTTTCGGGCTGGTCCTGACAGTAATCATAGGGAAAACATCCATCGCTTCGACCCGTCAGCAAGATGGACATGGCGCGAGGAGCGAGCACTGATCCGCAAAGTCGACTTCAAAATCATGCTCTGGACCTGCCTCATGTTCTGCGCCCTGGAGATGGACAGAGCCAACATTCGACAGGCTGTCACGGACGACCTGCTGCCTGAGCTTGGACTGACCACCAACGACTACAACCTCGGCAATTCGCTCTTTGCCTTTTCGTTTCTGTGTGCCGAGGTTCCATCGCAGTTGATCAGCAAGTACCTGGGTTGTGATATCTGGATACCGCTGCAGATGGTGCTCTGGTCGCTGGTGGCGTCAAGTCAGTTTACGTTGAGCGGAAGGTTTGGGTATCTGGCGTCGAGGGTGTTGTTGGGGATGCTCCAGGGAGGGTTTATACCGACTGTGGTGCTTTACCTGTCGTATTTTTACAAGGCGAACGAGCTGACGATACGGATGGGGTTCTTTTGGACATCGATGGTGTTTGCGGATATTTTTGCGGCGCTGTCAGCTTTTGGGTTGTTGCATATGCGTGGTGTTGGGGGATATTCGGGGTGGAGGTGGCTCTTTTTGATCGAGGTGAGTGTTGAGTCATGTGGAATTCCCCTACAACTAATTACCCGTACTGACTCTCGGGTCCAGGGAATGGTGACACTTGTCTTTGGAATCCTGTCCTTTGGTCTCATGCCGGCTGGCCCGACGCAGACTGCTGGTTGGCTCAGGGGTGAAAAGGGGTGGTTTACACCGAGGTATGTTCTTCCAGTAGATAATGGTCTCGAGATAACCGCTAACAAAAGAAAAAAAAAAAGGGAGGAAGTTATCCTCGTTAATCGTATTATCCGTGACGACCCTTCTAAGGGAGGCATGCACAACCGGGAACCAGTATCCCCAAGGCTCCTCCTGAAGAGTCTGCTTGATTTTGACTTGTGGCCGATATATCTGATTGGTCTCTTCAATCATGTACCCTATGCCACGCCAACCAGCTATCTGACGTTGTCGCTCAAAGGGATGGGGTTCTCGACATTCCAAACGAATCTGCTGGTGATTCCGTCGCAGGTGCTCCATAGTAGGTCTAGAAGGACTTTGACGGTGATTGGAACATTGTGCTAACAGAGTTGACAGTCGTAAACATGATAATCCTGACCTATGTCAGTGAATTCACTGGTCAAATGTCACTGATTGCCATCATACCTCAGTTTTGGGCAATCCCCTTCCTGGTCTTTTTACGGTTCGTAGACACCACCACAGTGTCCAAATGGACGGTCTGGTTGGTCATGACCTTCTTCCTGGGATCACCATATTCGCACCCCATCCAGGTCGGATGGATCTCTCGCAATTCCAACACAGTCCGCAGTCGTGCTGTGGGCAGTGCTGTGTACAACATGTGCGTCCAGGGCGGCAGTATTATCGGGGCTAATATCTACCGCGAAGACGATGCGCCACACTACACTCGCGGCAACACGGTACTGCTGTCGATACTGGCCTTCAATATCGTTCTCTATTTATCAACCAAGGCATACTATGTATGGCGGAACCGAAGCCGAGAGGAGGTCTGGAATGCCATGTCAGAGAGTGAGCGGGAGAAGTACCTGGCAGAAAACTGGGATGCCGGAAACAAGCGGTTAGATTTCAGATTTGCATCTTAAGCAGACACTGCCCATGGCTTTTTCATCAATCAACCAATTGAGGAACTGGAATGTGACAGAGATGCATGTGGGGGACTCCCTGGAGTGTGTGTGAGCCTGGCCTGACGAGGCGGTGCCATGGCGGGGTATATTTACCGGACAACAAGAGGGGTGTGGCTCTATCACCTCGCTGTTCATAAATACCTGTAAATTTCCCCACGTTTTTATTTGCCCCTTCTCTCTTTCTTTCTGTCATCAAACACACGCCCTGGGGAAACCCACCCATTAATCACTCCCACATCGCCGTCGGCCTCGCTCGAGAGGCCACCACATACTGCAAGAATGGCAGCAGCAGCATCAGCAGCAGCTGCCAGTATCCGTCTCTCCGCCATTTACTTCCAGCCCCAGTTCCAATGATCAAGGTCTCCTGCACTTTTTGGACCCGAGCCAAGACTTTGATCATCTGTTGTGGAACGGCTCTTTTGACACGACCTCGCAACAACTTGCTCTCGACTGTCCCCTTTTTGATATTCAATACCCACTTCCATTCCCTACCCTTCCAGTTCCCGACTTTGATATTGGAATACCCTCTTTCGGCCTGGGTGAATCAAGCGCTGCTCCCGTCACAACAACAGCGGCAACGGCAAACCTATCTCTGTTAACTCCGACGCCAACAATCATCACATCGTTCGAGTCTTGCCAGTCACCATCATCCTCTACCTCACCCACCTCCACAAGCACGCCTGTCTCTGCCTCGGGCAATTTGGTCCCCGGGTTGAAGCTCCCTTCCTCCATTTCTGTTACACTTACCGGCAAGCCGAAAGGAAAGTCAGGGCGGAAGCCAACCAAGAAACGTCCTCTGCCTGAAGAAGAGGATGATGAAGACGAAGAGGTGCTCGTGAAGAGGGCGAGGAACAATCTGGCTGCCAAGCGCTACAGGCAGAAAAAGGTTGACCGCATTGAGGAGTTGGAGGATGAGGTGAAGGAGGTGAAGAAGGAGAGGGATGACCTCCGCGTGGAATTGGCGAGGAGGGAGGCCGAGGTGAAGGCTCTAAGGGAGATGCTGGCAATGACAACGGGGAAGAAGGATTAGGTAGGATTGATAGCTAGTTGATAGAGAACAAAATGAAACCATACTTGTGATACATATCAGCATTCCGCACTGGTTTCAATGGCATTGTCATTTAGTTACACTGATTGAATCGTGACCTCCATGATGCCGTCTTTTTGTCCTGATAAGAGTGATTGGTGGTGTGCTGGTGGTCCGAGTGTCTGTCTGACCAAAGATGCGAGGCCCCATGCTAAGTCAGCACACTCCCACCGTGAAAATAAACATGATTTCATTTTTGATCAGTCCTGTACTAGCCAATCAAATTGTTGGAATATTTAACGACGGTGGTCTTGGCAATGATTTTGACGGTGGAGCAGATCCATCTGCCGGGGAGCCTTTCTAGAAAATACCAAAGGCTACACCCGACGCCGTGGACAAAGATGACGATTACAAATTGCGACGCTGAGTGGACGGGCGTATTGGGCACGGAGTCACTGCGCCGAGAGATACGAAGCCAAGGCAGAGACAAGTGCGACTAAAAGACATGGAAGAGGCAGTGACAGCTTTGGAACGCGCGCACGAACATCCCTCCGCTTTTAAAAGAAGAATTGGGTCCTGCTGTGGTTGGATTTCTAAGCACGGAGCATCCATACCTAGGGGCACAGCTCCAAGCACCCAACCGGTCCGGGCGGCAGCAGCAGGGTCTTTATGAGCAAATGAACGGGGAGAAAATGCAAGGGCGCGGGGGAGAACGGATTTATAATGGCCTGCTCTGTCCTCTTTGTCACTTGGCGGCCGCTAACTCCACGGCGTTTGCGGACAACAAGCGTACTCCATCGTACCCGTTATGCCGTTCAGACCGGAGTTTGCATTCAAAGGCGGTGGGAGTGGACCGTGTAGACGTGCAGATCGCTACCCAGACCATACCGTCCAGGCGGTTTTAACGCTGCTTTAACGTGTTAAACCTTCTTTTGAGCAGCAAAGCATCTTACGAATCACTGGTCGGCGGTGACTGGGGCTGTTGACAAGGGGGGTGGTTGCTTCCGATGATTCATGCCCCGTCACTCTTATCTCCATTCTGGAGTCGGAATCTTTCATCAGGGTGCTGCTTACAATTCTGCTGTGTGGGGTGGCTGTTTGTATATGAGGTCTGGTAGACGCGCGACTTTTCACCTCATGATTTTTGATAGAGCTGCGAATCAACCCTACCAGGCTCTTTCCAGTTTGCAAACCATATCCCCCGGCCGCTCCTGCCGCTTCTCGGCACCGGTGAGCTGCACCTTTGATTGAGTTGACCGCGACTTCCAACGTCACTCTCTCTCTCTCTGCCTGCTGCTCACAGTCCCACAACTTGAGAATCAAAACACTGCATTTTCACAAAAACCAACCAGAATGTGGGGGCAACAAACGCCCGAGGAGGCTTTCCGCCGGGGAGCCTCTGAAGCCCTTCCCGACTCACTCCATCATCGAGATCCAACCCAGCCAATCAGCGAAGAAGAAGCTGACATCGACTCTGGCGACACCACCAAGATCCCACCAAGTCCTGAGGCCTTGTCCACAGCCGACGAAGGCCTTTGGGGAGAGCGAGATGTCGGCGGCCCAGTGAGCCAACGGATGGCCATGCAGGACTTTCAAGAGCTTCAACGCGAGCTCACCAAGATGACCACGAGGCGGTCACGGTCCCAGTCCCGGTCCCGGGCGCGATCACAACCACGATCAAGGTCGGCCTCGAAAGCTTCCCGGAAATCGGATAGCAGGCGCGATAATGTCTTTCGCCGCATCGCTTCCCGGGCCAGTGGAAAATCAAAGCGGCCGAAAGACGAACAAGATCCTGAACAGCAGGCCGCCGACGATGCTAGCAGCTCGGACGAGTCCTCGGATGACGGCAGCCAGTTTCAATTGGAGCAGTTTATGCGCGACGGCCACCTTGAGAAGCGCACGGATTCTGGCGAGTCGAGCAAGAAGGTCGGCGTGGTGTTCAAGAACGTCACCGTCAAGGGTGTCGGCGGCGGCACTGTGTTTGTCAAGACACTTCCCCAGGCTATCCTCGGCACATTTGGTCCCGATCTGTACGGCATTCTCTGCAGATTTGTCCCAGCACTTCGTTTCGGACGTCAGCAAGGCGGGCTTCGTACCCTTCTCAACGACTTCACTGGTGTCGTACGGCATGGAGAGATGATGCTGGTGCTGGGTCGGCCGGGGAGTGGCTGCAGCACTTTTCTCCGCGTCATTGCCAACAATAGGGGCGGGTATGCCGCCGTCGAGGGCGAGGTTTCCTACAGCGGCATCTCTGCCAAGGAAGTTGCAAAGCGCTATCGCGGTGAGGTGGTCTACAACGGTGAAGACGACCAGCACATGCCTACCTTGACCGTGGGGCAGACACTCCAGTTTTCGCTGCTCAACAAGACCAAGAAGCACCTCAGGGACAATGTGGACTTTATAATCGACTCGTTGTTGCGCATGTTTGCTATCCAACACACAAAAAACACCATTGTTGGGAATGCCTATACACGTGGTGTTTCCGGGGGTGAGAGAAAACGAGTTTCCATCGCCGAGGCCCTGGCCACCAAGAGCACCATCGTCTGCTGGGACAATTCGACAAGAGGTCTCGATGCATCCACCGCTCTGGATTACGCCAAATCGCTGCGTGTCATGACCGATGTATCGGATCGAACAACCATCACCACCCTCTATCAGGCCGGAGAAGGCATTTATGAGTTGATGGACAAGGTCCTGGTCATCGATGAAGGGCGCATGCTCTATCAGGGCCCTGCCAACGAGGCCAGGCAGTACTTCATCGACCTTGGTTTCCACGCACCACCACGCCAAACTACTGCCGACTTTCTCACCTCCATCTGTGACCCAGTCACCCGACAGTTCCGCCCCGGCTACGAAGACAAGTGCCCCAAAACTGCCGAGGAGCTTGAGACAGCATTCAGAAACAGCGAGGCATACAGGAAGGTCCTTGCTGATGTGGAGCAATTTGAGAGGCATCTGCAACAAACCAAGCATGCCGATACTCAGAGGTTCCAGGAAGCCGTCGAGGAGCAAAAGTCTCGCCGTGTTGCCTCGGACTCGAACTACACTGTCAGCTTCTGGAAGCAAGTCCTCGCCTGCTCCCGCCGCGAACTCTGGCTCTTGTGGGGCAACAAGACGGAAATGTACACCAAATATTTCACCATCATCAGCAACGGCTTCATTGTTGGCTCTCTCTTCTACGACACTCCGGACAACACGGCCGGCACCTTCCTGCGTGCCGGTGCTGCCTTCTTCTCCATTGTCTTTCTCGGATGGCTTCAGCTCGCTGAGCTCATGAAAGCCGTCTCTGGTCGTGTTGTTGTGGCTCGGCACAAGGAATATGCCTTCTATCGTCCGTCTGCTGTCAACCTTGCCCGCGCTCTCGTCGATCTCCCGGTCTTGATCTTCCAGGTTGTCATCTTTGGTCTGATCATGTACTTCATGACTGGTTTGGACTTGACACCGGCCAAGTTCTTCATCAGTCTCTTATTCATCTATACGACCACCTTTTGCATCACGGCTCTGTACCGCATGTTTGCGTCCCTGTCACCAACAATCGACGATGCCGTTCGTTTCAGCGGACTTGCGCTCAACTTGCTGGTCATCTTTACCGGTTACGTGATCTACAAGCCTATCTTGGTGTCACAAAAGATCTGGTTCGGTTGGCTCTTTTACGTGAATCCGGTAAGCAGATCTCCCTCCTTCCTTCGACATCGTCCAACAGCTGCTAACAAGAGACAGCTTGCATATGCCTTTGAAGCCGCTCTGACCAATGAGTTTTCTGGCCGGATCATGGAATGTGCCCCTGCGCATCTTGTGCCTCAGGGGCCGGGTATTCTACCAGCGAACCAGGGATGTGCAATTCCAGGCTCGGTCGCAGGGAGTACTGATGTCTCCGGAACGGCATATCTCGACAGCCAGTTCAACTACACCCGGGATCACCTGTGGCGCAACTTTGGTGTTCTCATAGCCTTCTCTGTGCTTTATCTCATGGTCACAGTGGCCGCCACGGAGCTCTTGACATTTGTCGGATCGGGCGGCGGCGCCCTCGTCTTCAAGCGTTCCAGCAAGGCAGCCAAGCGAGCCAAACTCGCTGCGAAGCCGACCGACATGGAGAAGGGCAATGCGACCGGAGCATCATCCACCACCGACGTTGGCTATCAGAATCGCTCGGAAAAGACAGAACTGACTGGTCTGACCGGAAGCGACAAGGTCTTTACCTGGGAGAATGTCTCGTACACTGTTCCGACCCCTCAAGGACCCAAGAAGCTTCTCAACGGAGTCAGCGGTTACGCGAAACCGGGAGTCATGGTTGCCCTCATGGGAGCCAGCGGTGCTGGCAAGACGACGCTGCTCAACACCTTGTCCCAACGCCAAACGGTCGGCGTGGTTTCTGGCGACATGCTGGTTGACGGTAAACCGCTGACCGGAGATTTTCAACGCGGCACTGGCTTCGTCGAACAAATGGATCTTCACGACGAGACCGCCACCATTCGGGAGGCTCTTGAGTTCTCTGCGCTCCTTCGCCAGAGCCGTGACACGCCAAAGCACGAGAAGCTGGCCTATGTCGACACTGTTCTGGACTTGCTCGAGTTGACGGACGTTCAGGATGCCATTATTGCGTCTCTGGGCGTGGAGCAAAAGAAGAGACTGACTATTGGCGTGGAACTAGCGGCCCGGCCTTCGCTTCTGCTCTTTCTCGACGAACCGACCAGTGGTCTTGATGCCCAGTCCGCTTTCTCTATTGTGCGCTTTCTTCGCAAGCTCTGCGTTGCTGGACAGGCCATCGTGTGCACTATTCATCAGCCCTCGTCTGACCTGATCCAGGAGTTTGATGAGATCCTGGCCTTGAACCCCGGCGGCAACACCATTTACTTTGGTCCTGTTGGAGAGAACGGTAGCGCAGTGGTCAAGTACTTTGCCGACCGAGGCGTCCAGTGTCCTCCCGGCAGAAACGTCGCCGAGTTCCTCCTCGAGACGGCCATCAAGGGTGGAAGACGCCCCGACGGCAAGCGAATTCACTGGACTCAGGAATGGCGCGAGTCCAAGGAGAACCGAGACTTGCTGGCCGAGATTCAGCGGCTCAAGGATGAGCGCAGCAAGGCCAACAAGGAATCGACTGTTGTCCAGCCGGCATTGCAATCGTTTGCTGCTCCCACCTGGACGCAAATCATCCTTCTGACCAAGCGCATGTTTGTTCACCAATGGCGTCAGCCATCTTACCTCTACGGGCGGCTGTTCACTGCTGTTATTGTCGGCATCTTCAATGGCTTCACCTTTTGGAAGCTGGGCAACACGGTGGCTGACATGCAGAACCGCATGTTTACGTGCTTCCTCATCATCATGATCCCTGCCACCGTCCTCAATGCCGTCTTGCCAAAGTTTTACACCAACCGCATGCTCTGGGAGGCACGCGAGCACCCATCGCGCATCTATGGCTGGGTTGCCTTTTGCACAGCCGAGGTCTTGTCCGAGATCCCAGGCAGTATTCTGGCGGCCGTGCTGTACTTTTTGCTGTGGTACTTCCCCACTGGTTTGCCGACTGAGGCGTCAGTTGCGGGTTACGTCTTCTTGATGACGCTGCTCTTCTTCCTGTTCATGGCCAGCTGGGGTCAGTGGATTTGCGCGTGGGCGCCCAACTTTACCGTCATCAGCAACATCCTGCCGTTCTTTTTGGTCACCTTTTCCATCTTCAACGGTGTTGTGGTTCCTTATGACCAGCTGAATGTGTTTTGGAGATATTGGATCTACTATGTGAACCCATCGACGTGGTGGGTCAGAGGCGTTCTCGCGGCCACGTTGAATGGTCAGAGTGTGCAGTGTGCTCCCAATGAGGCCGCCTACTTTGATCCCCCATCAGGACAGACGTGTTTGGAGTTTGCGGGCGACTTTGCGAGGCAGGCTGGTCAGGGGTATCTGCTCAACCCCAACGACACGGCAGACTGCGGGTTTTGCCCGTACTCGAGCGGGAACCAGTACTTGAACACGTTGGGGATCACTCCGGATGAGAAGTGGAGGGACTTTGGCATCTTTTTGGTGTTTTGCTTTACCAACTGGATGTAAGTTTTGGCCTCGGTTCTTGATTGCATGACACGGCTGCTAACATGTTTATTATCCACCCAGGCTGGTCTACTTCTTCATCTGGACCGTCCGAGTCAAGGGTATGACATTCGGCTTTGGGCCGCTGTTTGACGTACTCGGCAAAGGTGTCGGGGCGGTCAAGGGGCTCTTCAAGAGAAAATAGAGGAAAGAGAATCTGGTTCGATGGGATAGAACTCGGTTGGGTTTAGATAAGACACACGGGGCATTTGATACCACGGGATTTCGGCTTGCTGTTTGTCACACATACGAGATATAATAATGGATGAAGGGATAGAATGAGTGCGAGGTAGATAGATATAGAAATAACAGTCTTTGATCGCTCAATCCTGGAGGTTTGTTTTCTTTGGCGCGCGCATTCAGGGGTAACCAACCGTTGCCACCGCCATCATCTCCACCCTCCAGCCACAAAACCCTCATCCCCACCACCACTTGCCCTATTACCCACTTCCCACCAGCCCACCCTCCATGAACCTTCCTTCCCAGCCGCTTTCTCAACAAAACAAAGCCGGGCGTGTGGTCTAGTGGTATGATTTCTGTTTCGCACCTTTGTCTGCGATCTTACAGAAGGTCCCGCGTTCAATTCGCGGTACGTCCAGGTCTCTCACACACCTCATCCTCCAACAAACCTACGACAGGTGCACAAACATCTGTTGATAAATTGTTCGTTTATCTTCCGTAGTATAGTGGTCAGTATGTGAGCTTGTCATTGGTCAACGCTCGAGACCCGGGTTCAATTCCCGGCGGGAGAGGCTCTACAGAAGAAGGGGGTTGTGTGGGTGCTCTTTTTTATTTCTTGGCTTTTTGTCTCCTGTTTTGGGAGGTTTTGTTTGGGTATTGAGTTGAGAAGGGTGACATAGAAGGGGGGAGAGAAAAATCAGGCATGACTCCAAGGCAGCACCTCCGTCTTTTTATCCCCCCCTACATCAACCGCCTCGGCACCAACAAGAAAGAATACCACTCTCGCCCAGACGGTATCGCTCTTGTTTTCCCAAGCATGCATCGTCCCTCGTTGCACGACCACATCACCCTTTTTGAGCCTTCTCTTCTCCCCGCCGTCCAGAGTCAGCTCCATCTCTCCTTCGATAACCACCCCAAAGTCGATTGTTTCTGTCCTGTGAAACTGGATTGCCTGCCCTGGTCCCCAGTCGCAGTACCGCACGAGCGTTTCCCCTGGTGCTTTTGGGAACCAGAGCGTGCCTGGACTTGGCTGGAGGGGGTGAGCCTGGAGACGGTTAATGTCATCTTCAGTGGACATGTTGACGGGGGTGGTGAAGGTTTTGTAGAGGTCGTGGACAACCATGCCTACTGAGCCGTACGGGGTTGGGGAGGAGGGGAGGAGGGAGGGAGGGGCGAAGATGGAGAGGCCGGTGGTGGGGGAGTGCGTTGTCACATGGCGGGTAAGGGAGCCGAGGGGGTTGTAGATGGGTTGGTCTCTTTCTGAGGAGGACATGGCGGTGGTGGTGATGGGGGTTGTTGACAAAGGAAGATGGGTTTGCTGTGGGGGAAAAGAAAGAGTGGCGACGTGGAACGGAGCGTCAAGAGTGTTTTGATGAGATGCAAACCCCTCTCGGAGGTAAAAGAAGAGTCCAGTCTTATCATATGAAAAGCACGGTGGGTGTATGCGGCCGGGTATTATCCAATGGTGGTCATATATATACATCGGACCTGTTGAGTTGTACAAAGAATGCGAGGGGCAATCTACCTTATGTCGGTTGATGTTGAACACACACAGCCAATGATGCTTCTTGCATCCCCTTTACCACCAAAAATAAGAATAAAAAAGAGGGAGAAATGCTAAAAGTAAACTCATCATGTGATGAATGCTTGGACGAGCTGGGAATCGAACCCAGGACCTTTCGCATACAATGGATCCTTGATCTTGAGGATACAAGGATGAGTATGCTAAGCGAACGCTCTACCAACTGAGCCACACGCCCTTTTCTTTTGCTTGATGAGTGGACACCGCCAGAGATTTAGCTCATGAGTTGAAAAGCAAGCCACGTAAAAGAGCCAGAAAGCCAAGAGTACGAAAGCTAACAACAACACAGGCAAAAGATTATTGCAAAACCAAAACCAGGCAAAACAAGAGGCAGGGTATACCATTTCATCACCTTGCCAGGCACCAGCCGTAGCTTTCTCTTCTCAACGGTATCTAGTGCCAACAAGTCTATCTCCCAACCGAGAAAAAAATAAAGGGTGCTGCTGTGTGCGTGTGTGTTTCATCATTGCGCGCCAGATGCTCTCATGCCATAATACAAGAACAGGAAGATCGAGACTAACATCAAAAAGAGAAAATTCCAAAACTACACCACGACGTCCCGAGAACCACGCTTAGCTGTAACCGCCGCCGCCACCGTTTCCACCATTCCAGTACCCCTGTTGAGGGCCGTTAGCCGGCCCTGGAGGGTTGCCGTACCCCGATGATTGTTGCTGCAGCTGCGGGGGGGTTCCGTATCCGCTCGTGGGTGTGGTGAAGCTCCTCTGAGGCTGGGGGTGAGCGAGAGGTGCTGGGCTGGTGGTGGCGCTTCGCTGCGGCGGCTGACCGATGCCAAAGTCAAACCCGTGCTGTTGCTGATTCGGTCCCGGTGACCCCATCCTCGACTGAAGGCTTTGGTTCGTCATGCTCCGTGTCGGTGGGTGTGGCAGGGGTTGGTGCGGGGGCGGCGACATGGACTGGTTGTACAAAGACCCTGTTGGTGAGCGCAAGCCTTCGTGTGGGTTGTAAGGAGACGGGGCGCCGGGGGACCGGGCGTTTTGAGTGCCGACATAGTTGGGCCCGAAGGGGTTCGTGGGGTCTACCGTACGTGGAGACTGCGCGCCTTCGCGAAGAAGAGGAGTGCTCGTGGGGCTCATGGGACCGTCGTTGCCATTGTTGGCGGCACGAGCAGCCGCGGCACCGGCACCGGCACCGGCGGCGGCCGCTGTGGCCATGGCGACAACGTTGCCGAACTTCTCGTTGGCGGGGGCGGGCGAGGGGGGAACACTGTAGCTGTCCTTGTCGGCATGCCCGTTTTGGGCCATGTCCTTGGCATTGTACTCGTGAGCGTTGCTTGTGAAAGCATCAGGGTTGATGCCCTCCTTTCTGAACCGCTCCATCTCCAGACGCTCGGCTTCGGCACGCGCCGCGGCCTCGGTGGCCTCCTTGGCCCCCTGCCTTCTCTGGCGGATGCAGTAGAATAGAGCAGCGAAGAGGATGGCAGCACCGACAGAGGAGCCACCGGCGTAGATGGCAATTTTGGCGGCGTTGGGAAGTTCCTCCCATTTCTCGGCCATGGTCTTCTCGGGCACAGGGGGTGGCGCGTTCATGACCTCCTCGACGGTAGAATTACCCCTTGATAAGAGTCAGTCACGAGGCCAATTTGGGGTCGACGGAAGGAGCTTCTTCAAACTTACTCGACAATCTGGATGCTCTCCCACGAACCAGACCGGTCTCCATACACATATTCCTTGCCGCTGCTGTAGTCGGTGACGTGGCAGTTCTTGACAAACATGGAAAAGGGGCCCTTGGTGTAGTCGGTAGTACCGCCAGCCCACTCGCGGGTGCCCTCGGGCAGGCTGGGGTCACCACCGGCCCAGATACCAATAGAAATGCGCATGGGTGTCTGGGGGTACAGATCCATGCCACCCTCGTCTTTCTTGCCGTCGCCTTTGCTAATGGCATCCTCTGGAGTCAGTCTGCGGAATTTGGCGCCGTCAATGTAGAAGTCAAGGTAGTCCTTGGTCCAGTCCAGGGTGTAGTTGTGGAAGTCGTCCTGGACGCTGGGGATCTGGTCGTACTGGGCGTTGGTGTAGTGCGGTTGGTTCTTGCCAAAGTAGTTGCTCTGAGCGACGGTGGAGTTGCCGCCAAAGAATTCCCAGTCGATCTCGTCCAGGTTGTCGCTCAACAACATGATGGAGCTGATGATGCCGCGACCGGGAGCTGCCTTGAGCCAGATTTCGGTACGACCCCAGAAGATGTAGAAGCGAGAGCGAATGGTGGGCGAGTCGCCCTGCTTGTTGATGGTGAACTCGGCACCAGTCTCGGGAGAGTACTTGACAGGGCCGACGGTGGTTTCCCAGGCTTCGAACTTGGGGGTGGCGTTGAAGACAAAGTTGTAGTCCATACCGAAGGCGGGGTTTGGCGGGCACGTCTCGTTCATGGGAAAGCAGTGGGTGGTGACCTGGGCGGCGACATTGCTGATGAGCGATGTCCACGCCAGCAGCCCGAGGGCCGGGGCGAAAGATGGTGTTAATCTCATTGTCGATTCAGCTGTCGTATGCTTGGGGTGTTGTATTGATGTATGTACAGATGTTGCTCGCTCAGACTGTTGATATGTACGTCTCGTGTCGCCGAGTGATCAGAGTAGTTGCATGTCGCTGTACTGCTCTTTGTATTCTCCAAGGATGTCGTCGTCCAAAAAGATCGTGTAAAAATCGGGGGATCAAGATCAATTGATCGGCCGTGTCGGAAAAGAATCGAATGTTTGGAGGGATTGTGTGAGGCAATTGGGAGTGCCTCGTCTCGGTCAGGACAAGTTGAGTGCTTGCCGCGTGTGGTTGTAGCCGGAGCTGGTGGGTGAAGGAGTGTGGTGTGTGGTGCTGTCGAGGGATCTCAGCAGAAAAGGGAACGTCAACGACGGACGAAAAGAGATGGGACATGGAGATGAGAAAAAGAGATTGGGAGGCCCGAAAAGGGGCGTGTCGATAAGCAGACACGGCAGGATTCCTCGCGAACCGAAGCTTGGGCTCTCTCGGCAGGCCTTGGCGGTTAAGCCCTTTGCGGGATAGCCCGCTGGAGCACGCGCAGTGTCCGGGGAAGCCCCTGAAGGACTGCTTGTTTCATGTTAGCGCACCTGCTGTTGAACCAATCACAGGCTGTCATCCAGAGACTAGCGTTTTCTTGGGACTGCAGAAGCGGAGAAGCCATCTTGGATTTTCAGGCACAACGGCCACACGCAGATGAGTGTGACCTCACTGGTCCACCGTTGCGAAACTGTGAATTTTTTTGTTTTATTTATATTTTTACTGTTATTTCTATTCTTCTCATCAGCGAAAGAAGAAACCGAAACCTTCCATTTCTCATCTCCCGTCTACTGGGCTGCGGGTGCCGCGGGCCGCCCACCGTTGACATTTACCCGCTACCTATCTTAGTTGACAGCACCCGATCCAGCCGTTGATCAACACTAGCTACTTTGTACAACTCTAGATAGGCTTGCTCTCCTGGATTGCCGTGGCTCTCCTCATCACACTCACCCACATATCACTGTGTAGCCACAGGCTGTAGTTGTGCGCTTTCCACGGCTCATAAGGGTACACAAGTTGGAAGTCAAAGTGCCGCAACAGCTACCATTGGCAAACAAGTCCCGTGTATCAGTCTCGCATCCCGATGATCTGCAAGGAGGGGTAGCACAAAACAAACATACCTCGACGAAAATCTTGTTCAACTCAAGAAAGGCGACAGTCTTTCCAGGACACCCCCATCGTCCATACCCGAATACAAGTTCAGCCACTCTCTTCATCTCGACAAACTTCTTCTCGTTCTGAGCCGCGGCCTCGATCCACCTCTCGGGTCGAAAAAGGTCCGCATCCTCCCCGAAGGTGCCCTTGTGCCGTCCTGTTGACCAGAAGCTTGCTGCAATTCTCGTCCCACCAGGCACAAATTTGCCGTCGATGGTATCACCTTCGGGGGGGACCACCTTCAACGGGATGCCGGTGAAGGGGGGGTAGAGACGAAGTCCTTCGTAGATGACTCCCTGCAGGTATGGTAGTTTGGCACCTTCGGCGGCTGTGATTGGATTCGAGATCTTGCCGCTCTTGATGCCCTCATCAATCTCTCTCTGCAGAGCTCGATACACCCTCGGCGTTGTCATGACATATAGCATTGTCGCTCGAATGGCGGTAGCGGTTGTATCAGAGCCGGCCACGATCTGGATCAAGACCTCGGCTTCGCACTCTCGCTGAGAGAGACCATGTCGTACAAACGAGCCCTTCCAAGGAATTACCTGTCAGCGGTCGTCGTTACCGAGTCCTAGAGAAGAGGGGAAACCTACCAACATGTCCTTCCTGTCCTCTGCCCCCTCTCCGAATCTCTCCCCCACCAACATCCGAGCCAGTCTCATCAGCAACCCCAAACCCGCCTTGTCCGTCGCTTTTGGCCCGATCAATTTCAGAGTAAGATCATTTGCAAACAACCCCCTCAACAAGGGAGCCGACGATATTGCAACCGACTTTGGAGCATGTCTCTCCACTAATCCCAGATAATCAACCCCGTGCTTATCCGCTCCCTCGGTCAGTACCATCTCAAAGTCGGCCTCATGACCAAACGCAATCCGCGAAATACTATCCAAGGTGAAATGTGAGCTCAACCTGGCCAAATCGATCGTCTTTCCCTGCTCGACTTTGCGCTCAAGTACCTCTCTCACTTGTCGCAGTTTGAGGTCAATATCCCCTTCCAAATTCGGCACATCCTTCCCCGCGTACCCAGCCGAGAGCTTGGCCTTGAGCTCGTCGTGGTACTTGGTGTCCAAGGTCGTGAACCTGGCGTCGGTGAGGGGATCGAGCCGGGACTGTTTATACCAGTCGGATCTGGAGTATTTGGACCGAGCCCCTGAGGTGCGTCTGATCACCTCCGGGTCCGACGTGATGAGGTCGTTGGGGCCAACTCGGATGGTGGACATGTGGCCGTACTTGGAGTTGGCAGCAGTGAAGTAGTCGGCCATGCGGCCCGGGCGGTGGACCTTGCAGAGCCAGAGATATGAGAAAGAAGTGGTAGGCGGGCCAGGGAAGCGCCGGAGTGGGGAGAAAAAATGGCAGTAGATGGCAGTAGAGAGGTAGTATGTCATGAACAGAAGCAGCAGAAAAGCAGGGACCGAGTAGGAGAGCGGAGGGTTGGGGATCTCGGGCAGAACGGCCATCATGTGCGACGGATAAGTCATGGCTTCGGTATCCTAGTGGGAGGTACAAAACAGAGAAATACTGACGAGAAGCTTAACAGGGAGTTGACACAAGAAGGAGCTGGAAAGAGGGGAAAGTCCATCATGTGGAAGGCGCATAGAGATATCCATTTCCCCCGCACAATGTAGGTTGCATGAGTGCCAACTTCACCAATCACTTGAACATTGATGCTGTGTTACACTCCTTCATCGTCTTGGTAAACAACAAGGCGGCACCTTACCATAGGTAGCCAATAAGCCACTGATAAGCCAAGGTACCTAGGTAGCGATCTTGATGAGCAGAGCAACTACCTTGAAAAGAAAGAAAAAAGAAAAAGAAATAGGAAATGGTGAATACCACCAAGAATCAAAACCTTCAGATTTACAATTATAGCAGGCCGAGGTTGGTCGCACCTACTTAAGGCCGTGATCTTTTGCTTCAGAGTTTCCTTTGTACCTACCTATGAACCTACGTTAACTACTTCAGGAATGACTTCACACCTGGCCCGTGCCCATTTCTGAAGCCTTTCGCGAGGACTCATCCATCGATTGATCTACTGGTTCAGAAAGGCTACCTATTCAGAAGACGTGATCTTCAGGTTGGTGGTGGCTGAAATGTGAATAACGCCCTTACCTAAGCCAAGGTCTGGTTGCGCCGTGGCCTCGCTGCAAACCTTACTCAAATTCCTGTCGAAACCTCTCTTCCGGAAAGATATGATTGTTCCCAAAAGAACCCTATGCTCATTCTTTTGTGGCACAGGCCAGGCTGCTTGCAAGCCCCATATTCACCTCCCGTTGCTAGGGCTGGTGGCTATTTGATTCTTACCTCACTTCACACTCTCACTTTTTTCTTCGCTCGGGACGCCCAAAAATCCTTCTTTTCCATATCGTAGTCTTCGACATAGGTAATAAATCAAGCAGTCTACCCGAGATACCCCTATCGAACATCAACATGAAAAAAAGCCTTTGGGCGAATGCCTTCTACTTCGACTTCCCGATGAGCTGTTGAGGATGATAACGGAGGAGGTCTTTCATGTTGGCAAGCCATGGACGCGTCGAGATAACAGCTGGGGGGATGAAAACCCGACCGACATCAATCACAAGGTCCGCTTCTCTCACACACGCTTATTCGCATTTGCCCCCGTTTCTACACAGTCGGAATGCCCATTCTGTATTCGAGCCTGGAATTCCGTTCGGCCTCAGACTGCAGACAGCAACACAAATCTATTTAGCTTAACACATGAACACCAGTGATGATGGATGATGAGTCAAGAGAAAAGAGAAACATAACGACCTTGCCCACTGTCCAGATGACCAAAGATCTTGACCACTATCAATGAACTGAGCGGAAAAGGGTGTGCCTAAAACCCGGTGACAGTGTCCTATTCTTATTCAACTACAATCCCTTTTTCCTCTGCCAGCCCTCACCAATTCAGATGATTGGCTGCCATGCCCGGCTAGCTCAATCGGTAGAGCGTGAGACTCTTAAGGGGTACCTCCGTAATCTCAAGGTTGTGGGTTCGACCCCCACGTCGGGCTCAATTCCCGTTGCTGATCTTCTACTTTTGCAAATATTTTGCATTGTCATTCTCTTTTCCATCTTGTGGCTTTTTTTTTTGGCATGTTGCTTACATTTCGCGGGAGGACTCCGACAGCAATTAAGGTGTGGCGAATTTTCTGCAGGCACATGTTGTGATACCCCTGGATACGCAAAGCTTGTTGACGACACTCGCCACAGTGTGGCTGGTGAACAAGTGATCGACACTGCGGACGCTGGGGAGGCGCAACAAAGACGAGGTCGGATCAGATGATGTTTATCTTTTGACACCATAAAACCGAGAAACAAAACAAGTGGCCAATTTGTGTCGGTCCGGAGCTGGTAAAAAGCAGCAGGTAGGACGTTGGAGGACGGGATTGGCCCCAACGTTCCTGGTTCCTGGCCTGCCGTGCCGAACCGGGGCGCGGGAACTTTGCTAGTGCCGGCGGCTCGGTACATAGGCGTGGACATAGGCCCCGAGAGAAAAGAAATTCATTCCCGGTCCCCTTACCCTCGTGTCGTTTCTTGCAGGGGGGGAAACGACAAAAAAGTTGCGACCCGTCCAGTGAAGAATATACCAGTACGCGGCGGCACTCATCGGTGGCAACTCATTGGGTGTCCATCATGGCGGTTTGTTGGGAAAGGACTACACTAGGAAAGCCATGAGGTTGACGCGCGCCCCATCTCTGTCGTACGCTTTAAACCATGGGAACTTTCGAAACGAACAGTCAACTGTGGCGAGTATGAAAGTGGTGTTTTCTTGCAGTGGTCCACCTGTGGCTGACGATTCCCAGATACTGGTCGACGTTCGCAGACGCCAATGATCTAGACCGCCCATCGGGGAAAAAGCTAGAGCTTGATGAGTCGTCATATGAGCTGTTGAAAAGATCTGGTTGTTTTTGTGACCGATTCTGTGACGAGCGGATATCAATCCTCGGAGAAGCAGCCCAGGCCGGCTGCTCCTAGGTAGGTAGTCTATGCATGGCTTGTATTTGCCAATTGGCGACAAGTTTCCGGGAGATGCACGTTGGTCCAGTCGGTTCATCTGAAATATATGCTTGGACGGGTCGGCAGTCGCTGTCATCTCAAAAAGCCATGCTTGCGGTGCAACGAGATCCAATCCTCCGTAACCAAGAGTTGGGTTGGAGGGGTGAGGGGCAGGAAAGGGTGGGGTTCAACATCCCACCTCCACCGCATGCCCCAATCAGCTGGGGATATTGGCTCGTTGGACGGCTCCAGAGACATGTGCACCTATCTCAAACTCTGGCAATACATTGATGAATGTTGGAAGCTGCCTTGCCAGTCCAAAATACTGTAAGTGTCCCGTCATGACAAAAAGCAGACAATCACTTTGGAAGGTGAGAAGACATCACTAACCGCCCGAGTTTCAACCAACAAAGACTTTCCAACCCCAAACCCGACTCCACCTGCCCAACCCAAGAACCCAAGAGCTGGAGGCTGGTCTCGGTCAAAACCCTCCGGCAAGACCCAACGGTTTGTGCCGGGTTCCCAGCCCAAACTGTTCCTCCGGAAGCATGCTTTCTTGGTGTTGCCTTACGGTGGGCAGCACATGCTGACATGTACGGGCACTACTGTGTAGGTGTCAAGAGTCTCAATTGTCAGTTGAGCCAAGAACGAGCTGAATAGCTGCCCGCAGCCCTCGTACGGTATGGTCCCTTCTAGAACTCGGTCTTTCTCACGTGCGGTGAGGGGAAAGAGGGAAGAAGCTTCCACGTTTGTTCCACCTCCATCGATGAGGCTGTTGACAGAATACCGAGCGATCGGTAGAAAGCACGGAAACACCTGCATCCGGATGAAGATGGAAAGGGCTTTACAAGTATAAAAGCAGTGGGAACGTCCGCTGGTGAGGCTTGAGAAAGAGGGTCTCCTTCCCAGGGCTGCGCATGGCTTGTCAGCGCCGCCTGCCGCAGCCCCACATTTTCCGGAGCAATCTGTCCGGGCCTGTACGAAGGAGATGCTTGAAGACAGGTCCAGGTGGTGCAGCAGAAAAAAAAAAAAAGACTTGCGGATTGCGGATGCACCGAATATATTCCGCCGTGCACTGGAAAATGACGGATTTGTCTTGCCGGGTGTGTGGCCCACAGTCTTCTTTCCCCTTTCAGGACCCTTTCGACGTGTCACCATGCTATGCCTTTGCCACAGCACGCCAGCCAGGTCCAAAGTCGAAGCCGTCGCCCCCAGACACTGACCCATCCCCTACGCTGCACCTTTCGTCTGCAGTGGGTGAGGTGGCGAGAACCAGCTGTCCGTCACTGCCTGTAGCTGGTTGGGAGCCCTGGCCGCAGTGAAGCCCAGTGCCAAGCCCATGGTTCCGTTGAGCTCTCAGGAGGTACCTATTGCTCCCTCCACCCCTGCCCGCTCGCTATCCCCCAATAACCTTACATACGACGCCAAACCACATACCAAAAGACGGAAGCCTCGAGAGGAGACAAGAACGAAATTCTCGGGTTTTCTTCAGGCTCCCCTAACCCGGGGCAGCCAGAGTCGATCATCTTTAGTCGCCGCCAAACCATCCCCTATATCATGAGCCACACCAAGACAACCACACCACAGACGAGAAAAGCAACACGAATTCATCGGCAACAGGGCATCTGCACGGGCATAGTCATCATCAACAGAATCCCATGAGTGCTCTTGCTCTTCCTACACACACCCTCGAGCTTCACCACCAGCATCACCAGCATCCGAACAGATCCGCCGTCCCTCCCCACCACCTCTTTGCTGTGCTTGTCATCTCTTCCAGGCCGTGAGGTACTAGCCCACTGAGCCCGCCTTCATTAATGTGCACTGAGCACACGACCGGTAACTGCCCAGCCTGCGGGAAGGATTACCTGGTCTTCGTCGAGTTTTGCAAAGACTACCACCCACCGTTGGTGACTTGTCCCAACGGCACCACCATCGTTCGTGTTGAAATGGAAGAGGGCGGCTGTCCGAGTCCTGTCTGCCCCAACAGTCGGAACGGAGGTTGTGCCGTCATGTAGCAGCAGCAGAAACAAGAATAAGAATAACAACAACAACAACAACAACAACAACAACAACAACAACAACAACAACAACAGAGACGGAAACCACACCAAGACGCCTGTTTCGACCCCCCCGAACCACGTTAGAGCTTTTGACCGCTGGGTCCAACCTCGACAACTTGATCGAGCCCTTCGTACTCGGGAACGTCAAAGTCATATTTTGCTGCGATTGCGGGTGTGACGAAGCTTTTGTTGGGGGGGGGGGGAAGAGTCAGTTGGGTCCAGAAGACAAGTAGGATGGGGCGGTTTTGGGTACGCACCGTCCTCCAATGAAGTGACGGCCCTTGAAGTGTTTGACAAGGGGCTTTGGAGCTGTCAAGCTGATCAGGAAGTTAGGGTGAAAATTACTACCGACACCATTTTTGGGCGGGCCCTCCTCGATATCCCACGATGAGGGGGCATCCACGGAGGTCACCGGGACCTGGGTCTCCGCCATTGCGTTGATGACGGCTGGGAACGGCTCTCGAACTTCTCCAGAGAAACTGAAACCTACACCACCCGACATTGAGTCATCATGAGCCATGAGGTGGGAGAGAGGAGAGGAGAGGGGTGACAGAATACAGGTGGAAAAACGAACCAAAAATAGCATCGACAACGTGATCAGCCGAGCTCAACGCCTTGGGGAAATCGTCGACGAAGGGAACATCCAGGTCTTCCAACTGTTTGGCGAGGCGCTAGATACACAAATAAGCGATCTGCCACGAGAGAAGGCGGCCAGCAGGGCTGGAGAAGGGATCGACCAGGCAAGCAGTGTAATAATATGCGCCCGCTGCTGTCTAGGTCAACCATGGGAGGGGAATGTTTTAGTCCGACTTGGACGTGAAGCGCGCATTGCATGTACCTTCGCTGTAGGTATAGAAGAAGTATTGGGCAAATGAACAACAAAGCGATATTGCCATACAAGAAGAGGAACATGACTTACCTGGTAAAGCTCGTTTTTGCTGCGTTTGGGGTAGTAAATGGTTGGTTGATAACCGTAATGGCGCAGATGTCGGGCTGCTACAAGACCGTCACCCCCTGAGCAACGGGTGAGCACAGGCCACCCAGGTTGAAAGTCAATTAAGGGGTCTCAGTCACCATTGTTGCCAGGGCCGACAGCGACCAGAACCCTGCGGCCTTCGTTGATGGGATGGACGCGGTACACTTGGTTTATTGTCAACACAGGCCCGCCGGGTTCGAGAACTGACGACGGGATCAGGGCCAGAATTTAACTCACCAACCTGGGATACAGACAGTCCTGCGAGCTCCATGAGCTGGTCGATGGAGAAGGCGCCTGTGCTCATCAGCTCCCTGTCCAGGGCGGCTGCAGCCTTTGCACCGAGTGTCTACCAGTGACTGTCAGCTGCCATTCATTCACCATCAAGCAAAACAGCGTGCCTTGAATACCATGGTCGAATTCAAGGTGTGGGGCGACCTCTTGCTGTGTATAGTCGAAGACCGAGTGGAGAGAGAGCAGTGGGAGGGGGAGGCAAATCCGGGGGGAGAAACAAAAAGAAGCAAGACAGGTGATTATATGGTCAATTAGCTCCAAACTCGGAACAAAATGACACGAAAGCCCACCAAGCTTTACTGACATCACCCAATGTCTTGATGTAAGGTAAACCACCCAGAAGAGCTCATGTTACAGCCGGAGGGTGGGGCAATGCATGCGCCCACGCACCACCTCAGCACCTGCACCCATTTGGCGCACGGATCCCGACTGCCCAGCCAGAATTTTTGGAGCTTTCTCTGGTTCCACTCACTCGAGCGAGAGAGCGCATCCCGCCAGAGAGGCCATCGCCAAAACCTTACGACGACCGCAGCAACCACCGACTCCGTACTCCGTGTCCCGGATCGCACCCGCCCAGCTCAACCCCGCAACATGGTTGTCAAAATCCGTCTCGCCCGCTTCGGGCGCACCAACTCGCCCTTTTACAACATTGTGGTAGCCCATGCCAGGTGCCTCTTCCCGAGCTCTTCGAAATGAAATTATGATGCTGACGGACAACAAACCAGGACGGCCCGCAACTCCCGGCCCCTCGAGGTGATCGGCACCTACGACCCCATCCCCAAGAAGGACACCTACGACGAGTCAGGGAGGCTGCACAAGGACATCAAGCTCGACATATCGAGGGCGCAATACTGGATTGGTGTGGGGGCACAGCCGACAGAGACAGCGACCAGATTGTTGAGCATGGTGAGAAGATAAACTCGAGATCGAGATGGGAGAGGGTGGTTTGTGGCTGACCAAGTTTTTCGACATGACCAGGTGGGAATCGTGGACCCTAAATACCAGAAGACGCCACCAAGGAAGTCGACACCAAAAAAGGAAAAGGCGGCCCCGGCGGAGGCATGAGTTATGGGAGGGTTTCCATGGGAATAGGAAGAGCGGCAATAGATGGGGATGGGACGGGCGTGTATTCTAAAGGGAGGATGCGTACTGATACCGCACACAACCCCTTGGCATATTTCTAAAAGGCGTTTTTGGGTCGACACTGTCTGGATTGTACGATACGGTAGGGGAATGGAAGCTCTGTCACTATTGTTTGGGAATTGTGGGAAATCTTGCATCTCGAATGATGAAGTGGAGGGCTTGGGGGTTTTTCACGCCGACGAGTTCCCAACCAGGGCCAAGAACGTGTGACCTCCAAAAACCCAAGACGATTCAAAGTAAGCAATTGTTGAGGGACCATAGCCAGCTGTCTGCCACATACAAACCCTAATCCTTGCCTATCCATGATGGCGACCAACAGCATCTACCTTAGCTTGTCTAGGTAGGTACTCAAATTTGACCGAGCTCAGAGGTCAAGCTGAGCCATAAGACATGATTCACATGTTTACTTCAAGCACTTGTATGAATGCCACGTCCATCTCAGGACTACACATTCTCTTTCCTAGTATCATAGCCCAACCCCCATGCAAGCCGAGATCCCATAATGCGAAAACCCTATCATGCAGACTGTCTCCACGCACCCACACCACTCCACTCCACACCAAACCAAACATGTCTTATACCCCAAAGCCCACAATCTTTCCATCAAGCAAACAAGGTCCGCTGGCGTAATGGCAGCGCGTCTGACTACGATCTTGACAAGAGATTCAAGTAATCAGGAGGTTCCAGGTTCGACCCCTGGGCGGATCGTTTTTGTCCTCACAAACATCGAGGTTCTTCTTTTACCTTTTGTTCATCACTCCCATCTTCCCATCAGCAACATTCCTGCTTGGTGCCGCAGTAAAGACTGCTATGTCACAACCTCCAGGAGAAACTCTTCACAAGACCGAGCCATGTTGGAGAGGAAATATATTATCTCTTTTTATTCATCTTTTGGTATCCCTATCCAAGAAAAAAAAGGCAATGCATCCCGGCCGGCCTCCCTGTTCAACAGTCCCAGAAACGCCCATGATGTGAAATGTAGACGACTCCCCCTTCCCCCCGAAAATAAAAACCAACAGACATCACCCAGCCGCTTCCCATACGCTCCGCTTTGCTCCGGTTGACTCCCTCGTTTCCCGAAAAAATAATCGTGTTGACGTATGACATGTACCTGTACTGTGATCCCCCTTGCTCTTTTGTAACTTTCTCTACTATAACCGGTCTATAGTGGGCCCATCCAAAAGAGATTAATGATGGGCGCTGAAGAGTGCATTCATCGCCAGGCAAACAACCATGACGCAGGCACCGTAAATCGAAAGACCCAGAGCCATCTTGCGAATCAGCCCCGTCTCCAAGTGCTCCAAATCCCACCTCCACTTCTTAGATCTCCTCCTGCCACCGCGTCCGCTGATCACGCTCCCCAAGCTGGCAACACTGTCCAACAAACCAGATCCAATGACCGCAGCACTCTCTTCGTCGTCGTCGTTGTCATCGGCAGAATACTCGGCATCGTCGTCCTCCTTGGTCAAACGCTGGTGAAAGATACTATCCGGATCGCTAATCTTGTAGTAAAATAACCCCGGCAGGATGAACGAGATGGCCGTCGAGCCTGTGCTACCGACATAGGCCAACACAGTGTCCAGCGTCTCGACGCTGAGCGCGGTGAAATAGCTAAGCACCAGAATGACGCTGGTAATGAGGGCAAAGCGAAGCTCCGACATGGCAACCACAGGTGCCCCGTGGCTATCCAGGGCGCCACCGCCGGCAGCTCCTCCTGAGGGAAGAAGGGGCTGGCTTCCGGTTCCGCCGCCCGATGGACGCGAACTTCCGGGACGCCAGCGCAGTACCGCGTCGATCGAGGCACGGCACGGGTGGATTTGGAGAGGAATGCTGAAGGTGACGAGAATGACAATAGCGGCCTTGGCGATGGTGGAAGCAATCGAGGGTGGGTACATGCTGACGATGTTGCCCTTGACCTCGTTGCCAAAGGTAAGGTAGCCGGTAATGGCGACCAGGACGTAGATGGAGGCAGCAGATCCGATGCTGGATCCAATGACGCCAACGATACTGGCGGGGGAATTGTCCTTGATCTCGTTCACGATAGAAAACATCTAGACAGCGTTAGACATGGAGTCGGGTAGCCGCATTCTAGTGGGAAGACATACATTCTGGTGGCAAGTGTAGGCAAAGATCATGACTGGTAGGCTCCTCAGCGCAGCTGTTGGGCCCTCCCAGGTGACCCAACGAATGTCCCGATTGTTTGGTACCTCATCAGCGCCAAAGTGGTACACGACCAGAATGACCAAGTACCCAATCGAAAGCAAGGCAACAATGCTGGTGTACTTGAGCGAGTCTAGCTTTTTGGGGAAGCTGAGCGGTATGATAAAAACCAAGAAAAAGACAGTTATCCAGAACTTCCGGTCCGCGAGGAAGGGCAGCCCACTGTCGACACTCCCAAAGGCCTCGGCAACGCCGGGCATCAGGTCTCCGATGATGATCATGTACGAAACACCAACTCCAAAACACTTGATGGCGATGGCGGCATCAAACACCACGGCGGCGTTGGGATACGTGATCTGCGAGAGCGCAAAGAAGGACGAAGTTCCCCGATCGAGGTAACGTGCGCATCGTGACTGGAGGTACAAGCCAAACGCCGATGTCAAGCCGCACCACACAATTAACAGCGCTCCCCATAGTACACCAAAATGCGACATGGCGCCGGGCATGGCGAGTGTTCCGGCGCCCACAATGGTGTTCAGCAGGTTGATATTGCTGCTCATCATCGAGGCGTTGCCTCCACCCAACTTGGGGCTCCGTGTACGGCGATGTCTAGGACCGGAGAGTCAGCAATTCCCAATCCACAACCTGAGGAAGCTTGCGATATACTTACTGCGTCATGGCAGCGGGAGAACCTCCAGGAACAAAACTATTCACTGTAGAATACCCAGTCATCGCAGGACAACTTGTATCCGAGTTGTCCAGACTTCTCAACAATAATCAACGATCGTATAGATGTAGCAGTGCTGTCGGGGGGGGGGGGTTGTGATGGCGGAATGGCAACGGATCTACGCTCGATTTTGCGGCCGTCGTCTTTCAATGGTTATCAGGGTCTTCGAAACCAGGCAGCCATCGCGGGAATCCCTTGGTTGGCAGTTGACCGCTGGAGTAGGCGTCGTCACGGAGCGTCTCTCGAGGAGTGACCTGAGCGTTCGGTGTGTCGACAAGAGATGGGGTAGTAATGATACTCGATTGCCTGACGCAGGCGGTCGCTGTTGTATGGTATCGCGGGAGGTTTTTCCTCGTCGTCGTTGTCGTCGTATGCGCTGAGGTGAGGTGAGCAAAAGAGGAAGAAGGGGGCCAACAAAAGCCGGGGGCCTGGACAGGAACAGGGTGGTTGTCTCAGAAAGTCGGCCAATTACAATCGCCACAAAAAATAAAATTGGGGCTCCACGTCACGCGAGCCGTCAACCCGCTCGCTAACTATCAGCCTTACAATAGCGATAACGGGGACTGACCACCCATCACAAGCCACGCCCGTTGCATTGGTAAATACCACCAAGTAAATACAACCGGTAACCACGCCGTCGTTTGCCCCGTCTCTCTCTCCCTTCGCTGGTCAAGAGTCTCCAATTGGTCAACATCGCATCACGCACTGCACCAGGCGGACAACTGTCAATTCTACAGAAACATCACACCTCGGTTCGGCAACCCGCGACGTCATGGACGACACGCTGGACAAGACAACGCTGTCGACGATTGAGCTGCTCGAAGTTCGTCTGTTGCGCATTGAGCACATTCTCTACGGCCCCACGACAGCTTCAGCCCAACCAGCATCCGAGTCAGCATCCACGTCTCTGGCTGAGCTCGAGCAGCGGTTTTCTCTCCTGCTTCGACACATGCGTGTTTACGCCGAGATCCTCAAGATCTGTATGTTCCTGTCCCCACCATGCCCTCCTGATCCCTCTTCTCTTCACAAGGCTTACACGTCGTCTAGACAAATACCAGCCCTCTTTCTTCCAACCACCACCGTTCAATCCCAATGCTCCTTCAGAAAACACACCACCGATCGATCTATCCCCGGAAGCGGTTCGAGCGACTGTGCTATCGTATGCGTCTCAGTTCCCGTCGACAGCGTCAGCCCTGACTGCAGTGACATCCGACACGCCCATCCCCGACGCGAAACTGAGTGCCGAGCTGGCCTCCTTACTGCCCAAGATGAAGGGTATTCAAGCAACACAGATGGTGCAGGAGGCTGAGATCGCTGAGCTGCGGGCAAGGAGCGAACGAGTAGTCAAGGCATGGTATGAAGGGGGCGTTTTGAGGTACGGCCGCTTCGTGGCTGATCACGAGGGAAGATTGGAAAAGGTGGAAAGAGGTCTGCGGAGGATCGAGAAGGAAAGGGAGGAACCGCCGCTTTGAACTCGACGACATTATCATCAGGACTGGAACGAAACGGCGATCGATTCCGGCATGACTTTGAAGGGATGGGGAAACACCATGGCGATGGGCGCTTGACCCGTTTGGCTATGTCCATGGTTTTCTGGCTAAGTGCTAGGGTACATTTGGCACAATGGACACAAGAATCGCGGGGGGCTAGTAACACCGCGGCCACAAGGCTGGGGTATATGGACATGGCAGCGGACCTGGATTGGATGAAGAGAGGCGCCGATGATATCTCACAGCAGCTGTAGTCGGAGCAAGAAGCCTACTTTTGGGGAAAAAAGATGTTGTGACAGGGCCCTGCTGTGTCACCCGACAAGTCTCAGTTCCCCAGCCGGCATTCGCGCTCTCCGTGTTTCAAAGCCGCCATTTCAATCCGCGATCACGCATTTGCCGCGTTACACCTACACCGAAGATCAAGCAAGAGAGTGGCATAGCCAGCGCCTAAGAGGTAGACGCTTTTGTATTTACTTTTTATACCGTCACGAATTGGACGTCGGCCCGAGAGAGTTCTCCAGGCAGTTTTGCCGGGGTTGTCCTGTGGGGCACGCGCCGACGTTCTGGAAGGGCCATGGATATGGAAAAGGCGGCCGGGCAGTATGACCGACTCGCTGACTTGGCCAGCGTGGGGAAGGTCGTGATATCGAAAGCCGGTTGGTTACAATATCGACGCCGGTTGGCACCCTGGGCCGCAGGCCGGCAACCCTTCCGGGCCCGGCCATGCAAACTCCATCTGATGTTCAGCCTGGGCACCAAAAACTTCAGCAGGGGAGGAGCTGGACGCGGTGTTGGGACCCTCCTGGACTCGTTTGTGCTTGCTGTGCGATTATGCCAATTGCAGCAAGCGGATGGCGGTGTAGGTCGAGACTTGCCATGCGGGCCACTAGTAATTAATCAATGGAAAGAATTGCCTGATCATGACTATCTAGGATTTGATGCTACACTTTGTGCTTGTTGAAAAGCCGGAATCTCCCAGGATTTGCTCATAAATGACCGCCGTTACGACATGACCTTGTATATGAAGAGCAAGGCCCACTCGATCAAATCGGCGCTAACGCAGGAACCGCGAAACGACTCCATTCCAGGAAGTTCGTGACGTCGATTGATTCGCAACTAGGAGGTAAAGGTCCACGTGGATGGTGGACAAAGATAATGGTGAGAAAACCGCTCAACGCCGTGCTGTTGTAACACACACAGTGCCCCCTCTCCGTCGGAGACATTCGTTTTCACCAGAGCCAACCGCTTCGCCACTTCTCGAAGGTCGTCAACCGTCAACAGTGTCACAACACCACCCGACCTGGTGGACTATGGGCGCAGTTATCAGTCAACCACGAAGGTTTGCCTCTGCATTCTTGAAACCGCCATGTCTTTTTCCCCCTCTGCGTCTCTTGCTAATGGTCTGTCTGAAAAGCCGCTCGTCACCGTCGTGGTGCTCAGGCCGTGCGTTGGTCAGCCAAGAACAAGGGGTTCAGTCAGGGGGGCCGCGCGACACAGCCTGATTTAGAAAGCGACCACCACCAGCCTATCAGCTCGCGTCACCCTTCCTATTGTTCTGCAACTAAACCTCCCCCCTCGGCTCCTTGAGGTGGTCAGAGCGTCTCCTTTAAGATCGATACGACGTAATGAATTGAATTGTTTTCTAGCGTGCCGGGGTGTCCATTGTCTAGTCTTCGACGGGGACGTTGAGGCTAAAATAATTCCAGAAGACGCTTGTTTCCAGCTTTGATGAATCTGAATCAGCGACCACCCGAAGAGGGCATGCGCCCACGATGCAGCTGGTCAATAGGGCGCCGCATTATGGCATCCATAGCTCGGGGCAGAGGTCCATCCCGCCGGCCTTTGGCCTTGTGCGGTCGACTGTCAGCGGGGTGAGCTGGGCTGTTGAGGTACGGGAATTGAGTTGTCGACCGTTCAAGTTCAGCTGTTAGACTGCCTTTCAGTCTGTAGGTCGACAGCCCAGAGAGAACAGTTCCCCGCAGATGTCGCCAGTGATCACCAAAGGACTGGAAAGGATGGAAGGCCACAAGGCCTGGATAAAATGCTTGGCTCGGCAGGGCACAGCATGGACCACCCATTTTCGCTGCATCCAGGCCCCATCCCGACCAAGCCGGCCAATCCCCGTCAGGCCTGCACCACACTGCATCCACATCCACTCGCTGGGCTCAGCCAGTGAGAGCAGGCCTCCGAAAAGGGCAGTCTGCAGTGCCCCTTCCCGCCATTGCCCTCCAACGCAACCATCATTTACCTACCGTACCCTTCCCCCCTCGTCCCTCTTTTTCCCGCCCCCTTCTCACCATTTTGACCGACCCCTTCGCTTCTTCACCACCACCCGACGGCCGACCATCGTCACCACCTCACCCTCTGCCCGACCGACTTCCCTCAACAGTCCCCTACGACACACGATCGGAGCACGCCGGCCGGAACTGCGATTGCGACACGACAGGCTACCTACCTGAAGATAGGACAGGACAGGACCACTGGACTGAAGGGGGAAAAAAGCGGAGGATTCTGAGACACCGAAGGGTTTTTTCGTTGTTGTTTATTATTCTTTTTTCTTCTCGGCTCTCGACATTCTGTCATGACAATTGGCGGTCCTGCAATTGCGACCACTATTACCTACCTACTAAGGTGCTACGACCCGACCTCCACTATTCCCGGTCCCCGAGCTTTGCTTTAAGTTTCAGCGCGCCGAGACGACGGGCCCCCCGAGCTCGATAGCCACATTACCTGCTACCACCTGAGGAACTAGACGCTTGCATTTACCGAACTCAAAGGCTTCCCTTGCAGCAATCCCCCTCCCCCTCCCCCGAACTCCCCGACGCCGGGGCTCCCCCTTCTTCACGCGACGACGCTTGCGACCTGCGGCTTGTGAATTCCATTCCAACCTAGGCACTGCCCTATCAGGACAGCTGTCTCATGCCCAATCGCGAGTCTTGCGTCAATTGAATCGCCACCGAAGCGCGGTTCGCCCTCCTATCACCCTCGACGTCTTTTAATCGCCAGCCCAAGGCCCGCTCGTCCTTATGCCCAACTACGGCTCACTACACTCGCCATCGCTCAGGAAAATGGAACAGTCCAGAATTCAGTACGGGCGGAAGCGCCTAAGCCTTGGGAATATCATCGGTGACCCATTTGCCTTGGCAACCATCTCCATTGCTTTTGTAGGTACCCGACGCGCTTCCAAGAAACATATTAATTGCTGACTGTGTTCGACATAGCTTGCCTGGATCATTTCCTTCTTCGGTTCCTTGTTTGCCCACATCAATCAGCCACCAAATACCCCCGGAGTCAACAACTCCTTTCCCCTGTATACGTGGTGGGCTGTTGTGTTCTACTTCTTCCTCGTCGTCGGCGTTTTCATCGTTGTCGCTTCGGACAGCGTTCAGACCTACCATGTCGCCATTGTCGGATACCTCGGTTGCGGGCTTGTGCTGTCCACATCAGCAGTCCATGGCTTGATCTACTCCAACATTGGCTCTCGTGAGGCGGCTGCCGCCGGCATGATCCTGCTGGCCATGGTCACCATTGTCTGGATCTTCTACTTTGGTTCGGCCCCGTCGGCGGTGCCACGCGCTTACATTGACTCCTTTGCGCTCGCCAAGGAGTCATCCACCAACCGACAGACGATGAACACCGGTTACGGCATTGGCCGCCCCGAGACATCAACCTCGGTCCAGCCCCCGCAGATGTACACAGCTCAGCTTAACGGTCTCGAGAACCCATCGCCTGTAGGAGGCATGCAGTCGTCTGGCATGCGCAACTCTGCTGTCCCCCCGCCTTTCCAGTCAACACTTGGTCAAAAGTCCAACGGCTTGCCAGGAAGCTCCGATGGGGACATTGCTCCTCCCACCGAATACCCATACCGCGCCAAGGCCATCTACAGCTACGAGGCCAATCCCGAGGACGCCAATGAGATTTCATTCCAGAAGCATGAAATTCTCGAAGTCAGCGATGTCAGCGGCAGGTGGTGGCAAGCGAGGAAAGAGAATGGCGACACGGGTATTGCGCCAAGTAACTACCTCATTCTGTTATAGACGACTGTCGATGGAATGAGAGGCTCAGGAGAGCTTGCAGTTCATCACAGCACACTACACTACAGCACACAGCCCAGCACAGCATGATTGGGAAAACAGTCGGCAATTACCGTGGGCGCGCGCACGTACAACATTGTGGATGATTATTTTTTCTGGTTTTTTTTTTTTTTTTTTGGCTTGGTCGTCGGCAAATGACACGACACACTGGCCTTTTTATATACCCAGCAAGAGTTTTGGTGCGGGCGGCGGCGGTGGTTCGACGGTGGTCCGGAGTTTGGCGCAGAAAGGGTGACGCTCGACTGGGAACCGGACAACAAAACCAATGATTCTCTGGGACGGACAGTTGAAACGGGCGCTCAAAATTGGCGCGCCCGCTGATGCTCAAAGATGCTGAGCTCATGGATAGATCACTCTGGTTGCCAGATTGGAGACAGAAAGCATGTCCTTTGACTACGGATGATGCATTGTCTCTTGGTGTTGATATTCAGCGCCTTGGATCTGTTTGGATTAGGGGGAAAATCAAGGCGGGCGGAGCAAAGAGGATAGAGGGAGAAAAGAGAGCATAGGAAGGGGCTCTTTGGGTGGGGAAACACTTTGTCTCCCTCTCTCTTGGACCGGGTTCTGCGTGCCTGACTGCGCGTGTGTGTGTCTGTGTGCCAAGTGTGGGATTAGGCATTGCCAGCTCTCTTGTCTTTTTTTTAATGATATTTCTGGGCTGGGCGGGACTTGGTATTTGTTCTTGTTAAAACACTTGGTTTTCTTTTTTTTTTTTTTTCTTTTTCTTTTCTTCGTACCAAAACAGTACCCCCTTGGACGCTAAGCTTTATCTACCACTCTTGAGTCGGACAACCGAACGGCAAAACAAAAGGATGAAGCCTTTTATAACACCACCTCACTTGCTTCAAAAGCTGGGAGTCTGTTGCTTTTTGTCCTTAATGATGTGGTTGGGTTTTGTGTTTCTCGGATAATTCTATGTCGCGATGCTTGACTGGTTTCGCTCTGTTTCTGTTTCGACGAGTATTCCATGTACGATATTTTGGCTTGGGTTTGACTGGGTATCTTGGGGCATTTGGAACGCCGGGTAGTTCAGAGCTTGGTTGTTCTGGAATGGGACGAGGAAGAGCTGGCAAAAAGCAACAGGGGTGGAAGATAGGTGGTTAGAAGTCCAGAAGTATATAGGCACGTTTCAAAACATGTCTGCTTGAGCTTGTTTAAGTGATTCTCGACACCAACTGCTCCGCTGTTGAGCATCATCTTCTTTCTAATCTAAACCGCAACTGAAGACGGAGCTTCATCATCTCCCTTGGCAATTGATCCACCATCCATGGACTTGCAGTCTCTCTAGCTCTGCTCAATAATGCCATGCTTCTCTTGTCTCTGGCCAGACATCGTCCCCCTCGTTCAATATTTGCCGATAATATTGACTGCTCAGCCAAACCAGTCACGGCAGCTAGCCGCCTGGTGTTTCCGCACCGAACTTAAGTCCAGAGAGTTGTCTCGTGTACGAGCCCCTCCGTATGAAAACCTCCGAGGCACCACGTTTGTGGCTACCATTGTTCGAGGCGTCTTTCCTACCCGCGCTCCATTATGTTGCTCGTGACCAGGCTCTGAAATATCCTTACAACATTACCCCAAGTCGATGGCGTGTCCAGAACGACCGCGAACTGACATAGCTCTGATCTCGCTGGCCAACTCGGTAGCAGCATAGTCGACATACTTATGGAAGCCTGTCAAACGCTCTCTCTGTCTCTCAAGACAGAAGATTCGAGAGTCGGCCCCGTTGGGCAGTCCCTTGCTGCCTTTATTCCTCCCAATCACCAAAAAAAGATGACAATCAATGTCTCTCAAGCCTCTTCCTCAGCTCCCTCTCCTTCTGCTGCACCTCCATTTCCAACCTCTCCACGCTGTACTTGAGCGCTTCCTTCCTCTGCGCCACCACCTTGGCCCTCAGCGCCGCTGACCCATCCAACCTGCGCGATCGTGCTGCCTTCAACTTCTTCTCCCGCTCTCTCTCCTGCTGACGCCTCTGTCTTTCCTGCTGGGCGGAGCTGGCACCCTCGGAAGTGTAGTGCGACAGCCTCCCGGCGTTTAGCTCGGCTCTGGCTTTGAGCGTTTCTATCCTTCTTGCTTGGCGGTCAATGTTCTTTTCGGCGCGGTCGAGAAGCAGCGAGATGAAGGGTCCGATCTCATCGCGGAGAGAGGCTTCCGCGGCGGCCAGGGTGGGCTGGGGGATGAGCTCGTAGTGGCGGACGGTCTTGAGGAGGGATGTTAGGCGGGGAAAGTCGGAGATGCCAGCGTCGAGGGTGGAGACGGAGGATTGAAGGTAGGAGAGGGAGGTTCGGAGTGAGGTAACGCACGAAGCGTAGGAGGGTTGTCGTTGCTGGTAGGATTGGTAAGCCATTTTTTGTTTTGTTTACTTGGTGATGGTGTTGGGGAGAGTTGGGTGTTGTTAAGCAAAGCGTGGTGGAGGCTTTTGAGAGCGGAACCGCAACCTTCCCTTCTTGGCCATGCACAGACCACCACACGCTTGGCTGGTAGCTTTCCTCCAAGTCCACACCTTGAACCGTTCCAGCTGTTTCAACCGTGACAATGGCGCCTTTGTCAGTCGAGTTTACTGGCGTTCACAGCTCAGATGACAGCGCCACAGACAAGCCAGAGGAAGAATGGTTCAGGCAGCCAGCATGATAAATTCTCTGCATGAGCAACGTCCGTTTGGTGGTTGCTGTTCTCTCCCATCATCATCACCACCACCCTAGCAGTCCTCTGCTTTGATCAGCACAACACCACTTTCCAAGATGGCACACAAAGACCCGTCACCAGAGAGAGCCGCGAAGCGGGCGACGAACAATAAGAAAGCCGTTGCAGAAATAGTCACTGAGATGGGCCGCCGCAAGCGAGCATCTCAAAAGACGCCAGAAACCGTGGAGAAGGCAGAGGAAGCGAAAAAGGCCAACGTTGCCGTTGTCGCAAAGACAACCCAAAGAATTGCTTCCAACACTGGATGTCGTTTCCTCTCTTCTCTTCTACCCTTCGGATTCCCCAAAGACTTCCAAGTCGGAGCCGGCCAAGGACAAGGTAGACGCACCAGCCCCGTCGCAATCCTCACGACGGTCGAAGCTCGAGAGCGAAAAGTTAGCTTTGGCTCAGAAGCTATCCAAAGGGGAGATCACGCCGGCGGAATACGAGAGAGCGATGTGTCTGCTCTGGGACCGGCCCAAGCTGTCTGCGGACAGGGCATGGGCCATCATCGGTTCCGATGGGCCATCTGACGAGAACGAGAACACCGTCGACGACAGCAACCAGCAGAACGGCGGGCGCTGCGTGTTGATGTGATGGTCCCGTCTTCACATGGTTCAATTCTCGGACGTTTTTCATGGGTCCGGGGAGCTGAGCTTGAACTGGAGAAGACGAACGAGTCGGCAACCGGCAACAGCGGTGGGGGGGGAAGCTCGGACTTGGATAGCGCTTCTCTACCTACACTAGCTCTCGCTACCCCAGACTTGGCACAAACTTGCGAATGGAGTCAAGCATCCCCAGCGACCCAATGCGCTGGGAGGAAGTGCGCTAGCAGGGACCGGCCTCAACCCCGCAGCGTTTGTCAGTTGTTGTTCAGGCCCAGACAGGCATCGAGGACGAACGAGGTGGATTTTTTTATCAATCAGCTGGGAAGAGGCGAGAACGGCATTTGATTTTGGCAAGGAGGGAGGGACAGCTTGGACGACTTGGACTGCTTGGGATTGTCGGAAATCTTCGGTATCATGCCACAGGTTTCTCGACATGTCAGTTCAGAGTTTTTGTCTTTTCTCATACGGAGTAATTCGTCTAAATCAAATAGATGCCTTATCGCTTCAACAAGATGGCTTGGAAAAGTGTAGGTACATCTGATGTGTGAATTCGGAGAAGATTACCCACTCTGCTTTCCTTGGTTGAGTCTAGACTCTTATCTCGTGCAGCAGTCCAGTCAACTACTAACACTAGAAGACGTGCCTTCTTGGGGTAGAATATTGCTTTTTTCTTTGGTTGTCTTTTCCACGACATGCCCAACTGAACGCCTGACTTGGCTGTTGTGTGCTTTCTGGTGCCGAGATATTCAACAGATGAAATCAATCTTTGATTATCTACGGGAGGTACCCTCTCAGATCTTCTGTCCAAGTATATTTCTGGCCCCGCATTCTCATCACGTCTAGCCTCCAATACCAATGTGGGTGAACAGGCTGAAATGGGGTTCCAAAGTCCCGACCACCAATGAAGGTTGACGTCGAAATAATGATACCCCAAGCACATGGCTTAATGACAGGGGTCTAGATGGATTGGACTTCTTTTGCATACCGCCCCTCACGTCTTCTCCGCATTCGTTTTACTTACAGACTGACAGACGACTCCTCTTCCCCAGATTCTGCTGTCCAGCATCCAAGCTGGGGTACGAGGGCAAGGGTCATGGTTACAATTTAGTCCAGCCAAGTTGGCTCCGGTCCATTGGCCGCTCGTCTTGTGACCCCGACCGCTCTGCCATGACTGCAGTGGTTGGGGTCGGCACTTGGGATTCTGATGTTCACGGTAGGGGTATCAACGCCCATCCGGGGTTGCAGACAGAAATATATTAAATGGGACTCTTACCTTCCGAACCTGCCACCCATCCCGCCAACAACTCTGCTATCATCTGCATCCTTAGCTCTGTTCTTTTTGCTTGCTGGCTGCAGTGAGGCAAAGACAGGGGTATCTGTAGAGATACACGGGGTCTTTCTTGGTTCAATCTCTTGTCTCTGCAAACGTGGCATAGATCAGCCTCCTTCCTTTTAGCCATTGCTACCGACTCTTTTATCTGAACGCCTCTCTCCGTCCTCTACTCCTTCAAGTCTTACTTGGCACCTTCTCGACATCTTCCTTTCTGACCTCGATTCGGTCACGAGAACAACAAGATGCCGTCTCCAGGAGAAGAAACGTGGAAGGATCACTGGAAGTGCTTCGTGGCATGTGGTATCATTGTACTCTCGCCATTCCAGTATGGCGTGGACTTTGGTCTCATCGGTGGTCTGCAGGCCATGGTTGGCTTCCTCAAGGTTTGTTTACTCACAATTCAGCTCATCCCCCCGCTTGTGAGACAACTCTGACAAGAGTGACACCAGATCTACGGTCATCCAGCCCCCGACACCGCCATCGGATGGAACCTCGATACGACAAGACAACAATTGATCTCGAGTCTCATGACCCTTGGCGCCTTCATCTCGTCCGGAACGGCAGGCATCGTGGCCACGTACGTGAGCAGAAGGCAGTGTCTCTGGGCTGCTTGCGCTCTGTGCTGCGTCAGCAACGTGATCATGATGGCTACTGAGGACATTGGCGCGCTCTATGCTGGCCGCTTCCTCATTGGGTTGGCCAATGGATATTTCATGACCTTCAGCCAGCTGTATATCCAGGAATCGAGTCCTGCCAGATACAGGGGTTGGTTCTTGACCGCCTTCCAGTTCTTCACTTCCTTTGTGAGCACCCTTGTTTCTTCTTCACACATCGCTATTGAAATAAAGGCTGACAGAAAGCTGAACAGGGTACTCTGATCGGCACCATCATCGACTGGGCCACCGCTAAGCGCCCCGACAAGTCCGCCTACTTGATTCCCCTCGGCATGATCTACATCATCCCTGTCATCATGACCGTCGCCCTCTTCTTCATCCCGGAGTCCCCCCGCTGGCTCATCCTCCGAGGCGACTACGAGCAGGGTGTCAAGGCTCTCCGGTGGTTGCGTCCTGTTGGCGCCGATGTCGATGCCGAGGGTGCCGAAATCAAAGCCGCCATCGACAGGGAGAAGGAGCTCAGCAGCAGCATCAGCGTCATGGACATGTTCAAGAACCCCATCGACAGAAGACGCACTGGTCTCGCCGTTGGTGCTGTCCTCTTGCAAGCCGCCTCCGGTTCCATGTTCGTCATCGCCTACAAGGCCTACTTCCTCGCCATGTCCAAGGTCTCGGACCCGTTTGCTATGAGCAACGTCCTCTCCGCCATGGGCATCCTCGCCATCTTCTTCAACAGCTTGATCGTCGTCCGCTGGGGCAGACGCCGTGTCATCCTCACTGCCGGTCTGGCCATCTGCGGTATCCTCCAGCTGATCATCGCTGTTGTCTACCATATCCTGGGCGCAACCAATACCACCGGAATCGTCCTGGTAGCCCTGACCTGCGTCTACATGATGACCTACAACGGCATGATCTCCACCTACGCCTGGCTCGCAGGTGGAGAGATCCCCTCTCAGCGTCTCAGAAGCTACACTTTCGGTCTCGCCGCCGCCGTTGGTTTCTTCGGCGCCTGGCTCACAACTTTTACAGCGCCATATTTCATCAATCCTGCCTCTCTCGCGTGGGGTCCCAAGTATGGCTTCATCTGGTTCCCCAGCTGCATCATCGGTGTGCTCTGGGTTCTGTTCTTCTTGCCCGAGACCAAGGGCCGCACCCTCGAGGAGATTGACGAGATGTTTGAGGCCAAGCTGCCTGCGCGCAAGTTCAGACACCACATCTGTGTTGGCCATGTGAATACTGCCGAGAAAATTGATGATCGCGCTTCGGAAAAAGTGAGCCCCCCCCCAACCCCTGAGCTTTGGATTAGCGTTAGGGTTATGATACTAACTTTTTGCAGACACCCACCGAGGTTCAACATGCCGAAGTGAAGGCTTAAATCGTTTCCTTGTTTTGCCGTCTATAGAATTGAGGATCAATTGTCTTAGATACAGACAAGGCGTTTGGGAGGGTTGAATGCGATGAGTAATGCGGAGGAAAGTTGTGCCTAGATAAACATAGAGATGCAACTGGAAGCCAAGTCTCTATCGCATATTTTCATCTGCCGTGGCTTCTGCATTGGTATTGGTTCCATAAGGGGGCATTTTGCATGACAGATACTGGGCCAGCTTTATGACAGAGGATCGAACCAACGCAATATCAAATGCAACATTCTGTCCATGCTTATTGTCTGTGTTGAATCTCCACAGATCAGTATCACCTAGGTGTATGATATCATAGCCCATACCCCCAAATGCAAATCAATAGGCCTTTAAAGACATTTCAAATGCCTATTAGCTATCTTTAAAGGCCTATTCATATGTTAAAAGGCTTATTAATGATGTATAAAAGCCTATGAACTATCTTTAAACACTTATTACCTATCTTTAAACGCCTATTAGCTATATTTAAAGGCCTATTAGCTGTATTTAAAGGCATATTAATTTTGTTTAAAGGCAAGTGAACTAGCTTTGAAGGTATATGAACTATCTTTAAAGGCCTATTGTGTATGTTTCAAGGTATATGAACTATCTTTAGAGGCCTGTTGTCTATGTTTAAAGGCCTATTCGTTATATTTAAAGGTATATGAACTATCTTTCAAGGTCTATAAACTATCTTTGAATGCCTATCCATTGTGTTTAAAGGGCTTATACCATTTCAATTGAATTTTTGTAATTGAAGCCCTCGCGGAAAGCCTGGCAGTTGAAGCCCTTGCAGAAGCCTGGCAGTTTAAGGTCTGGCAGTTGAAGGTCTGGCAGTTGAAGGTCTGGCAGTTGAAGGTCTGGCAATTAAAGCCTTGGATAAGGTGGTGTGAGGTTGAAGGCTTGCATCGGCGCGTGGCCATCGGGCATCAACACCACGGCACTATTAACCACGACACTTTCACAAATATATACTGTAATTTGTAAGACAAAAAATGCATTGCAATGTTGGTGATAATGGAAATAAGTGGATGTCATGGAAAATAGTTGGTGAGAATATTATAGTATGGGAGTAATGCCCCCCTAGAAAAAGGATAATGCGCCCTTAGAATTCCTTATGTATTATATTTAAAGGCCTATTAGCTGTGTTCAAAGGCCTATGAACTATCTTTAAACGCCTACGGACTCTCTTTAATAAACACTATAGGGTAAGATGGATGCCGACTTATCCCACCATCTAACATTGTAACACCTTGCTAAGTACACTGTAGCAGGTATCCTGTAAATGATATCGAGAGTAACAGATTTGCAGTTTCTTTGATGGTATATCAGCGGTTTGACAAAATCATCAAGGTACATGACCCCCAGTGTTGGATGCACCCGCGACGGGACGATATCGCAGTGCTGCTGTAAAATCTTCGGTCAAACTGAAGCGAGCTTCATTCAGCCATAATAACAGCATCCTGACCGCTGAGACTCAGTCATCCACCACCGGCCCGAATGCTCTATCTCGATTAGACGTCGGTTTCTGGTGTCATTGTCACCACACTACCGGCTTGGCAGTCCCCCGAGCCTGAACACGCAGTCTGGGACACCAGTCGACCATCGCCAATGAACTACCAGACAGTCAGATCTCCAATACGATACTCCATAGCTGTGTTGGGGGCTGGTTGCACTGGCTGATGCTGTGCGTCGTTCATATTTCCCAAGCCGGACCGATCTATCCTCGCCTTCCTTTCTTTCTGCTCTCGCATACTGTCATCAGTCGTTGGGAGTAGGTGAGCTTGCCGGTTTGGCCCCCGGCTGGTGACACGGCTCTCTTGAAATACTCATCACATCTTTGCCTGCCGGCCATCTTCTGTAGTCTTCCGCGATAAAGATAGCAACTTGGCGCCACCAAGACGTGAAGGCTGTCCGGGTATCGGCTAGTGGGCCAGGTATGAGGGGAATCAAGTCTGGGAAAGGCAAGTACAAACGATACACACACAGAGACTGCAGTTACCCCTGTGAAACGCCATCCATCGAGACCAGACAGTGGTCTATGGTCGTCATCAGTGCGGGTGCAACCTGTGACCCAAAGGAGTACAGATGATGATGATGATGAAGAAGAAGCAGAAGAGGGGAGCCGGGAAGGTGTGGGGAGGTCTGCCTGGAGAAGCTCCGGTCTGCTCCCCACCAGAGCCCTTTTAACTCGTGATTGTGCCACTGCAATCCGCTGTGTCAACAAACATAAAACCTTAACTTGCAGCTTACCACGCTTGGGGATGGGCCCTGGCTCTAATACGAGCATCCGCAATCCAGAGCCAATTCCGATCCGGTGGGAACAGCCACAACGGCTTAACCGATGTCATTCATACAGTTCCAACCCCCTTTTCCCTTTCCTCCCTCGTCCTACCAGCACAGCTATTCATACAGACACTCCCGTGACTGGCGGAGAGCGGGCATCGTGCGCTCGTCTCCCTTCCGGAATCATGGCAGGCACGGCTCTGCCTTCTTGCCTCCATGTCTAGGAGGGCGTTTTCACGCCGCTGCGGCCTCCATGGTTGCTAACGTCGGGACCCCTCGACCAAGCTCGATATATCCATCAACAATTCCAAGCTCCACGGCCATCCCATACCAAGAACCGTTCGCGGCTGCACCGCCGGAGAATTACATGATGCAAGGGAATCCAACAAATACAGGTGCTCCGCCGGAGAAACCGTTGGTCCCGAGCAGCACTGCAGATTGGGAAGCCAAAAAGGATGTCATCAGGCAGCTGTACATGGACGAAAATCGCATTTTGAACGAGGTCATCGATATTATGCACCGCGTTCACAGGTTCAAGGCAACGTAAGCTGGCTCTCTCTCTCCTCGGACCGAAGATAGTAGGCAGGCCGAGTTAACGTGTGAGACAATGACAATGCAGAGCGAGAATGTACAAAGGCCAGTTCCACAAGTGGGAGTGGTCAAAGTACAACACCAGAAAGGGACGAAGCCAGAACGCCTTGATGCCCGCTCAGTCCAGGGCAACAAAGAAGCGAGCACACGACGCCAACAATACCGTCAGTAGTGAGACGGCCGCAGCTCACCTTGACTTTGATCTTCCAACTGTCCATTCAACTGGGAGCCAAGCTGTGATGGCAAGAGTTGGAAATGCGATGAACACGCCGCTCTTGCATCAAAACTCCGACTTTCGCAATGTTGAATTCTCTCTCGATGCGTACAAGGCGCTGATCAACATTTGGTCCCCCGGTGACAAGCCGTGGAAGTCTTCGATTCCGTCACCTCCCACCGCGCCTGCTGGAACCATACTTCAACAAGTTCAGCAAGCGCTAGCTTTGTTTGACCGGGGGCAGAATGCAGGAGGAATCCGAATCCTGGACTCGGTCAATGAAAGAATAGCCTCTGCTCTCACAATCACCGCATCCTCTTCTTCTTCGGCAGCCTGTGGTGACAACAAGACCGGCACCGAGATCACCACCACCACCACTGCCACCACCGCCACCACTGCCAGCATCCCCATCGAAATCATATGGGACTGTTTTCTTGCCGTCCCCCAGCTGATCCTCACCGCCAACCGGCCCGAGCTACTAAGTCTCTTCATGGACTACCTCGCCCGCTACGCCAACATCACCCTGTCGTCGGGGCACCCCCTTACCAAAATTTCATGCCATCTCGCCGCCTTGACCCGTGCGTTTTCCATCCACCGCCAGCAAAAGAACAATCACCCCCAAACCAGCCAAGAAGAAGCCCTCAACATGCTCAAAATGTATGTCTCCGAGTCCTGGACCCTCTGGCTCGACCTCATCACCGAGACACGCGGGCCGAAAGACCATGTCACCATCCACCTCCGCCGCGGGTACGCAGTGCTCATGGAGGAAGATGGCGATTCCCCGGGACGAGGAAGCTCAAGGTTACTTACCGATTTTACGTCCAGTCTGGACGAGTCGATCCAGATCCGCGGGGAGGAGGCCACCACTGCACGGGTGCTAGAGTTGGAGGAGTTACTGGCCAAGATGTACATGCCACTTTTTACGCCAAAGAAGCTGGCGCACGCGGAGAAGATGCTCAAAGATGTGATCACAAAGGTGGTGACGAGGCTGGGGAAAGGGGGGACGAGGGCGGACACAGAAATGGGGTACAATGACCGGTTTTTGCTCTTCATTGTCAAGCACTTCTTGGCAAGGATAGCAGATCATGAAGGGAATTTGGAAGCTGGGCGGAAGTGGAGGAGGGAGAGCTTGGAGACGGAGAAGAAGGATTTGTTTTGGAGGCAGACGTCGCAGATGGTGGAGGAGGGCTTGAGGGCGGATGGGAGGGAGGAGGAGGCGGAAGAGATTAAGCGGGAGATGGAGGAAGTGATGCCCAAAGAGGAGTAGGAGGAGGAGGAGGAGGAGGGACCCGAAAACTGCATGACAACTTGGATTGTTTTGTTTCAGTTTGGTGTGTTTACCTGCCATGGAGGCAGTACGAGGGGTTGCTGTGGCTGCGGAGAGGGTTGAGAGCCTTCAACGAGTGACAAAAAGAGATACCTATGATTTGGCTTTGGATTTCCCCTTCTTTGTATCCATACCTTACCTGATAGCTTTGGACGTAGCGAAATTTGAGACACGGGACCACACACCTATCTGATACACGGCAGTGACAAGCACCGACTCCGACTCCTTCACCATCGCTCCCACATTCTCTGTTCCTCAAAACCGGGGAGTTGCTTATCCTCGTGCAGTTTGACAGAGGGGGCCTGCACGGGTGTAACCTGCTCGCCTAGGAAGACTGCTTTACCAGTTAGCTGACACTGAAAGCTTGGCCCGAAAAAGCTGTGCTACGGCCGATACCCGAGTTCGGCTGATCAGAGGAGAAGGCTGCGGAGTGAAAGGGGGTTATCTATCGGAGGATACAGCAATAAGCTTGTATGCAAGCTGCCTCGCAGACGACGGGGGATGCTGTGCAAGTGCGATGGTGGTGTCTGGTTCGCCATGTCCTCGAGAAATACTACGTTACCAGTGATGAGAATTAAGCCGACCTTCGCCCAGAAATATCTGAGCACAATTTCAACTGATGCACCAACTTTCTCAGTGGGGAGGATGGTATGGCACATGTCATGCAAACCTGAAAGTGCCTGGTGCTCGACGGTAGGGGGCAGCCCCTGACAGTTGCCCGGCCAACTTGGGCCAACCAACCCCTGAGTTTGCTACCCTAAGGGGTTCTGGCCCCATCCCATCGCCTCTCCTGAGCGTGATATGAGAAGTATCTCCAGGCAACCAGAAAGGCAGTAATTGTCGAGAGTAGCACGAGACTGAGTTTTCAATACTTCTATTTTGGCATGCCCGCTCACCTTGCTCATCGCTCCGCTCGGGACCGTGGTATCACGGTGACATCAACCTTGCCACCCGCGACGGAAAGCCTATCCGGCACAACCAATCCACGACAGGGAGTCCCGCTCCTAGAGAGCGAGCATTGAAGCTGGGGTAAGAAGATGTCAGCTCGGCGACCAGGATGGAGCTGTCATGGCCAAGAGCTGACCGAGTGACAACACAATGACGTCCACGACTGAGCTGTCACCAAACACAATGCCTCCCTATAACTGCGTTACCCCTTTTTCTTCTTGCCATGTAACAAAAACAACTCACCGGACACTTTTTCCCTCGGTCAAAAGAGGAAAAGCATCCAGCCAGCCGAAATGTCCGAGCCCGACTTGTCCAAGATCGCCCGCGATGCCGAGCGGGACCTGAACACGTATCAGTCCAAGACCGGCTCCTCCAGACGAGGACTGGATGACTCTGGTGTCACTGACACGTCGGCTAACAAGATGTTTTCCGGCTCGACTGTCAAGACGGGGGACGACTTTGTCACCAGCAAGAGCTACAACCGTCGCATTCCGGGTGATGAAGGAGGTGATGTGGACGACAAGGGACAGTAAGCCATTGCTGCCCGAGAGGAGTACAAAATGAAAAGCAGGGGCTTACCAGATTCGCAGCTGGGTCCATGGCCGGGCGTATGAGGGTGAAGGTGGTCCAGAAGACAAGACAGCTCACATCTATCAGCACAATCCGGGCGGGATTGACGAGGCAACAGTGAGGAAGTGGGGCAAGGATCCGGTCGAGCTGGAAAGGGCTACACTCCGGAAGGACAGGCCTGATTTGCTCCCTTCCGAGGAAGCACTCGGCGGGAGAGCTAACGAGCCGGCTCACCAGGGCGACGTTTCCGAACAAGGTAGACTGGCGTCCAAGGCCAATTTGGGACGGGATGAGGAGGACAAGAGAGAGCTGCCGAGCCAAGGGTCAGGTGGTTCCCGCTACAAGGCGGCCTACTATGAGACACCCGAGAGTGTGCCCGATCAAGGAGCTGATATTGGTGTGATTCCGCCCAAGTCCTCAACGGGAAGATCACGCAACATCTAGTCGGTCAATTGATACTGTCGAGTAGTGTAATATGGTGAATGTTCTGTTCTGTCTATCATCTATTAGTGTATCCCGCGTAGTGCATAAAGGTGCAGATGTGATGTTGGAATGACCGACAATCTCACAGCTTCTCGTCCTCACGAGGGGCCTCCGTTAGAGACTGTAGCACAAATCCAGCCAGCGGCACCACCCACTCTTTGCTCACGGGCACATAATGCCCGCCCGGATGGACCACCTTGACTGCCCCCTCCGACCTTTCCACCAGCCCCTGACTCCTGCTCTCATCCACCACTGTATCCAGACCACCAAAATAGTGCAAGCTCGGCGTCTTCACCTTTGGCTGATAAAGCCACCCGCTCAGGTCCTGGTCCACAGCCCAGAACCCAGAGTACGACACCCAAAACTTGAGCGGCTGTCCGCCGTTTGCGGCCCGTATACTTCCCACCCACTCCTTGTGCTCCTCAGCCGGCTGCCTGAACCCTTCCAACGCGGCAGCAAGAATGGAAGCTACACAACCCCCCTGACTGAACCCAATCACACCTTCGATACCGCCGCCGGTCTCTTCGATAGCGGAGGCGAGTTGTAACATTCCCTGCTGGACAAGACGATACGACCCAGTAGCTTCGTCTTTGCGGAACCAAGCCCAAGAGTCTATCTCCTCGTCCTCTCTGCCTTCGTTGTCGGATGACGGCTGATACCCCGGGATGTCGCGGGGGTACAGCCGGTTGGGGGCGGTGGGGTAGATGAGAGAAGGGATGAGATTTCGGGGAGCCAGAGCCTTGACGAGGAGCTTTTCCACCGCGCGGGTTTTGGCGCGAAAGAGGGGACCAGATTGAGTGTAGCCTTTTTTTGCCAGTGTTAGTGAGCTGAGGTCAAACATGAGAGTAAGTAGTACGAGTGAGAGGTGCGGTGAGGGGTAACCGATACGACAAGTCGAGAGTAAAACCGCTCATATATGAGTCCCTAGGTCCGCAAAAAAAGGCTTACCATGAAGCATCAATATTTTGACTTCCTTCTTTGGTGGCTTGTTGTTGACGGCCTTGCCCCTGGGAACTGGCGTGGAAGCCCCGGAGATGGGAGTCTGCGTGCCGCTTTGTGTCTCGGCCATGGTGGTGCTGCAAAAGAGACTTCTCTGACTAGCGCTGAAGAAACGCACAACTTGAAAGGAATGGATCCGAGATTGCGACCTGCTGGCGACAAATCTCCAGGTGTGAAATGACAGCATGTGAATAAAAGCTGTCAACTGCGGCGGCGGCGTCCATCCAGTCTTCTCGGAGGGCCAGCGGGATTGGCTCGGCATGACACATGCGGCCAGCGTTGGGGTTCGAACTTGGGCTTAAAAATCACGATAAGATAGGGCCCACTGGAGGCGAATCACCCAGGGGCATGGCTTGAACAGACATGATTTTTGATAAGATCAAGGGATGCCACATGGGCTTATTTATTTTTTTGGGGGTATCGTTCATCTACGAGCAGCAACAGAGACATGTAACCTCTACTGATTCCCAACGTATCCTAAAGCAGCAAAACGTGCTCTCAACGCGGGCGCCCAGCAACGGGTAGAAATTCAATCTATGCCAGAGCGAAAACATCCATACCAACGGGAGAATGGTGATGAATGTCGATAACCCACTGCGAACAGTGAGTAGCTGGCAAATGCTGTTGACCTGAGTCTTGAGCAACCCCCGATCCCTCTTGATAACCTGAAAAACTGGCTTCACAACTCCTGATGTCGACACCAGACTCTGAATTGAGCAGTCATACAGGTTGGTTCTCGGCAAAGCGACTGGAAAGCTGTAGATGCCATCCGTTTCACCCTTCCTCTCTGCAACCTCCCGCGCAAACAAGGGGAACACATCGAAACCGCCGACACGGCTCAATTGATGTTGGCTGCCTGCTATGATACATATACACTGGCGCAAATGACCTCGGGGCTCGCGTTCAGGGGGAATAAGAATCGTGGGTCAAGGAAATTGCCGCATCGCTCTCGTCTCTTGTATTCCAACAACCGTCGTCAACAGCGTCGTCTACTTTAATGGGAAGCCTTGGCGTTGGGGTTGCGGGGGTCGTTCTTGAACTCGTCGCCTGTGGGGGAGTATTGTTAGTATTTGGGAACTCGGTGGATCGTGGGCGCAGGGAGTCGGCGAGGACAGGAGGGGCGGAGGGGCATACTGTTCATCATGGCAGTCTGGGCCGAGTTGACGCCATAGGCAATGACCACGGCTGGTAGGAGTCGAGGTTAGTTACTGAAGAGAGCAGCCCGGGGGAGGTGTCGTCGAGTTATAGTCGGGTTAGGTTAGTGACATACCGGCAGCGAAGAAGGGAGCCATGGGACGCACTGTGGTCATTCAATCGTCAGTCAGCGCACACGATGATGGGGGGGATTCAATTGGGACAGCAACATACACACGGGCGTCGGGAACTTCTTGAAGGGGGCAACTCCGAGCCAAGACATGGTGACGGTTATCTTCTGGGTTAGAAGATGGACTGGGTTCGGGTGACGTTGTTGATGGAGGTTGTCGGGGTGGTCGAAAACGAGCGTTTTTCACGGTTGCTTCTGGCTCCCGAAAGCTGCCAACCAGCGTTGCCGAGAGGCGGAAGAGGTGCCTGAATTATAAGGCTTTCAGCGGTTCAGTCCAAGCTGAGGTGACCCAAGCTTCACTTTAAATCCTTGGCATGGGCGGAATCCGTGGAAATGATTCTCCGGCTTCTCCACTCCAAAGTGAAGCTAGGCGAGTCCAGGCGCGTGACATCATAACCCCCGCACCTCACCAACCCCAGACAAGCAAACGGGCATCAAGGCCCGGGCTTGCGCCGGACCCTGGACATACTACCAAAGTGGACAGCCAGCTGGGGTGCTGGGCTGATATTTGCTGCATGAAGATGGACTTCAGGCTCACTCACCTCAGGCAGGGGACCAGCTGACGTTGCTTTCCGGACTGGCTGTTGACTTGTACTCATCTGTTCCCTGTTCCCAGCTCCCAACTCCCAGCTCCCAGCTCTCCAAGCTTCCCCCCTCCCTCCAGTTCACCTGAAAAGGAAAACACCTTACCTTAAAGCTCTCCTCGAACCCCTCCTCACCAACCAAATTATCACCAACTTTACCTACCTACTTTACGCTCTCAAGTGCGGGGGAAATAGCTGTGCGCACCGTAGCACCCGGCCGCCTCTCTGTCCAATTATCCTCCGTCTTCCCCCTCCTTTACTACCATCCTATTTGATTTGCCCTCCACTTCCCCTTCTCCTCGCTCTCAGATTGTGCCGTGCCTGCCACTGCCACTTCCAGGTTGCTTCCTCTGCTGTGCTCTGTCTGCACCCACGCCACAAGCTTACCCGGCAGACCGTTGCCCGTCCGCCTTCTGCTGTTACATCTGCTTCGTTGCTGCTCTTGCGTTTCGAACTCTCCGAGACATCCCATTCGGCACCACATATCGAACCATTCCAACCACCGCACCGGCGCTCGATTTTCTTTGTTTGCTATTTCTAGCGCGCAATTGAAACTTGTCAAGGCTGACCGTTCCGGCGAGCGACACTTTCATCTGACTCGCTGCTTCGAGAGACAGTTTTCTTCAGTCTGGCCGATCGACAAGCAAAGTAAACAACCACCGAAATCATGCTCTCTAGACAACTTGCTCGTCGCGCCGCGGCTGGCGCTGTCGTCCGGCCACCAACCACCAGAGCCTTTACCACCTCACTCGCCCTCTCGTCAAAACGCACCCCCTCCCTCGGGGACATCGAGCCAGAGCAGCAGGAAGTATTCAACAAGAAGCAGAAGGAGTTCCGGTTAAAGCTTGCGGAGGCGCAGAAGCAGCGGGAAGCCAGTGCGTTTGCCTCGTCTTCTTCTTCTTCTTCTTCTTCTTCAACATCGACCTCCTCTTCCCCCTCCACCTCGGCCTTGGGCCTTGGAAAGCTAAGCACAGGGTCGAGCACCGCTACAGGAACCACTGCCAACGCGGCCGAGCACGAGCCCCCTCGCAAGGCGGGCCCCCTGACGAACCTGATTTACGGGACAAAGGAGGGCCGCGAGATGGACGCCCAGATCGAGGCCAGCTTCAGCCAGGTGCTGGCGCGCGGCAAGTATGTGCACTCGATTGTCTTCCACGAGGTCAAGCCCAAGGACGTGGACGAGTATGTCGAGCTGGTGGGCAAGTGGTATCCCCGCATGGCCAGCATGCCGGAGAATAAGGTTCATCTGGTGGGCAGTTGGAGAACGGAGGTTGGCGACTGCGAGACATTTGGTATGTTTTCTTTTTGATACCTGTGTAGCTCCCGTCGTTTGGGTGACTAATCTGCTTTGTCTCAACAGTACACATCTGGGAATATCAGCGCTATCAAGGCTATCATGCCTCCTTGAACGCCATCTCCCGCCACCCGGAATATCCAGCCTTTGAAAAGAAGCTCCGCGGCTTGATTCGCAGCAAAAAGTCCTCTCTCATGCAAGAGTTCTCGTTCTGGCCAACGACCCCTCCCCGACAGCTCGGCGGCATCTTTGAGCTGCGCTCCTACACGCTCCACCCCGGTAACCTTCTCGAGTGGGAGACGCACTGGAGGCGCGGACTCAAGGCCAGGCGCGAGGTGATGGAAGGTGTGGGAGCCTGGTTTGTGCAGATTGGCGATCTCAACACGGTGCACCACCTCTGGCAGTTTGCTGATCTCGAGGAGCGCAAGATCCGCCGCGAGAAGAGCTGGAGCCAGGAGGGCTGGGCCGAAACAGTGCACAAGACGGTACCCCTGATCCAGGAAATGAAGAGCAGGATTCTGGTGCCCATGCCTTGGTCTCCAGTGGCCTAACATCCATCCAGACATGTTTTTTTGTTTGACCGCACCTGTAGCTAGCCAGGCATGCTGAACTTGCTAATCATAAATCAATTCGAACCAAACCATGAACCTACCAATACTCCCCATGCTTTGCGCCATGTGTAATTCAAGTGTGAGAATGTCTGAAACAGCACATGAACCCTTTCGAGTAGTACGTCCGATCCAACTCCAGCCAATGCGAACAACAACCACCCCTTGTCATCTGATCAACGTTCCCTATTCCTGCACTGCCATCAAGTGTCTCGTCAGCTTCCTCCCCTGTCCCATCTAGTCCCAGTGGTATGGCCGTGTACTAGTGGCCACCCCCAGTGACGCTCGACCCGCGATGACTACGAGGATAAGACGATGCCTAATCCTCCATTTCCTCCCCCATGACAGCTGCCAGATTCCTCCTCGCCAAGCTCAGCGTATGCGTCAGAGCCGTGAGCTTGGCTGTCAAACTCATGAGACTGGGATCCGCACTCTCGACCCTGACCTTTTCCCTCACATACACCTCGACCTCTTTTCTTCGGGTGCCTGAGAGCACCGGCGCCAAGGGAATGTTTGGATCGTGGTTGCTATTGTGAATGTGCGGTAGCCCAGTCGAGTCGCCACCTGTGCAGCAGTACCCGAAAACCCGCTCGGCTTCGTCGTGTTCGAGACGGCGGGCGGTGCCAATGGCGAGGGCAAGCTTAGTGCTAAAGTGTACAGGGGCGTGGGCGGGTTCGAGGGTTCGGAGCCAGAGGACCAAACTTGAGTCCTGAATGGTGAGGTGGAAGGACAGGCAAGGATGGGAGGACTGGTTGTGCGAGCTGTTGGAGGGGATGGTCAAGGGCGGGATGAAGTGGGAGGGCGCTGCGGAGCGAGAGGTCCAAGAGGGATCCGAGTTGAGAAGAGGCGGCCCTTTGAGAATGGCGAGGGACTCTGTAAAGGACTGCGAGAGGAGGCGCAGCTGGGCCGACAGAAACTGGGGGGAGGATGTATTCTTGTCCAAGGTTGGCGAGGACTCGGTTGGGTACGAGTAACTGAGGGTCAAGTTGAGGAGGTCGATCGAGTGGGTAAGCAAGGTGTGGAGGGTAGTAAGCGGGCCGAGGTGTATTGGATGGTCGGGGTTGATGCTAATCGTTTGCTGAGGAAGGGTGCGCAGACGAAGGTGGATGGTCTATTTCACAAACGTTAGGGAACATCAGCGACACAGGAGATCGGGAAACAACAAACCCCCTTGACAATGCGCGTTCCGACACGGGTGATGGTGCCCTTTACTATCTCATTTCGAGGGGTGCTCAACACCAGAGTAGATCCGGGATCGATGGGCGCAAGCAGCGCATAGCAATCTTCGAGGCCATGCTTGAGGTTGGTGAGGGTTTCGTGGAGCTCTTGAACAAGCCAGCCGAGTTCGCGTTCCTGTGTTTGCGGTGGTGTAAGTGGAGGTCTAACCACGACCCAAGATTCCAAAAGCGTCTCAGCCATTGTGCTCCTGCTCCAAATCAGCGACGTACTTCAGATTCCCTAATGGCGACCTTAAGTTCTTCTGGCGCAATTCGAGGCCAGATTTCGACAGACATGGTTTACGCGTCCCGGGCTATCGTGATGTTTGATTCGGGATGTAGGCATCCATATTACGATTGAGACTCTGTCGGTTGTATGGTGACTGTCAGCAACAATGATGGTGTGCCTGGATTATGGTTATCATATGCATGCAAAAGAGAACAAAACCGTTGGAAGCTGAAGTGGTATGACGCTGCTGTCTGAGACGCTGTCGCAATTGTTGGCGGGGAGCTCCATGTTAGCCAGCAAATACGGCAGGCGGTCAAAGCTCCAGTGGGGCTCTTCAGCCTTGGCCCCGCCCAGTTCTGGGGTTGACGGTCCGACTAATGGCTTTGAACTTTTGACACCATCCATCCATCAACTACGCCGACCTCTGACGACGGGACTCACTCTCTACACTTTGCATAGCCGGCACAAACTATACCGGCAGAGCCTCTGTGACAGTTCCAAGCCCTCATCATACAGAGATATTGTTGCTCCAACTCTTGCACCACAGGCCGCATCGCATATCCATCCAAGAAGCCATTCCCCCCATCTAGTCAACGGCGATCTCTCTTTTGCGGCTATCATACACCCGGCGACGCACCAGCTTCTCCAGTCGCAGTGCCATGGCCTCTCCAACGACACAGCAGCCCGTGGGCGCACCAACTACGCTGCCAAACAAACCCGAAAACAAACTCCCACCCATTCCAGATGGTTCGTTACCCTCACCTAGAGCGACCGCAAATCTGGCCCACTCTGCTAACACCTTTGGGGTATGCAGGCTCTCGAATCCGCAAACGCCCCCTTCCCCTCCCTCCTCACCGGCGCACCTTGAAGTCGGCCGCATCCTCTGTCAATTTCCAAAACCAGACGACACCCGACATTGATGGCTACCTGCCCCCTCCTCGCGCGAATCGCACCCAGATCATCAAGGTGGCCTCTTCGGCCTCCCACATGTCACTTGTAAAACGCGTACGAAAGGCACTGGAGAGCGCCCGAAATAACCAACAGGGAACAACAAAAGGTCTGCCCTTGGCAGCACGTGTTGCCGCTCTGGGTGCGAAGAATGGGGGATCAGACCAAACCGGGCCAATATCAGATGCGCTGGATGATGTCGTGCTTATTGCGACGGGGAGGGCAATTCAGAAGGCGGTTGAGGTGGGGGCCTCGTTCACGAGAGAACGAGATTTGATTGTGATTGCGAGGACGAGGACGGTACAGGCAGTGGACGACATCGAAATGATGGACGAGGATGCGGAGGAGGAGGACTCGGCGCGGGTCAGACATGTTAGTTGTGTCGAGGTTGGAGTGAGGTGGGCCAGTTGATTGTAGCAGAAGCCAGGAGAGATTCACTGGGAGATTCAACAGCATCATCACATTGGCGTTTTGGGCGGTTATTGGATATGCAAGGGAAATATGACATGGGCGTTGTTTGGGTTTTGGCTTGAAGTGGGCATAATTGGTGGGGGATATACCCAGAGGCCATATGTTATGCGTTTGGGGACACGATCATGATCTGTGGACTAGGGGTTTTTTTTTTGTCAAATGATGTGGCGAGGGCCAGCTCTACTGCATTTTCTCGAGTCACGCGATGGTGCAAGACGCTTATTGCACATGGTACAACTGTCGAAGCATATATGGCATCGAATACTCTCCTGCCGCCACTAGGTTACAACATTTGCAAGTGACAGCAGTCTCAGTCGGGTTCAAGCCGGGCTTGGAGTGGTCGGGCAATGTCGACAGGCGTCCAAGAAATACCGATAGCAACACTTTCGGGGTTATGGTTTAGCTAGATCAGTCACCTACCCGGCCTACTTGGTACATCTCTCGGATACTTGAATCAAGACATCATAACCACCCTCACTGAGCAGCAGACATAGTCAGGTAGCGCAGTCGCTAAAGACCGGGGCTCGTGTACGCACAAGTCCGAGCCTTATGAGGGGGATATAATATACCGAGCACTGAGGTGGGCTTGAAGCTCCGCGCTGGAATGCTCTCCCGTTGCCTCGGAGAATGAGGGGCAGTGTTTGGTCTGCGCATCATGACCCAAATTGCGTCACTCGAATGTGTCGTCAACAATTCCAAGCCATGCAAGGCAGCCTGATGGTCGGATATCCACAGCATTAGGGTTTTTGGAAATGCCACATGGCACCAATAGTTAAAGTTTTCGGACGCCAGGTGTTGGGCCTCAACTGCTTTCAAAACAAGAAAAAAATGGCGCAGTTTTGGAATTGGGTTAGTTTTACGCAGTAGTATCGGTGGATTGATCATCATCCCTCTGAAGGGGGAAACATCGTGAGACTGGCCCTTTGTAGTTTTGACTTTTTATTTTGTTTGTGACTCCCTGCGCATGGACCATCCATCCGTTGTTCTGCTTGGGATCGTTCGCAAAGCAGGGCCGAAAGATGGTGCGAAAAAAGAGCGATCCATCTTTCCCCAGGAAAACGCACGGGCAGCTCTCGAACGGAAAGAAGCGTTGGTCTCGGCTCACCCCTTCCCGTTGGCACGTCATGTCAGGCACACCAATCAGAACACGCGCCGAGGTGGGGCGCTCTTCTCGAAAGCAAATTGCACAAATTTCACCAACGTCCATTATGCCGCCTCGAATTGGTCCAGACTTTGCCGCTGCCTCCTCGAGAAGATCCTGATTTCGGGAGCTGTTGGACGGGAATCAAGAAGATGGCAAAGACAGACAGATGAAGTGGAAACAGACTGCTGGCCACGTGTGGCTGTCGAGTCCAGGTGCCAGGATGATGCGATCCGATGCGTGGATGCCAAAAAGGAAGCGGCTTTGCTGGCACAGCATGCATGCCCTTTTGGGGATGGCGGCCAACGTGACAAAGTAGGGTTCGCAATGACAGAGCGAGATCGGGAGTTGGACCTGCAATTTCCTGCATGAAACAGCTCTTGCCCTTGAGCGCCGTGCGGCTGCTCATCATGGCCATGACGAGAGAAAGACGACTTTATCCGCCAGAGGGAGACGGGGTCGGCCGATGAAGGGGGCCTGGCAACGAGGGCCGGGACGGGAGCCAGCCAGCGGGCGGCAAAAGGTGAGAGACAGCTCTCAGCAGAGGGAGGCGGACGACCCAGCAGAGAGACAAGCAGGGATGCCTTGGATGTGGTGGACTTGCTGCAGGTACCGCTGCAACATCGTCCGTGGCGCCAATCCCCTTGCGGGGAAGCCCGCGGTACGTACCTTTGTTATTATCGGTCCCAATCACTTGGCAGGCCAGGCGCAATTTGCCGTCCCCCAGACATATCGTGGGCTCTCCCGCCGTTGTCCTTCGTCCTCGCCCTCTCTTCACCCTCTCACCAGCCTCACTCTTTCGCTGCACTGCACCGCACGCACGCTTCACCTCAGACTTCGTTGGCAAAGTCTATCTTTTGGAAGCTGCTCCTGCTCACTCGACGTGGTCTAAATTCATTCATTCTGCTATCTATCCATCTCCAACTCTGCCAACAGATTAGCCCAACCTACCATTGTACATTTGTACCGCACATACAAGCAAACATTGATACACAAAAGGACGATTTTTGCCCGAGCCGGACGGATCACCACAAACATCTACAAACATCTTCACAATGCAGCTCTCAGCGCTCTTCACTGCCCTCCTCCTGCCTCTCATGGCCGTTGCCGAGGGCGAGTCCACCACCACCAAGACAAAGACTCTGACTCTCACCGAGACCCTCACCCTCCAGCGTCTCCAAGCCGTTCACACGGGTTCGCACAACTCCACCGCCGCCCTCCAAACCGGTGCCACCACCACCTTCAACCCTGCCGCCTCGACCACCACATCAGGACCGACACTCGACCCCACACCGGACAATGCTGCCGGTGCTCTCAATGCCGCCAACGTTGCCGCCGCCGCCATGGCCGGCATTGTCGTCGTTGCTTTCCTCTAAGCAGGCAACAGCGGTAATTTCATTCTGATGGTGATGGGGTCTGGGAGGAGCTATTTGGGCACTATCAATCCGATTCTACGATGCGAGCATCTTACCAATCATTTCTTTTGTCTCTGAGCGAGGCGCGATATTCTTGGTTCGGCCCCTTCCCGGTCAGCTTCATCATCAACATCAGACAACCTTCTCATGAGCATACGACCATTTTTGACGACATCAAGAACAAATCATTTTACAACAAAAAATCTCCCATCGCCAAAGCGGGCTTGGGAATCGCGACTACTCCACGGTTGTCAGCACCCTTCTTATTCTTCAAACCTTAATTCTTTTCTTTTGTCTGACAACCTCGACACTTGTTGCGAACAACAACAACACTTTACAACAATCTTCGATTCTCGAGTTCAGGCAGGCCGGGGCGCGTTCTCTTGTCACTTGACGAGAAGCGCTTGACGATATTGGGCCTCGGGATACCCTCACAAACTTGGACCATGACCACTTTTTACCAACACTTTTATTCGTTCTTCCAGCACTATTAGCCACCGCCGCCACCCGATACCGCAGCGCCATGATGCTCTTCCCAGTTCAAGGCCAAAACCCGCCTCTTTTAAGCCTTTTACGCAGCATACGACCAAACGTACTCTTTACGACCACGACTCAGATACCCAAATACCCCCTCCCACTTCACTTCTTGAGGGTCTCGGTCTTGGGTGAGATGCAACAACTGGCTGCTTTGTGTGATTCGGTGGTGATTGGTTACGTTTGCTGGCTGGACCTTTTATCCTTTTTTTTTAACCTTCAACCAACTTCTTCCACATCCAACAAAACTTGTGTGTGGTGAAGAGAAGTACATCGGATCTTTGACTTTGCATATATGGGGGACGGGAGGCAGGGAAAAGTTTCAAGGCCGGGGTCGGGATCTGTTGGCGTACGGCAAACCTTCTAACACACACATATTTTGACGATGCGAATGGATGGAGGAGAGACACCATGCGCGCATGATATGGGAGGAGAAACAAAGAGAGAGATGGATTGGAGGAAACACAACACTTTTCTTCTTTTCTTGAACACACTTCTTTTTAGCCTTCTATACATGCACAAGTTATTGATACCCTTTTTTCCTTTTTTGAGCATGACCAGCTTCGCCGCTTACCAGTGAGATCTTGTGTGCCCTACAACGTGGTATTGAGAGCTTGACTTTTGCCCTCACTTTTGCCCATTTCTCTCGCTCCTTGGTTTTGCCAGCGTGTCGCCGCATTTCATTCCCCATCAGCGATGTCACCTCTCGGCACATCAGAGATTTTCGCTCAACTCATCTCGGAAGACTTTTATGCACAACTGATAAGGTAAGATATTTGTCATTATTCAAGCTTTTTCTCACCCGTATAATGATCATCGCACCTAGAACGACCTCTTTTCGAGCTCATCTTGGTGTGCCTTCAAAGTGTTTGCATTCCAGTCTCCAAACCAAACCCAAATAAGTTCATCGGAATGTTTCGAACAAAGCCCCAAAACGCGACCCACACGTTCGTCTCATCTTGCTTCTTCTTCACACACTTGCCTTGCCGCGAAGGCCCTGGCTCGCCTTTTAAAACACAAGTCCAGAACCCGGGCCACGTTCCCCACCCCGCTCGTTGACTCCATCGCCAGTCCCATCTTCCCCCCCTGATGCTGGCCCGAGCTTCCCTTCCCCCGTGTGCAATTTCCGCTTCGGAGGAGATTTGTGGGGAATCCCCGTCACCTTCCGGATACTCCTGATCGGTCCGATCCGAGCGAGATTGTTCGGAGGCAGGGGTGTCACGGCCACGGCCGGGGGAGATGATCTGAGATCCAATATCTGATAAGGATTGCTTTTCTGAGCAATGCGACACCGCAAGATCTTGACTGTTCTAAATCAAACCTCAGTGAAGAGAAGCCCATCGTGATAAGTGATTACCAGGTAACTGGGTACTCTAACAACTAGCTAAGCCCGGGTGCACTATGTGCTTCCAAAAGCCCATCACTGAGATTCTTCATTCATCGTCCCAAGAAATCCCTCCTCTGATCAACATGATACCTAAGACACCTCTTGTCAGTGTCAATGATAAGAACTACAAACAAACAACTCAAGAAGTCGACGACACATTTGTGCCATTGCCATCGTTCCTGAAGATCCCCATCGTACTGGCATATGTTGCAATGGTTTCGTTCCAAAACGCGACGTCCTCCCCTTTGTTGGTGAGCATGCTCACGCTCCCAATCGTGTTTAGGTTGTACATCTGCAAACCCGTCGTGGAGTTGACCACTTCTGTGCCGTTGGCATCCTGAATCGAAAAGATTCTCGCCTGGCAGTTTTCGCCCGCATGGTTGGTGCTGCAGTTGGTGCAGTAGTTGTTGAAGAAGCTGTAGAGGCCAGCACCAAACACCGTGATGTTCTTGGACCCAATGATGCGCATAGCCCACGCCATGGCGCACGGCGGGTCACCTGGCAGCTGCTCAACCATGCTGGGGGACGAACCAGGGCAATCGGTCATGAAATCAGGGTCGTGCAGGGTGGTGTTAACCTGTGTAAAAGGGTAAGGGGCCTGTGGGTTGGGTTGGTAATATGGTGTCTCTGTTTGAATCTGACCCATCCACAGATTAGATGCGTTGACCAGCTGATACTGGTAAAGAGTGTGGTGCTCAACTGCATTGCCCAGCATCCAGATATTGGACCCTTCGATCAAGAGCCCTCGGCCGGCAAAGACATCGATCCGAGTCTGGTTCCAGTCCTCAATATCGTGGTCAGCAACCCACATCCAGTTATTTTCCATGTACAAATTGCCAGCACTCGGCGTGATGTGCATGCTCATGTACCCAGCAATGCAGGCAGGCTCAACGACATTGGTGATGTTGGGAGTGATGGGGCATTCTGCCACCTGGAGCTTGGAGCCTCCGAAACCGCCAATGCGAACATGGACATCCCAAAGTCCCGATGGAGGTGTATCGACGGTGATATTCCCGTCCAGTATTGGGGTGTTCAAGTTGTACTCGATGGCAATAGCGCCTGCTGTTGGGCCTTGTGTCGAGACAATGATATCGCTGATTTCGACGTAGCCAAGCTCACCAGGCTTTCCGATCTGAACCACTGGACGGGGATTGGTGACGTCGGAAAACTTTTTGCCTGCGCCCATGATGACGGCGGCAAGACCTTCACCGACAACTCGAGCACCTGCTGGGATATACACGGTGTCAGTCACCCGGTAAAACCCCGCATCCAGAAACCCAACCACTGTCGGCTCGGTCGCAACGTCAAAGAACGAGTTCAAAGCCACTGTGTCATCAGTCACACCGTCTCCAACAGCGTAGTGGTTGCGGGCCGACACGAATGCGCCGGCAGGGTAGCCCTCATATTGAGGCTTCGACCTCTCGTAGTACTGATCACCGAGTTTTAGGGCGGAAGGCTGGTCAAAGGCAATATCACGTCCCTCAAACGCAGATGGCCCTTCGGGAGCGTAAAGGTTTCCCTATATCTGAGGTCAACATAATGCGAGATTGATCACAGAATATCTGAGAGCTCTTACCTTGGCATAGCCACACTCAAAGAGGGCTCCTGAAGCATTGCCGGCGAGAACTTGGTTTCCGTCCAGATCCTTCATAACCGTGGGAACGTTGGTGTACTTGACATTTTGAATCAGCAGTGACCCAAGACCACTAGCGCTGCTATTGTGTCTGCCCACAATGATGGCAGTATCGACATTGGTAAACGAGCTGTCCAGCAGTGTGACGGAGCCTACGTCGGGAGAGGACATGTTGAGGCCAATCTCGCAGTCATTGATGTTGAGAGACTTGTACGTAAATCCCCAGTTCCAAACTTGCAGGATGGCAGTTTGCGAGCCGTGAAAAGTGAGGTTGCGTACGGTATACTGTTGGCTACCAAACTGGGCTCCGTACTGTCCGCCGTAAAAGACAAGACCAGTCAGCATGCCGCCGCTGCCCTCTTCCATATAAATTCCCGTATGTCCGTCCTCAAAGTTTGGTGACAGTCTGAAGACACAGTTGTGAATGACAGTAGCCTGGGCAGACGGCCAATGGACTGCCCAGGTCTGGTGCGATATGGCTGTGGTATCGAACACCAGGTTGCGGACCTGTCGGAAGAAGACGTTGGTAGAGATGAAATTGAGCTCTACAAGACAAAACAAGGTTAACTTCAAGCCGGGCTGGAGCTGGCGTGGAGAGGCCACACATACTGCCATTGCTGAGATATGGATCGGCATCAAGCAAGGCCTTCCCATCCTGAGTGAAGTTGGAACCGCCCTTTATGACGGGCATATCAGTGGGGTCGCCAATCATCTGAGTGTAGAAGAGGCCGACGATTGGGCTGGAGATCAGGTAGGTTCCGGGCGGAAAGTAAACAATGGCCGGGTTGATGGTTGCTCCAATGCAGCCATAGCCACCGCAGCGATTGCCGTGACTCATGGCGGCATTAATGGCAGCAGTATCGTCGGTAACTAAAGCATTGTTAACCTGAAGTTCCAGATCATGGATGGCATTGAACATCTTCTAGGCTCCTACCTCCATCACCTTTGGCACCAAAGTCACGAACATTTCGAAAAACTTGATATCCTCTGTCGGGGTTGAAGGAGGCAATTCCCTGGTGGGACAGATCCTCCATCCAGAAGGTAGCACGGACAAGTGAAGCTGCAAGCAGCCAGAGGCGATTTATGCTCTTCATTGTTGATGTGTCGTACGAATGAAGTGGTTAGAGAGACACCACTCTAGGCAACGATGTCTGAGTGGAGCAGCGAAGAAGCAACCGGGGGAAACAACAAGTGCTATGCGGCCGAGAGTCTTGTCGTGTCTCTGTCTGCAGAGATGAGGTGTTGGAACTGGAGGAGCACAAGCCTTTACTTTTCCTGATGCCTGACAGTGCTTGCACCGAGGAAGGAGCACACACTCCTGGGGGGGGGGGGGCACTGTGCTGGTGACATGCCGTGCACCTTCCTCTTGGATTATGAATGGGGAGGGAAGCCATTTCATGAGACGTCATCTTTGATACAGAACTTTGGAATTCTGTTTCACACCTCAGTTCCGTATGTATCACAGGGTAATATCACGAGCACAGGACAATCCCTAACTGCAAGTTGAGCTCGGGGCTGTTGGAAAGGAAAGCCGGAAGACTCGAAATCAACAGACAGCCCGGCAGGTTCGAGGCACTGGAACTCCGGTTTGCCTTGTGATGATCAGCATGCTCAAAAGATTCCGCAAGGAGGCGGGCAACGGGTGAGGTTCAAAGTGGGCACCTGCCATCAGCCGGCTTAGATAAGCTTTGGTCTGAACCTCCGGTCGCACTAACAAGGCCAGCAGGGCATGGTATTCAAATATGTTAGTATTGTCAGCCTGCATCGGAGCCGCTTAACATCAATGCTGGGAGCGCCTCGTCCCACCTGCCACCATTCTTTCTTCCCTGTAATAACCCCCGGAGTGGTCGTCAAGTCCAGGGGCCCGGAAATCTTCTCCATTTTTTCTTTTTTTTCCTTTGCTTAACATTATTGAGCTACACTTCGGCTTCCATCTTGCAAGAGCCGCATTTCTTTGTCGCCATCTCCCACTCGCATGGCATGTTTTGCTACGGAGCCCCACTCAAGATTAATGACCACATGGACAACAAAGAACATGGCCAACGTATATCGGACGCAAGAAGTACCCGGTCATTTTGGTCTCCTTGAAGATATACCAAAGGCAAGGCCCTTCAAACCACTCTCCAACACTCGACTTTTCCATAGCAGTCAACATGCCCGAAGCAACCAAACGCACCCAACAGTCCGCTGCAACTGGGCCCTCAGGATTAACCATCCGCGGCTTCTTTACCAAAAGCTCTGCTGGCAGTTCGAGTAGCCAAACAGGTCCCCAGAGACCATCAGCAAAGCCCAGAAAAGATGAGGACGAAGACCACTTGGCTGACGGCTGTGTGGTTTCGTGACTGTTACAGGACGCCCATGAGGGACTTGGTCCAACAAGCTGATCTTTTCGAGGCCAGACACGTGGATATTGCTGCAGCATATAAGATCCTCTTAGTGGTCGTTGTCTGCCAGTCTCTCGAGTAGCCTCCGGGAACCATACCGATTTTCAAGTCCAGTTATCAACAGCAATAAGCTGTACAATGCTCGCCGAACAAGTCCCTCAAACTTCACATGTTCTGCTGGCGTCATTCGCAGAGTTAAACCTCGCCGGTAGGAGCCCTGAAGATGCCATCGGCAGGCCTATTGTCCCTGGTCACGATCAACTTCGTCATATCACCGCAGCCCAGCAGAGCCATCCCACTTCACCAGCCGGCGTCGAGGCTACGAATATTATGGTACCGAACGAGAAACGAGAGTGTCCTGGCTGTGACTGTCCTGCAATATGCGCAGCGTATTCTACTACAACTATTACATCCACCGCCAACCCTCCTTCTGGGGCTGCCCATCGCGAGATCTTGATAACGGCCAACGGAGACAATATCCACAGCGCATCTGTTGGTATCCACCGGAAAGGCAGGGCGACAAGGAAAAATTCAGGCAACGATTGCCCCGACTGTGACTTGGACAGCTGCGGGTGTGGGCGTGGCACTAATGGTGCACGCTCTGCCGGAACGCCGGGACAGGCTGCTGGTATTGCAGCCGGAATGGGATGCGTGGCGGCGGTGGCAGCTGGATGGTTGTTTTAGGGACGTTTCCGAGGTTTGAAGAACGCTGGCGTCGTTCTGAGTCATGTCTTGATGTTAGGTTGGCTAAGAAATTTGCACGAGAATCAGGACTTTTTGGTCTTTTGCTGCAGTGTGCGATAAAGTAAGAAAGATACACGGGCCTTCGCCGTGGGCTGGCAACGATTAGGTATCTATGTGTCGGTGTCTCGTCTCTGGAACCATCGCAGTACGGGAGATATACTTGTGCATATTTCATCATGAAACAACAACACCTCTTAAGAAGATGAAGCCTCGACCAGGCTAGCACTGCCATATGTGTCAATCATTTTAGTACGTAGCATTGGTGCTAATGTTGACTGCAAAACACATCCCAGTTATGCAGAGTTCGCCCGTAACTGGCCAGCTCACTGCAATATACCCGACCAGGTCCCTTCGTACTCGCATGACAGGAAACCGGGGCCAAACACCCTGCTTACCATCACGGTAGCTGTTCTTTCATGAATTTCCTTGTTACACATCATGTTTTAACTCCGGTAAGAATACAACTACTAGGTATTATCATGCTGGCTTTCATATCGCTAGTGTAAAATATTGGCACAATGTCCCTTCCAAAGTCCGAGCTCGGACTCTGGCTGCCCAATGGAGGGCTCAAATGCCTGTATCAAGCGTTTTGTATCAGCTCTAGCGTAGGCCTAGAAACATTTGGGTGGAACTTGTGCTAGCCGTGCCACCGTTAGGACAGAACGTTTGAGGATCAGTCCGACTACTGCACTGCACACTCAACGTGACCTGACATATCCCGGGGCACCACCTTCCCCAGATGCCGACATTGAAGCCAAGTCGGTCAGAGATTGGCGACGCCAGCCTGGGTCTTCCCTACACACAGTGTAGAGCCGATCTAGTGTGTCTGACAGGCGTTTAGGGAAGTTTTTAGCTGGATGGGGATTGCCAATTAGGATTTCATATGTCATGGTCAAAAGCCGGGGTTTTGGAGTGTGCGAAAAAGTAGGTATCGTACGGAGTCAAGAAATAATTTATTCGCCAAAAGAAAACAACGCTTGAAAGATATATGCTACATCTACCAATACAAGGCTTATGCTGGTACAAGTGCCCTCCAAACTCCATGTCCGTTCGCTCCGTAACAAAGGAAAAATGTAAAAAAGGTTCGTTCAGCAGAGACTCTAATCGTAGCCTGTCGCTTTGTTAGCTGTTATTCTACCAAGGAGGCAGTCTATAGAATACTTACGTCCGAGCTGCTTTCCTCTTTTAGAAACCTCCTTGGCTTGCTGTTGCTTGATCTTGGCCCGCCTGGCCTCCTCCTGAGCTTCGAGCTCCAGTCTGCGGACATGCTCGCGGGCCTCGCGGACACTCTCGCGGGCAGCCATGAGGGCACGATCAGCCTCCCGCTCCGCCATCTCGGCACTCATGACCCTCTCACGGGCAGCGACGATGCTGGGATCCATCTCGTTGGCGGAACCGTTGCCAAAGGACCGACGGAGAAGACCACCACGACTGCCGCTGGAGCTTCGGGTGCCACGCTCAGGAGAGGTCTGGTAGGTCGAGTTGGTGTGCCGAGTGCTGGTGCTGGTAGTACGGGCGGGAGATGGGGAGCGGTGGCGACTGAAGAGGCCATGTTTCTTGGGCTGCTCTTCGTAGACAGGCTGAGGTGCCGGTTGTACCGGCTGCTGGGCGGGCTCTGATCGAGAGAAGAACGGCATGTTGGTATCTGATGATTTGGTTTGGGGGTGTGCTGGTTGTGTTCAGGTTGTGATTGTCACTGAAAAATATTGTTCTCGGGCCGAGAGCAGATCCCTCAGGGACACCAAGCAGCCTTTTTGAACCATTTTTTGCCCACCTACTGCTGATCATCACAGTTATGTTTTTCAAACCTGCTTTTGGTGTTTGCCCGACCATCACGAACGTGACGTCAGAAGCAGAATGATGGATGGGCTGGATCGACACCCACACGTCCAATGGGGGGTGAGGCATGACGGAGGAGGCACGGCAGAGACCCTTTTCCACTGGCCAGAACCGAGTGGGAGGGATGCAGGGTCCAGAAAGCTTGGCCAGATGCCGTGTCCGTCACTCTGGTTGATGTAATTGTGCCACCTGAAACGGCATCGTGATTGGTCGACTGACACCAAGCATTTCATGCAAGAAGGGATGGAAGCTTTTTCCAAAACCGAGATGATGATGGTATTAAGCTTGAGTAAACTTGGCTTTACTCGCAAGCTTGATCAGGAAGGAAGGGGGGTCGTCTAAGTCTGAACAACTACCGGTACACTAGTGTAAGTGGGTGTACACGTGTATTCTGAGATCCTTCATATCTAGGTCCTTGAGAGATTGACCCACCGGAGTTGACCGTTGTGGGCAATGGTTGATACGAGGCTATCTCGACTGTTGGTCTTGACTGGCTCTGACCTCGAGCAACAAGAACCGTTCATCAGTGCCAAGGGAGGCCTCTTTTTGCTGAGATACGCCCGGTGAACAACCTGGTGAAGTGACATGGTGTGTGGAGGTGACTGCTGAAGCTGACGTGATGTTGAGAAATGCAGGGAAGTGTCTGGGGAGATGGTGGACAGCTGAGAGCCAAGTGGAAACTGCCTTGTGGGGCGATGACGCAAAGGCCAGGACGATGGGGCAGATTCTTATCGCCAATCAGATACGTACCGACCCGGCTTGGCATGGACTTGGCGGGTGGACTGCTGCGCGCTGCCAGTCAAGCCTCGCACGCGTTTTTGGGAGATTGAACATGGTCGTCTCTGTCTTTTTTCTTTCTTCCCCTTCACCCCCAAATCCCACCACCCTGGCCCAACTGCGCCACCCCACCATCCACCATCCACCATCCACCATCCACCATCCACCATCCACCATCCACGGGCACTGAATATGGATACGGATAGAAGATCAAGATCCAGGGACCCTGTGTCTCGTGACGAACCAGCCGATCACTACCGGCCCGAATCCCGCAATCGTTCCCCATCGCGAACCCCCTCCGAGGCCATGGATCGCTACGACACACACGACCGCACCTCCCAAGCCCGCTCTCCGGCCCCGCGCAACGGAAGACCTCGGACTTACAGTCGCAGCCTATCCCGTAGCCGTAGCCGTAGCCTCAGTCGAAGCAGAAGCCGCAGTCGTAGTCGAAGCTACTCGCGCGATCGCAGCTGGAGTCGCTCAAGAAGTCGCACTCGCAGTCCCACGCCCCAGGCCAGAAGCACCAAGGCAGGTCGGCCCCCCACGCCTACGAGAACCAAGTTACTAACACACCGTTCTCTGCAGATTGTTGTCGAACGTCTCACCAAGAACGTGAACGAAGACCACCTTCGAGAGATCTTTGGCCAGTACGGCGAGATTGAGGACTTGGACCTGCCTCTCAACCGTCAGCGTATGTTGTCACCTGCCCCCACCGTCTGCTGTGTCACACACACCTTGAGGACTCGTCGACGCTGACATGCACGTGTATATATCTACAGTTGGAACCAACCGTGGCACAGCTTACATTTTGTTCTACAACGAAGCCGACGCCGAGGCTGCCATTGCCCACATGCACGAGGCCACTGTAGATGGCGCCGTCATCAACGTTTCCATCGTGCTACCCCGCCGCAAGCTCTCGCCCGCACCCCCTACAGCTCGCCGCGGAGCAAATATTAACCCGCGTATACCGCCCCCTCATCAGTCCAGACCCTTTGGCGGCAACATAGGTGGTGGTGGGGGAGGGGGTCATGGGCGTGGATCTGGGCCAGGTCGTCATGGGAACCGTTCTGATACCTACCGTCCCCGTTCTCTCTCAAGGTCGAGATCTCGGTCACCCGTTCAGGCAGGAGGGAATCATAATCGCAGGCAAAGATCCCCTTCGTATTCATCCCGGTCTCGATCCAGCACTCCACCACCAGCCCGCGGTGGAGGACGAGGGAGTCGCAATGTCGGTGGGCGCTACGACGGCGACGACGATAGGGATAATCGCAGAAGCGCTAGCCGCGACAGCTATGATAGTTACGACCGTAGGAGCAGAAGCCCCAGTCGCCATCGGGACCGTGGAGGGAGGTGATGCTCCAACTCATTGCTGTAGAAAATATTTTGGCGTTTGGAGCGGGGAACAAGGAACAAAAAGGAATCGCATGGGCATTGTGTTTCTAGTCATGTATCGCTTTTACCAAGCTAATCGACTTCAGGTCAAGGTCAAGAACGAGTGAGAGCTGGCATCAATCTTCGTGAAGGGCGATTGGGTACGGCTTCAAAGTGAGTGCTCCCACCAGCAATGTGTCCGGCTTGTTCTGTGGTGAATATTCATTGAACAAGGTGTCCCCAAACAGCCAATCAGGTCTTTCTACAGATGGTGAAACCCCCAAATGAGGCTGACGGTACACGAAGTTTTTCGCCCCCAAGCATCTGGCCCATAGCTGTGGCCGATAAAAACGACCCCGTGTCTTCCGATTTCCCTGGCAGCGGAAGCGAGGGTCCTACAGCTAACAGCAACACCATCTTTTTAAACGGTTCCCGCACCTGTGTACCCGTTTGACTTCCTATGGAGACACCACGGCCAGGAATAGGCCCATCGTTATTGCTCCAATCACAACCAGGACGTATGGTTTGCGTTCGACCACCAAGCAACTGAGCCTCTGATTTGATGACTATTTGGCAAAATCCTGAGATGGCAACTCTCCCGCTCTTGATAGACCGTGTTCACCTCGCTTCGCTCTTTGCTGGGTGCTCGGTATCCCAATCTCACCATTCCAGAGCGAAGCCTCAGGCGCTGGCCAACCGGGTGTGCTGCGACGTCTTTGTGGCTCAAGCGTGCAATCACTTCCTACAGCTCCAGTCCATCATTTCTATGGTGCCGCACATGTGCCGGCTCTGTGCTGACTGGGGCAGACTCGCAAAAGTAAACAGATGGCAAAGGAAACGTCAAGCCAACTGTGGCATCATGCTATTTTCAACACTGAAGAACAATGCGGTATTTCTCTAGCACAGGCAGCGAGAAAGTCGCACTGCGTCATCCTTCAACAGCACTAACAAGATTGTCCTCAGCAATCATCCACAAGGAAGTCTTTGGATCGAGAAAGCTCGGGGAACGACGACATTTGCGAGGTAGCTTTTTGGTGTCCATCTCGTTATTTCGAAGAGCTGTGTAAGCGTACCATCCATAGGGTATCATCCTTCGCCGTCCTCCTCATTCCACCGAGCTTGGCAGGATGAGCTCGTGTTGTCACGTTTGTCCTCATTGTTCGGTTACTCGACGAGTTGCCGGTGCTTGATGGCATCACAGATAGTGTTCGTAAAGACGCCTGCTTGCAAAAGTTCGCTGGCCGAGTGGTCAAAAGTTCTTTGCGAGTGCCAAGCTGATTTTCTACTGATCGCCAGTCAGCCGTATGTGGAGTTGATGCTGCATTTGGCTATTGTGGGGGAACGCCCCAATAAACCAACCCACGCCGAGTTTGGTGGCATCCCGTCCCATGCAACGCTGGCGTTTTGAACCCAGGAAGCTGGAAACGGGCGGTCACTGGCGGTCTTCATGCCCCTGTACACGAGCATGCGTCCTGTAAGGTACCTGGTCCTTGCCGGGCCGCCGTGCTGCGGATCGTCCAATGTTTTTAGAGGCATCTTCAAGAAACACAGAGCAGGCCACTCAACGATCGATTGATTCGGATTATCTGGGCGAATTTCAAGACCTCGATGACCAAGTAGTAGCTGCACACTATGTATTGCTTCAAAGCACGGGACGAGGCGGGTGGTATGCAGTTGCCGCCTATTGCCATCCAAACAGCCTACACTATAATACCGCGGGTGGTCTCCATCATTGTTTCGACGGCTTGCCGTAGACTTGCTCAGCGAGATGCTGTTCAAAAAACACTGAATGGCATTGTTCGGATAGCTCCGCATTTGATCCGTCTGGCATCTGACTTCCAACAGCCATTGCTAACCTGGTACTTGATATTGGCTCTTCCCCCACATGACTGGTAGGCAGCCACCAAAGCAATTCACAGCCTCTTTTTGGTGCCACAACTACATACAAATCTTGGGCTTTCACTCAAGTAAGGTTCCGGATCTTCTGCTGTCGTCAACGCCAACATGGCTTGGTATGCCATCAAACTCCGTCCCAACCAAGAAAGACACCCCTGCTGCCGGATCCCTTCCCGTCCATGTTAGGCTCTTCGTGTTGTCCAGTGACTCCCACGGCAGGCAACCCTCAGAGTTTGCCCTTGTTCATGAGGCACTCCCTCGCGATATCCACTTGCCTACTTGGTAAGTCTCGTGCTCGTTGGGTCTTGGTTACACCACCTTACATACCCTCCTCTGCTAACTAATCCTTCAGTATACACGCCAGCCCTAAGCGCAAGACAGTCTCTTCGTCCGACACCAAGCCGCGGCGGTTCTTGTTACACACACAAGGTGTCACAAGCGGGCGTGAGTTTTCGCGGTCGCCTGTGGTCTATACTATGCTTACGTCTGTGTGCGATCTGGAGCGAGAGCTTGTGGGTGAAGGGGCCAGTAATTTTGTATATAAGGAAGGCATGGGCTCCCTCTGTCCTGACGATGTTGATGTGTTGAAGCAGCTCTTCGTCACTCTCACCGGTATATCATCATCATCATTACTGGCTCCTGACATCAAAAGCTTCAAATCTCAGCTCAGCTTTATACATACTCGATTTGACATACCTGCACGATCTTGTTGGCCCCGTAACTTGATCACGACATAACCATCTTAGTTATTCTTGTTACTCTATTTTGCCATTCCGATATCAGACTTCATACCCTCCCCAAAGCCGCCAACATGCCTGTCTTCGCATCGGGGGATATCTTTCTCTTGGAACTCCGTGCTGCGAACAGTATCTCGCCCCTGAGAAGGAGTGCTCCTCCCCATGGTCAACTCACCATCAACCCCAGCTTCACGCCCACGCTTCCCCCCTTCTTTCCAGTGACAGACTCTCCGTTCAGGATGGCTGATCCTCGCCCGCCCACACCGTCGGGGAACCCACGGCCTGGGCCCATCACTCCGGCGCCAAACGTACCTACTCCCCCTGCTACTCCGTAGACAGGAGTTGGCAAAAGTCTGCAAGTTACACCAAGAGCGTCTGTTGGCACGGGACTGGACAGCTAACTCAAAGCTAGGATTTTACTTTTTTTGCCGTCCCCCTACTCGGCTATCTACGGTATTCAGTATCATATGATGGATCACAACAGCAATCTTCAACATGTTTCTTCGGTCATTCCGTTTCTCTCGCTGCAGTCAGAAGGCGAGGGGGAATAAAGCAATGCCGTAGGGGGTTTCGGATTCGGAAGGTGCGGTCTTATTACGGCATGGGTGGACCACGAGATCTGGACTACTACCTGCTCTATCGGCGAGCGAATGATGTATGAAGCAGAGACGGAAGGCGAAAACGGGTAGAAGGGGGAAGGGGGTGTTGATGGTGGACTCATGATTTGATGACGTCTTTTTTCCCTTTTGCATGTCTTTTTTGTTTCCTTTCCTTTTTCTGGTCTTTTTATTTCCTTTACTATATGATGGTTTGCCCGTTGAGGGAAGAGCGGGCGTGACTGGGTGTTTAATGATGCATGTCAGATTTGACTTGCAGTGGAACTGAACTGATGATGCAGTGCGTCGGAGGTCGAAACCGTTCGGACATACCTACGGACAATGCCATCTACGATACATGGAGGGATTGGGTTGTTGGTGACGTTTGTGGGATCACTTCACGAGCAGCTTCGTATCCCAACAGCACACGGCATTCCTTTTTTTCACTTTTGGCTTTTTACACTTCTTTTCCTCTCTGTACCAATAACCAAGACTTTCCTTTCCTTTCCTCTTCTTGTCTGAGCGATTCATTTTTAGAATACTAGAAGTTACGATAGTCTAGAATAGGCCTATGCCACGTTTCACAACATCATTTCACTACACGATACATTTTGGGCTAGAATTTCGGCTGTGGGAGTTGGTGGCAAGGAGATGTCTGGAGCTCAGGGGTAAACTGCTCCTCTGTGCCACCTTGTGCACCAGCCAGCCGAAGAGCTTCGGCCACCAAAGTCAACAACCAACAGCGGCATTTCCAAACCAAGCCAATTATGCCACGGAGCTGCCTTGATTCTGCCGCATCCCAAGAAGGATCTAGACAACATTTACGGATTCGTGATCCTTTTGCTGCAGGTGAGATCAAGGCACAGGTGCCGGGGGGTCGTCTAGGACAGGGCTGGGTGTTTGCAAAATTTTGTCGTTACCTAGGTCAGCAAGGTGAGAGAAGCGGACCGGGCAGATTAAGGTATGTATAGTATATGGGGGTGGCTTTCTCTTCGCACCGCTCGGTTTGCCGTGCTGAACCCTGCTCGGCTCCGAGAGCTTGGTCGGTGGCGGCGGCAAGGGTTCGCGGGCAGAAGTTCGGGTTCCTACCTGGACACTGTTATGTAACCCCGACTTTTCAGCGTATGAAAACAGTTTTTCTGCCTTGGAACAATGATCACTTTCGCCGGTTGTGATCACCCTTGGTTGGGGGTCTGGTGTTGCCAGGCACTAAAAGCACACAAAATGTGGAGGGCCCCATCGTAGTTGCACAGAAGGATTTAGACTATGACTACTAGTTGTACAGGCTGCACAAGACACCACGTCTATGACGGACTGATTCAGCGAATATTTGGGGGCAATTTTTGACTTATCAAGGGCAACATATGTAGAGAGCAGCAAAGTAGGACAGAACCCAACCCCCCTCAAACTTGTTTCGTCCAGCAAGAAGACGCGTACTGAGCAACAGTATGCCACGAAAATCAAACGACCTTGGTCCATCTCTTGCTTTTGCCAATGACCAAGGCCCAAAGAGGATCGGAGGGATTCTAACCGTGGTTACACAACTAACGTAAGTAGTTAAGGCGACGCGGGTAGGTGGTGTAGGGGAGTGGAGGTGGAGGCAACGCCCCTGGTAGAACTGACTAGCAACCAACAGTTTCTGATGTGCCGTTCTAGTGCATAGTTAGAGACGTTTGTTCAATCGAGCGTTGTCATCTTGTGACATCAGCAAACGTGTCGGCCGGATGACGCGGTTACGTGACCCGCGCTACCGG